GTAAGGCAATAGCAAACAGACTATGACATCTTACTGTCTGGTTTCCATTGACTTTCCTCTTTGATCCAAAGACATTCCTCAGTGCTGCTGAAAACCTGAACAAAGGTCTCAGCATCAAAATCAAAGCCCGACGGAAGTGCTGAGAGTCAGCCATAGATGAGAAGGAAATGATCAAGATGCAGTAAGAAATATTGCTCTGGAGGTTCCCTCCGCCAGTAAGGTTTAAGGGAATTCCTACTGGCCAAGAGCCAGCACTTTCTGATGAACTAATCAAGACAGATTGAGTACTATGCCACTTTCTGAAGAAATTGCTTTGTTACATAATGTAAAACCAACATGAGAAAGGAGTACAATCTGCCTAATTTTTACAGGAAAAGCCCAAAACATCCCGGGAAAATACAACCAACTATCTCCAATGAATTAATTATACATGTACAGTAATGTGTAGGTAGCTGTCATTCAATATTGTAAGTGTTGTGCACTTAGTTAGGATTTTACGTCGGAAATTATGGGCTTTATGTTACAAACAAAGTTCCAGGAAGTATTACTAAAGGTGATCCGATTAGGAACACTGATGGTATTTGCATGGTTCAGAGCCAGTGTGGCACACTAATAATAATAATAATAATAATAATAATAATAATTTATTTGTACCCCGCTACCATCTCCCCAAGGGACTCGGTGCGGCTTACATGAGGCCAAGCCCAAAGTACATCAAACAAAACATCAATAAACACAACATCAATAAACAATCAATAAAATACAAATCATATAAATCACATAAACAAAAAACAATAAATAGTGACATAAACAATTTAAAAATGACTGGGCCAAATGTAATAGATTAAATTTGAAAATATGCTGACGTGAACAAGGTAAAATATAACTAGGATAGGATTTTTCAGAGTGAAATGAGGGAGCACAGTCCATCCTAAGTCAGTATTAAAGTGCATTTTGAGGACATATTGCTGAGAGTTCTCCTTATTCTGGGAAGGCACACTGGAACAACCACATTTTCAGGCTCCTCCTAAAATGCAAAGATACAAAATGGGGGACAATGCCTGGCTTGAGAGCAGGACGTGTGAAAAAGATCTTGGAGTCCTCATGGACAACAAGTTAAACATGAACCAACAATGTGATGTGGCGGCAAAAAAAAGCCAATGGGATTTTGGCCTGCATCAATAGGAGCATAGTGTCTAGATCTAGGGAAGTCATGCTACCCCTCTATTCCGCTTTGGTTAGACCACACCTGGAATATTGTGTCCAATTCTGGGCACCACAATTCAAGAGAGATATTGACAAGCTGGAATGTGTCCAGAGGAGGGCGACTAAAATGATCAAAGGTCTGGAGAACAAGCCCTATGAGGAGCGGCTTAAGGAGCTGGGCATGTTTAGCCTGAAGAAGAGAAGGCTGAGAGGAGATATGATAGCCATGTATAAATATGTGAGAGGAAGTCACAGGGAGGAGGGAGCAAGCTTGTTTTCTGCTTCCTTGGAGACTAGGACACGGAACAATGGCTTCAAACTACAAGAAAGGAGATTCCATCTGAACATGAGGAAGAACTTCCTGACTGTGAGAGCCATTCAGCAGTGGAACTCTCTGCCCCGGAGTGTGGTGGAGGCTCCTTCTTTGGAAGCTTTTAAATAGAGGCTGGATGGCCATCTGTCAGGGGTGATTTGAATGCAACATTCCTGTTTCTTGGCAGGGGGTTGGACTGGATGGCCCATGAGGTCTCTTCCAACTCTTTGATTCTATGATTCTATGACTGCCAAAGTTGGGACTAAGCCTTTGGAGATCAGGGTTTGATTCCCTCCTTGGCCATTTAAACCCGATGGGTGAACCTAGGCAAGTCACACTCTCTCAGCCCCAGAAAACCCTGAGATAGATTCATCTTAGGGTCACTGTAAGTTGGAAATCACTTGAAGACACACAACAACAATTACCAAATTACTTCCCAATTTTCCACCTTTACAGCTTTAAATATTTGTGCCCATCTTTTATCATATTAATATATTTATTCCACCTATACAGCTTGAAACTCTTGTGCTTATCTTTTTTGTTTTAGTAAATTTATTCCACTTATTACTTCATGCAGAGCTTTTTCATGTGTATCCTGCCTTTCTCCTCACATGGAACCCCAAATATAAATAATATAATCTGTTACTCTATAACAGGGGTAGGGAACCTTTGGCCCTCCAGCTGTGGTGGACTTCAACTCCCACAATTCCTTGAGGCTCGGCATTCGCCCCAAAGGCTTACCTTGGCCCAATGCCGAGCCTCAAGGAATTGTGGGAGTTGAAGTCCACCACAGCTGGAGGGCCAAAGGTTCCCTACCCCTGCTCTATAACAACATATCTCAACCAGGGGATCAGAACCCCTCAGGGGGGTCACAAGGAGGTGTTAGAGGGCTTGTATTTTCTGTTGGTTCTGTTTTGTATTGATTTATTATTATTGCTTTTGTTTATTGGTGTGTTGTGGGCTTAGCCTCATGTAAGTCGCACCGAGTCCCTTGGGGAGATGGTAGTGGGGTACAAAAAGTATTATTATTATTATTATTATTATTATTGGGGGTTCTGTGTGAGAACTGCTCATTGCACTTACAGATGTGCACCAAGTACTGCAATCGTGCTTTTCACATTTGCTGAACATTCACTTGCAATTTTCCCATTCCCTAATGCACAATGGTCATATAATTTTATAAATGTAAAGTTACAATCTATCTCCTTGAATTCAGGATTTGGGCCAAAGAGCTGTAACCTCACCTCTTTTGGGGACGCAGCCTCACCAGGCCAAGGAGATTCTGCAGACAATTCACCCAAGTCACTCTTTGGGAACAAGAGTTGTTTCACACAGTCCGTTTCTTGCTCATTGGCTTCAACCTCTTTCACAATTGGCTACAAAACCAATAATAATTATTAGACATTTTAAACTAGAGAGTGGAACACATAATCACATAAACCATCAAACGCCCACAACTGTTCAGCCCACACTTGTTTACGGGTAAGAGTTGGTTTAGCATAACAATTTGAAAAAGCTGTAATGTGTGTGGAATGAACATAGGTAACTGCCTTATAACAAGTCAAACAATGTAGCCCACTATAATCTCAAAAATAAGCCATGTTTTCTGATGATGGAAAGTTTGCAAGCAAAATTTGCAGATCTTTGTGTTCGACATGCACTAGTCTAAAATAGAGGAGACTGTTTTTACCTCAAGAAGTGTGTTTTGCGCCTTGGTAATTCTTTCCAACCTCTTCAACTCTTTCAGAAGTTGTTTCATTCTTTGGAACACACACAGAGGTTGCATCTTCATATTTGGTAACTTCAAGTTTTCCTCAAAGGATTGTATATCCATAAGTTTATTTTGCATGGAACTGATGTGGACCAATATAACCTAAATCAGAAGATATAAGACCAACACAATGATTAAAAAATGGAATGAGAAAGAAAAGAAAAAAAACATGTAAGTAAATACTATAATTGCGGTATATGATTGGGAAGGGAAGAATGTATATATTTGTTTTTCTATTTTTCTTATTTATATTTAATGCTGTGGGAAATATATGTTTTCTGATAGTTTTTGGTGACCCCTCTGAAACCCACTCATGGCTCCACAGGGGTCCTGACCCCCAGGTTAAGAAACGCTGTGATAAGGGCTTCTTGGCCAATAAGTGACTTGACCTTAGAATTGCCTCATGAGAAACTCTATGTTGATGGAACATCAATCTCCTATCTAACTGCTGCTCATTAGCACATTCACCTGAAGTTGCATCTTCCTCCCTTGCATCTTCCTGCCTCTAACCTTGCATCTCTAGGGAACTGCCTTTCTGGAATGTGGCCTCCCTCGAACAGAGAGCTTTCATTCCCAGGACTTAAAATCTCCTAATTTTCTTGCTGGTCTGAGGCCTAGAATCCCCACTGTCATCATCAAGCTGTTTAACAGGCCCAGAATCCCCAGTGAGATCAGGTACAGGCACTGGACCACAACAGGTGCCTGATTCCAGAGAAACTCAGAGCAATTCTACAGGGAAGCACAATATGGGATGCTAACCATGCCTACTATCTGACCTGCACTCGGTGTCCTGATCCCTGCCAATACTTGCATGTGTTCACTGAAAGTAATATCTATAATGTCATGACATAAAGAGAGAGAAGGGATTAAAACAACCAAAGTGCTGAAAGTGGAAGGTTCTTCTCCCAGGGAGTCAGGAGGCAAGACCCAAGTGCTTTTCTTCTCCATATTTTGTCAGGCAATGTGTTTTGAGTAAATTAGTTGTTTCAACTTTAATGCTAAAGCAAAGGCACTGAAGAGCCCACAGAGTCCTATCTGTTCTTAATAGCGGAGGCATCATTAGAGTAAGGGGGTGACTGTGGAGGGGTTGCATATTAAAGCATACCAGGAAACCTTGGAGAGATGCACCCCTCACCACATCATGCCCCTAACATCCACAATTGCTTTGTACACAAGGGAAACCCTTTTAACAACACTTTCTTTTAAAAAGGCTGTCTCAGCACACAATTCAGAGTTTGATTCCAGGTTCCAGAATCCTTCATGGGTACCAAAACATGAGGATACTCAAGTCCAATTATATATAATGCTGTAGGAAAATGATAATAATAAAAAAACTATAAAACTTTATTTATATTCCCAAAGGGACTCAGGGCAGATTCCAAACATAAAAGGCAAACAATCAGTGCCCGAATACAACAATAATACATCCATACTAACAACATTTATACAACCCAACATATAAATACGAATTATAACTTAACAAACTAAAATTAAATAAAAAGCTTAGCCTGTTATAACAGACATAAGACAAAACATCAAATGGAAACATTAATTTCCCATTTCTTTGGGGCAAATCAATGATGCACCTTCTATACATTTTAAAACTGTGGATGGCTGAATCTCTGGAAACATAATCTATGGATAGGAAGGGCCAACCATACTCCATTTAAATTGAAAACTATAATTTGGAGCAAATTTACAGATAAGGAAATCATCAGCCATCAAGGGGACATCTTTATTTACAGTATTTATATTCTGCCTTTCTCACCCCGCAGGGGACTCAGGGCAGATTACAATGTACACATATATGGCAAATAATCAATGCCAAAGACACACAACAGATATAGACAAATAGTCAGAGGCTATTTAACTTTTTCTGGCCACCAGGGGAGCTGTCGCTTTCATCATCCATCTGCGACACTGATGAAGTACTTCCTCATTCCCCGCAAGCTACACAATTGGTCGGAAGCTCACTCCGACCCGGGCTGGCTTTGAACTCATGACCTTGTGGTCAGAAGTGATCTTAATGCAGCTGACACTCAGACAGTTGTGTCACAGTCCCAGTGCTTTGTACTGGAGGTGACAAAATTTCAAACCTCCAAGTTGTGGAAGAGGCTTTGCTACCCAAGATCATGGTGAGCAGGTGCCAGTCAGAATAGACAACACTTAGAAGCATCTCTCTGTTTTAATATTAGCTCCTTCTGCCAGTCCCTTTTAACAAAGCACTTCTCCTCACCTGGCCGTGTTTAAGATGCTCCTTCGGAGAAAAATCGAGTGTGTCTTCTGAAGGGGACAAGATGGTCTTGATTTTGTCCACATCCTTCTCCATTTTTTTCACTTCAGATTCAACAGCTTCCACCTCCTACATTTTGAGAAAAACACTCAAAATTCTTAGTACATTGCCCATAGAAGACACTTAATAAAAATCAGAAAAGACCATTAATGGAAAAGAAATCTGGCCTTGTATGGCAGCCAGAGGCTCAAAACACTCAGCTTCGTCGAGCTGTATTTTAAAAGCTGTACAACTCATGAGTGTGACAACAACCTACTTATACTCACTACCTCTGAGGATGCTTGCCATAGATGCAGGCGAAACGTCAGGAGAAAATGCCTCTAGAACATGGCCATATAGCCCGAAAAAACCTACAACAACCCAATCTACTTATTGGTTGTGAACATTTTTCCTCCATAGTGTCACCTTTTGCCCCATAGCCCTAAACCAACATTTCTGTTTCTCTCAAATAAACCTTTTATCTTCCTTGATAGGCCAATCCACACAGAATACCAAGAATCCAGAATACCAAGGCAGAAAATCCCACAATATCTGCTTCGAACAGGATTATCTGAATCCACACTGCCATATATTCCAGTTCAAAGCAAATTGTGTGGGGGTTTTTTCCAGCTGTGGAAGGGGCTTTAGTTTGAGGGGTTACATATCTAAATCAGGGCACAAATTGCATTTCAAACATTACAGATGACACTAATGACTTGTTCTAGATGCATAAATAGCTAGATCATGGTGGATTTAGCTGGAGGGATATGACAGTTGGGACCCAAATAGATCTGAGAGGAAAAATATAAAGTTTTCTTTTAGTCTTCTTTTTGGAGTTGAGAACCTTGACAAAAGGAACAGCAGAAATTGATTCTTCTAGTCTTGATTTTTATTCCTCGCTGTTTCTGGTATAAACATATCACCCAAAATTGAGTTTGCACAATATTCCTTATTGCTATCAGAACACATAGAGTTCTTTCCCAATTTCTCAACATCCTCTCCATTGTTTTTTCCTTACTGAATTTCAGACTTTAAGCTCATTGAGACAGGCACTTGCTGTTAAGTAGCGTGCACTTCAGTAATGGTAAACCATAGCAGTGATAAATCAGTACTGTAATTTATAAAATTAACGACATTATCTTTAAACAACTCAAACTTACATCAGCCAAATGCTGGATATGTGGAAGAATGCCCATTATCTTTTCCTGTAAGGCTTTAACTTCCTTGCCAACATTATTCAGCTCCCGCAAAAGAGCATCGGTTTCAACTAAAGTGGACAACTCTTCCAATTCTGGATAAATGGCACTGAGAAGGGTTTCCTTTTGTTCTGAGTCTTCAAATGCAATCTAGGGGAAAGGAAGAGAAATCAACATTATCAGACGTATCTTATAGAATCATAGAATCAAAGAGTTGGAAGAGACCTCATGGGCCATCCAGTCCAACCCCCTGCCAAGAAGCAGGAATATTGCATTCAAATCACCTCGACAGATGGCCATCCAGCCTCTGTTTAAAAGCTTCCAAAGAAGGAGCCTCCACCACACTCTGGGGCAGAGAGTTCCACTGCTGAACAGGCTCTCACAGTCAGGAAGTTCTTCCTCATGTTCAGATGGAATCTCCTCTCTTGTAGTTTGAAGCCATTGTTTAGTGTCCTAGTCTCCAGGGTAGCAGAAAACAAGCTTGCTCCCTCCTCCCTGTGGCTTCCTCTCACATATTTATACATGGCTATCATATCTCCTCTCAGCCTTCTCTTCTTCAGGCTAAACATGCCCAGCTCCTTAAGCCGCTCCTCATAGGGCTTGTTCTCCAGACCCTTGATCATTTTAGTCGCCCTCCTCTGGACACATTCCAGCTTGTCAATATCTCTCTTGAATTGTGGTGCCCAGAATTGGACACAATATTCCAGGTGTGGTCTAACCAAGGCACAATAGTAGCATGACTTCCCTAGATCTAGACACTATGCTCCTATTGATGCAGGCCAAAATCCCATTGGCTTTTTTTGCCGCCACATCACATTGTTGGCTCATGTTTAACTTGTTGTCCACGAGGACTCCAAGATCTTTTTCACACGTACTGCTCTCGAGCCAGGCGTCCCCCATTCTGTATCTTTGCATTTCAATTTTCTGCCTAAGTGGAGTATCTTGCATTTGTCACTGTTGAACTTCATTTTGTTAGTTTTGGCCCATCTCTCTAATCTGTCAAGATCATTTTGAATCCTGCTCCTGTCCTCTGGAGTATTATATACCTATCACAATGCATTGAGATGCACTCCAGTGTTCCAAGAAAGTAACTGTAATTTGTGAAAATGTTTTTTGGACGAATGTAATTCAATACAATTTTTTATGTACTCCACTTCTTCAGATGCATGAATAGACCATACATACACACACAGGGCTGACAGGGAGCTCTGGCGTGGGCAGGTCCATGAGGTCACAAAGAGTCGAAAATGACTGAACGAATGAACAACAACAACAACACACACATGTATGGCAGAAGGGGAAATATTCAAATTGAAATATCCCCAAAACTTTTCAGTTTTCTTTGACAATCATTTATGGACCTCCTAGTAGCAGTTTTTAAACAACAAATAAATTATAGAATAAAGGTAAAGGTTTCCCCTTGACATTAAGTCTAGTCGAGTCCAACTCTGGGTGTGGTGGTGCTCATCTCCATTTCTAAGTCAAAGAGCAGGCGTCCGTAGGCATCTCTAAGTTCACATGTCCAGCATGACTGCATGGAGCTTCATTACCTTCCTGCAAAAGCCTTACCTATTAATCTACTCACACTTGCATGTTTTCAAACGGCTAGGTTGGCAGAAGCTGGGGCTAACGGTGGGAGCTCATCCCACTCCGCTGATCTTTCAGTCAGTAAGTTCAGCAGCTCAACCATTTAACCCCCTGTGCCACTCAGGGGCCCACCACAAATTAAAAGGGCACATCACAAATTCCGATTCACTAGCAGCAGAGCGTGGTTAAAACATGAATTTTCATAACAGCTATACATTTAAATCCAGTCGATTTTAAATGGTGGATTTAAAATTCACATTTTATCTGTATTTAAATATATGTGTTTGTATTGTATTTTAGGAGCCCCCGGTGGCACAGTGGGTTAAAGTGCTGAGATGCTGAACTTGCAGACTGAAAGGTTGCAGCTTTGAATCCGGGGAGCGTCATGAGCTCCTGCTGTCAGCCCCAGCTTCTATCAACCTAGCAGTTCAAAAGAAATGTGAGTAGATCAATAGGTACACCTCTGGCATGAAGGTAACACCTCTCCAGGCAGTCATGCTGGCCACATGACCTTGGAGGTGTCTATGGACAATGCCAGCTATTTGGCTTAGAAATGCGAGATGAGCACCAACCCCCAGAATAGGACACGATTGGACTTAATGTCAGGGGAAAACCTTTACCTTTACCTAATTGTATTTTAATCCTTGCACTGTCTTTTAACGTATGTATTGTGTAATGGTGTGTTTTAATGTATGTATTTTATGGTGATGTGTTTTCACTATGTTGTGACTCACCTCAAGCCATGAGGAGAGACAGGTAACAAACAAATTGTTGTTGTTGTTGTTGTTGGTATTATAATAATGGATTCTTCTCTTGCCCACTTTATGACAACACTTTATTTTCTTTACAAATACTAATGCACCTGACAAACACTTTTCTCTCCTAAACATGTGTCCACAATTACCTGGAGTGAAGTGGCATATTTATTCAAAGTTTTTGCAGAGTCGCCTTTGCATTCCTCTGTGAGCAAATTATTGGTGCTTTCGATCCAAGCCCGGGTGCTCTTCAGCAGTTCATCACATTCTTCCATCTTGCTAGCAGCCTTTAACATGAAACAGACACTACATATTAAAAACTCTAAAATTATAACAATAAATAAAGAACAAAACTCAAACACAGGGGGACTCCAGACAAGAAACAATCAGGAGCAGTAATCACCTCTCAACCAAGGATTCCCCCAAGCAGGAAAAAGCAACACCTAAAAACTGCCAGGTCATCAAATGCTAATCAAGGTGGCAAACTGAAACATTCACGCCTACCTCCAACAGACAAGTGTTCTTTCTCCCACCCTGGACTTTCCATAGATATATAAACCCAATTTTCCTAGTTTCCAATAGACCTCACAACCTCTGAGGATGTTTGCCATAGATGCAGGCGAAACATCAGGAGAGAATGCTTCTGGAACATGGCCATACAGCCCAAAAAACCTACAACAACCCAGTGATTCCAGCCATGAAAGCCTTCGACAGTACACAGAAACTACATATTACCTTTGCATCAGTTTAATGCACAGGGTTCCACAGTTACTCCAAGCTGCTGTAAATACATTCTCATCATGAGTAAGCAAAGCAGTTTGCTTATGGCATCTGGGCTAAAAATAGCCTGTTGATGATGGCTTCAGTTTCTGGTTTACCACTTGAAAGAGCTCAGAAAAGTTACTTTTGGATTGCAACTCCCAGAATCACTCTCAAAGTCTGGCTGGCTGGAGGATTCTGAGAGCTGTAGTCCAAAAAGGTAGCGTTTCCAAGTTCTGCTATTTGAGAACTGTTCTGCCTATAAAGATATATATTCATAATTGGATAGTTATGCAGTTAGACAGCTGATGTGAACAGGGACATGTGTTGTCAGGCAACAGCAAAAGGAACAACATGCAAAACAACATGCATGTTCACAACAACAAAAGGAACAACGTGCAAAAAGACGGCAGTAATTTACTTTTGCCTGAGTCCTTCACTTTCCACAAGTTAATTGAGTACAAACTATTTTTGCACCTTGAGCTTATTTTTTTTGCTGAGGGCAAGGAGGGAAAGTGGGAGGAAGGGAACTCGGATATTTTAAAATAACAGTAAAGGTGGGATTACAGGCAATTCAGTGAGATAATAATAATAATCTTTATTTATATCCCGCCACCATCTCCCCCAATGGGGACTCGGAGCGGCTTACATGGGGCCAAGCCCGAACAACAAATTACAATACAAAATACAAATTGCAATAAAATAAACAACATAACAATAAAGTATAAAACATCAAAGCATATAAACAATATATACAAAACACAGAAACCAAACATAAAAAGCTGATGGGAATTGTGATACAACAACACCTGGAATGCTGCAGAGACAGTGGGGTTGGAATTTAGATCCAAGGCATGATGTCTGACTTTAAAAGGTCCTTCAACCTTTTCCCAACGTCACAGCCACAAGTGCTGTTGGGTTGCAATTCCCATTATCATAGAATCATAGAGTTGGAAGAGACCTCATGGCCCATCCAGTCCAACCCCATTCTGCTAAGAAGCAGGAAAATCCCATTCAAAGCAACCCCGACAGGTGACCATTTAGCCTCTGCTTAAAAGTGTCCAACAATCTGGGATAGAGAGTTCCACTGCTGAACAGCTCTCACAGTTAAGAAGTTCTTCCTAATGTTCAGGTGGAATCTCCTTTGCTGTAGCTTGAAACCATTGTTCCACATCCTGTTCCTCCAGGGCAGCAGAAAACAAGCTTCCTCCCTCCTCCCTATGACTTCCCCTCACATATTATACATAGCCCTCATCATATCTCCTCTCAGCCTTCTCTTCTGAAGGCTAAACATGCCCAGCTCTTTAAGTCACTCCTCATTGGGCTTGTTCTCCAGATACCTGATTATTTTAGTCGCCCTTCTCTGGACAGATTCCAGCTTGCCAATATCTCTTGTAAATTGTGGTGCCCAGAACTGGACACAGAATTCCAGATGTGGTCTAACCAAGGCAGAATAGAAAGGCAGCATGTCTTTCCTGGATCCAGACACTGGACTCCTATTGATGCAGGCCAAAATCCCATTGGCTTTTTTAGCTGCCGCATGACATTGCTGGCTCATGTTCACCTTCCTGTCCACGAGGACTCCAAGATCTTTTTCACACATATTGCTGTTGAGCCAGTCGTCCCCCATTCTGTATCTCTGCATTTTATTTTTTCTGCCTAAGTGGAGTATCTTGCATTTGTCCCCATTTAACTTCATTTTGTTAGTTTTGGCCAGTCATCTCTCTAAAAATCGTTTTGAATTCTGCTCCTGTCCTCTGGCGTATTGGCTCTCCCTTCCAATTTGGTGCCGTCTGCAAACTTGATGATCATGCCTTCTAACCCTTCATCTAAGTCAGTAATAAAGATGTTGAACAGGACCACCCTTTGGATTTGTTCACTTAATCAATTACAAATCCACCTCACCGTAGTTTTGCCTAGCCCACATTGGACTAGTTTGTTTGCCAGAAGGTCGTGGGGGACCTTGTCGAGGCCTTACTGAAATCCAGATATGCTCCATCCATGGCGTTTCTTCGTCCAAAGGATAGATAATCAAAAGCAACAGGACCAGATCTTGATGCTGTCTTTTGGCAATCATCGTAGTTACCTACAGTTTCTCATCTTTCTGTTATGGGGAATAAACTTGTCTTTCTTAGAAGAAGAAGAAAAAAGCAATGTGGGTCGTCATTCAATAACATCTTGGGACCCAAACTGGGGGAAAGCTAGAGTACCGACCACTATGTAAAAAAAATTCAATGGCCCTTTGAAGGCAACTATGAGACTGATTTGGTCCTTGATGAAAATGAGTTTGACACTCCTGCTATAAACGTAATGCAGTTTGACACCGCATTAACTGCCATGGCTCAATGCTATAGAATGCCAAATTTATAGATAACAGAAAAAAGAACCAATGGTTAGCACACACCACGATTTATACCGACATGCAAATGTTCTCCAATGAATGCAGTCTCCGTGCACTTCTTACCCTGTTTAAGTTTGTAGTCCTTCGTTCAGCCAGTTGTGAGACTCGCTGATATTGCTGCAGAGGAATCATCAAGCGATCCATCAGATCCTGAGCCTGGCAAGGATCTTGCTCGATTATGTCCTGAACTTCTGCATCCAGTTCATTCATTTTATAATGCCAAAGATCTAGGAGATCCCAGATTCTCTGCAGAAGAAGAGATAAAGCCCATCAACGGACAAAAGAAACCCTCTTCTATTGTGTAGCCTGTTTATCAGTGTCCCCAACAGCAGTTAACAATGAGACAAATGTAAAAAAGAGTAAATAACAAATATAACGTGCAGATGGCACAGTCCTGTCAATGACAAACCTATTAAGCCCAATTAGAACTTAAAAACTAGGCTCACTAAACTTTTGTGTGTGTGTCTGGAGCGACTTGAGAAACTGCAAGTTGCTTCTGGGGTGAGATAATTGGCCATCTGCAAGGAAGTTGCCCAGGAGACCCCCAGATGTTTGATGTTTTGCCATCCTTGTAGGAGGCTTCTCTCATGTCCTCACATGGGGAGCTGGAGCTGACAGAGGGAGCTCAACTGGCTCTCTCCAGAATTCAACTGCTGACCTGTGGTTCAGCAGTCCTGCTGGCACAAGGGTTTAACCCATTGCACCACCAGTGGTTCCATCAGTAAACTGATTATAGTAGTAACCAAAGGGGTTGGGAGAAATCCAGATTCAAAACTAGGAGAAAGCTAAAACATCACTGAGTTGCTGTAAGGGTTTCAGGCTCTATGGCCATGTTCCAGCAGTATTCTCTCCTAAACAATTTCTGAAAATATATGGGATTTAATGATATGTTTAATAAAAAAACCCCAAAATCAAAAAGCAACCCATGGTAAAAGGAAGAGAAAATGGAGAGGGAGTAGTTACCTTCTGGATTCCTTTGGCTTTCTCAATGCCCTCACTCTTCTGTTGTAACATGTTTTCAACAGCTTGAAGGCCTTTGTTAATGTCTTCAATTTTTTTATCTGTAATATAGCGAGGGGAGTTCTTCAGGAGTTCATCGCTGACCTATCATGGTTCAAAAAGAAATACTGAAAAGTAGTGCAATGGGAGAGAAAGTAGCACAAACTGCTCTTCAAAATTATGATCCAAAGCTCCCCCTTTTAATGGGCCACAATAATTATGAAACTGTTTATTAACCTCTTTCATCAAAATACCTGAGATTGATTCCCTTTCATCTTAATGTCACTCCTTTATTGCTGAATTCTAGCTTGATTCTCAAGAGTTGTAGCTCAAAACAGAAACAGGTAACCCATTGGGTTTCCACGGTTGAGTGGAGACTCAAACCCTGGTTTCCAGAGTTCCAGTCCCAATACAGAAATTACTACACCATACTTGCTCCATCCAAAGCTGTTGAGTTGTTAATTTTTTTCATATACAGTGTTCCTTCACTAATCGCCGGTGTTCCGTTCCAGGAACACCTGCAATAAGTGAAAATCCATGAAGTATGGATGCTCCTACCACTCTGGGGTAGTCTCCTCCTCCTAACCGTCTCCACTGCTTCCAGCCTCAGAGGCCCCTTGGGCGCCATTGATGGCACTACCAGGCTGGGTTGAGGACTCAGCCCAGCCAGGCAGTGCCATTAATGGAGTCCAAGGGGCTTCCGAGGTCAGGAGCAGCAGAGGCAGTGAGGAGGAGGAGGCTGCCGAGTGGGTGGAGCCTCCTCCTCCTTGCCACCTCTGCTGCTTCTGGCCTCGGAGGCCCCTTGGACACCATTGATAGTACTGCCAGGCTGGGCAAAGGGAGGAGTGGGGAGCAGCGGTGGAGGTGAGGAGGAGGAGGAGGAGGCCACCGCCGATGAGCCCCAAGACAAGCCCCAGGGTAAGACCTAGCACCTGCACCCCTCCCATTTCTCTTCCTCTTCCTCCTCCCCCCCCCCACGGCTCACGGGGAGGAAGAAAAAAATGCAAAACAATGAATCCGCAATAAGCGAATCGCGAAATAGCAAGGGAACACTGTACGGGTCAAGTCAAGGCCTGGCTTAGTGATCACGCAAAGCTCTGAACCAGCCACCAAAACTTTGCAGAGAACAACCAGACTGTGACTGCAAGAAACCCAGATTATTAAATATTTTTTGTCGTGTCAGGAGAACTTGAGAAACTGCAAGTCGCTTCTGGTGTGAGAGAATTGGCCGTCTGCAAGGACGTTGCCCAGGGGACGCCTGGATGATTTGATGTTTTTGTCATCCTTGTGGGAGGCTTCTCTCATGTCCCCGCATGAGGAGCTGGAGCTGATAGAGGGAGCTCATCCGCCTCTCCCCGGATTCGAACCTGCGACCTGTCGGTCTTCAGTCCTGCCGGCACAGGGGTTTAACCCACTGCATTACCGGGGGCTCTAGAAACCCAGATTATGTCAAAACAAATTAAAGTAGCTTTTTACCTTTTCTTCCAGGTCTTTCAGTGTTTCTTTGCAATCTTCCAAGTGTGTTTCAATCTCAACAGGAACTATTGTATACATGTCAGCGTACTTGATCCGTAGTTTTTCCATGATCCGTTCAAGAGTTTGCTTCCGAGGACCGATAACTCTCCGAATCTCCTAAGAGAGAGAAGGAATTAACAGCACTTGCCTAGGTGGTTCTCACTCTCTTTCGGGGGCAGTTGCTAAACTGTATTTTGACTATGTAGCCAGGCAGGGTAAACCTGAGAGATGCTCACTTTTGTTTAGTCACAATGCTTTTGAATTCACCGAGAATACATTAAAACCTGATACCATTACATTGTTCTCCCGGGTCTTGTTTACAAATGAAATAATATCTTGAATACATAAAAACACCCCTGTCATTAAGCTTTGAAACCTCCTCCGAAGGGAAGGCAATGGATAGACCAGCCAAAACAATTGCCAAAAATTAGCTTCTTGCAACAATAAAACACAACTAAAAGTAAAAGAACGGGAATATTCACTTTTGTGTCATCCTAATGAAAAGACCAATGCAAAACAGCCGGTTCCCATTCTGTGCGGAGAGTATCACTTTCATGAAAGAAAAGGAACTTGACAGTGGACAACTATTTGTGGTCTAGAAATTTAATCTGATCTACATCCTCCAACAGAAGTCACTCAAAAAATATAAGTCCCGTGTCACATTTCCCTGGACTTCCCATTAACAAATTCCTTTTATTTGCCATCATATATCCTAATCTTGAAGCATTTCAGTACTGATATGTTGGATTTTGGTGTCCAAGTCAAATTATTGCACAAAAGGAGAATGAGAGGAGAAGGGAGAAGACATTGTTCCTTTGGCAATCCAGAAAGAAAGTATTATTGTAACAGTGTCATGAAGTAACAGCTGGAGGGTCCAGCAATGGATTCAAATTGTAGGTGGAGGGGGGGGGATCCACTTAAATATTAGACAAACTTTCCTCAGGGCAAGAGCTGTTTGGTAGTGGAATATGCTTCCGCCTTAGAGCATGGTGGAGTCCCTTTCTTTGGAGTTTTCTCAGTGGAGGCTGGATGGTCATCTGTCAGGAGTGCTTTGATTGTGTATTCCTGAATGGCAGAATGCGGTTGGACGAGATCTTCATGAGGTCTCTTCCAACTCTATTATTCTATGATTGTACTCTGGGTTTTGTGTCTCAGCTTTCAAGGAGGTAATTACAAGGTGCTAAAAACCATTCCTAAACAATTTCAGTACATTGGACAGATCTTTTAACATTCAGATCTAACTCCAGAATGGATTATAAGCAACTACCAGGAACTTTTTGTTCCATGTTTCAGTAGTACAATTGAGGCCTCTTCTACACAGTTGTATAAAATCCACATTATCTGCTTTGAACTGGATTATATGGTAGTGTAGACTAAGAAAATCGAGTTCAAAACAGATAATGTGGAAGTTCTGCTTTGATATATTGTCGAAGGCTTTCATGGCTGGAATCACCAGGTTCTTGTGGGTTTTTTCGGGCTATAGAGCCATGTTCTAGAGGCATTTCTCCTGACGTTTCGCCTGCATCTACAGCAAGCATCCTCAGAGGTAGTGAGGTCTGTTGGAATTAGGACAATGGGTTTATATATCTGTGGAATGGCTGGGGTGGGGCAAGGAGCTCTTCCCTGCTGGAGCTAGGTGTGAATGTTTCAACTGATCACCTTCATTAGCATTTGAAGGTTATCAAAGCATCTGCTTTGATAACCTGGATTATATGGAAGTATAGAAGGGGCCTGAGTCTTGACTGGGAAAGTGGAATATATTTGTTTCTCATTTTTCCCCTAAGAATAGAACCCTAAAAAGTTAACCATTTTTAAAATTATTAATATTTGTTTCTCATTACCTCCCTAAGAATGGGACCGAAACAAGCTAACAATTTTTAAAATGATAAAATTTAAAAAATACAAATATTAAACAATAAAATAGAGTTAAACTACTGTAGTTAAAATATTAAATTCAACAATTCAGTTCAAAGGCAATTAGAATCATAGACTTATAAAGTTGGAAGAGATCACAAGAGCAATCCAGTCCACGCTCATTCTGCATGTAATTAAAGCACTCCCAACAGATGGCCATCCAGGTAATGTTTAGAAACCTCCAGAGGAAACTCAACCAAAGCAACAGCATATTCCAGTGTTGAACAGCTCTAACTATGAGGAAGATCTTAATATTTACATGGGAATTCCCAATTGCAGTGAAAACTGGAATTAAATGCTTTCTTTTCTTCTTTTCTCTTTGAAGTTGTCCTTGCACTATCTCTTTACTCTTTTATTTTTGGTATGAATTGTGGTTAATGTATTTTTTTAAACTTTCAATAAAAATAAAAAGGTATGTTTGGGAGCAGAGTTTAGTCACTGCACAGTTGGTTGAGAATTACAACTTCATTGACAGTTATGCAAACATGAAGCTTATTTTACAATTTTATCTCCAACTTAGGATTTACCCATCAAAAAATTTATTTCCGTTTAAAATTGCAATACAATTATAATCGTAAGGGGTATATTCCAAGAAAAAGGATTTCCCAACTAAGCGGCTATCATAAAAGAACCTAATAGCAGATGTTTTACAAACCTCAAGTTTTGCTGTCTTTTCATTAAGGGTTTCTCCATCTACGCTGTGGAGTAAAGAGAATATATTCTCTAACGAACTCTTCACGGCATGTATTTCTTCATTAACTTTGGCCCGGTCTTCTTTTTCCAACTGCACAGCATCCTTTTGCTTTTGAACTTTTTCACGGATCCTGTAAATATTAAATTTGGAATTATATTAAATGAAGGCATCTGTGGAAAACAGCATCTGAACTCAAAGGCTATTATCTACAGTGTAGAATTAATGCAGTTTGGCACCACTTTAACTACTACAGCTCAATACGATGGAATCCTTGCAGAGATTGGGGGACCAAAAATTGTTCATATCTAGAGCTGAATGAAAATGCAGATGTGCACTAGGAATCATATCCTATTCGATATTGGAAGCTAAATAGGCTCATTCCTATGGTGCATCTACAATGTGGAATTAATCAGTCTGACCAATTGCACAAGGCCCATTGCCATGGAATCATGGGAGCTATAGTTTTATAAGGTCTTTAGGCTCCTCTGCCAAAGAGTGTTAGTGCCTCACCAAACTACAGCTCCCAGGACCCCATAATATTGGGTTATGGCAGTTAAAGTGGGATCAAACTACATTAATTCTACACTAGGAGTCCCCGGTGGTGTAGTGGGTTAAACCCCGGTGCCAGCAGAAGACCAACAGGTTGCAGGTTTGAATCCGGGGAGAGCGTGGATGAGCTCCCTCTATCAGCTCCAGCTCCTCATATGGGAACATGAGAGAAGCCCCCACAAGGATGATAAAACATCAAAACACCAGGGCGGCCCCTGGGCAATGTCCTTGCAGAAGGCCAATTCTTTCACACCAGAAGCGACTTGCAGTTTCTCAAGTCAGTCCTGACACGACAAAAAAAATTCTACACTATAGAAACACCCCAGTATACTTCAATGTGTGTACTTTTCGAACCTATTAGATGGTCATTCTCATTGCAGGATGATGAAAAAGGTAGTCCAACACATCTGGAGTCCAACACATTTAGGGAAGAGTCGGTGCCATGCTACCACCCTCTAGCCTTTATCAATCTAAAACAGCAAATACATGTTTAGCCTGAAGAAGAGAAGGCTGAGAGGAGATATGATAGCCATGTATAAATATGTGAGAGGAAGCCACAGGGAGGAGGGAGCAAGCTTGTTTTCTGCTTCCTTGCAGACTAGGACACGGAACAATGGCTTCAAACTACAAGAGAGGAGATTCCATCTGAACATGAGGAAGAACTTCCTGACTGTGAGAGCCGTTCAGCAGTGGAACTCTCTGCCCCGGAGTGTGGTGGAGGCTCCTTCTTTGGAAGCTTTTAAACAGAGGCTGGATGGCCATCTGTCAGGGGTGCTTTGAATGCAATATTCCTGCTTCTTGGCAGAATGGGGTTGGACTGGATGGCCCATGAGGTCTCTTCCAACTCTTTGATTCTATGATTCTATGTATTTCATTCTAGTCATTATTTTAGATTTTATCTGGGGATACTCAATTTTTGATTGACCTTTAGATAAGCACACATGGATTTTATCTTCAATCAAAGTCAGAATATTTCAGCAAAGACGTGTAAGATGTAGTCCAGAGCAGGGCAAAACAATCCCCAGGCCCTCAAAATTGCTCACCCTTGATTTACACTTACTCTTTGATCCGTTCTTGCATGGCCTGAATTTCATGCACAACAGGAATGTCTTCTTTCTTCCCGGGAGGGCTTTCGGGGACACCTAGGATGCTCCTTAAGCGCTGAAGGATCAGGCGCAGCAATAACTTCTCAGCATCCAAACTTTCTTTGTAATAGTTTGCACAATCCATAAATTCTTCCAGCTCTTCTTTAGTGGCACTTTCCTTTTCTTTTGGGTTTTCAGGTAGTTCGTCCTGTAGATTGTCGAGAATGATTGTTTCCCGTTCCATCTAAAGAGACCAGAGAAGGAGAGTGAACCAATTGAGCTATTAAGGCAATGATCTTAAGCACATATTTTCCTGGGACAAAGCATCATCAGATCTGCACCATCTCAGATTTAGTTCTGAGAAAACATGCTTAAGCTCTGAGAATGCTTCTGGAACATGGCCAAACAGCCTGGAAAATTCACAGCAACCCAACCTTGAAATGGTTGGCTATTTGAGAGGTGGGGGGTGAGTACAAATGACTCACTTCTTCACTGATGGATTTCCATTCCTGGCTCTGTTCTTCACATGTGCCCTCCCATTCTTTTGCAGCATTAAGTAGATAAAGCCACTTTAGCCACAGTGTTGATGCAACGGTGCCCATCAGCACACCATCGTTTTCTTTGCACATCAAACCCAGGTGTCCTGAATCTTGCCTCAGTTTCATGAGATCCTCTTCAGTTGAAACAAGGCAAGAAACCTGCATCTTTAAGGAAAGAAGTCCATAAACAATAAGTTCTCACGATCTATATGGCAATTGTTTGCATTTCTACTCAAGAGAAAGTCCTGTTACATTCAGATATGTGAACATAAGCCTGTAGGCTTGTTTTCCTTTCTTTCAAAACATATCTCATATCTCACAGATCATCATATAGCCTTCAAGATGACGAGGGATGCATCTATACTGAAGAATTAAAACAATTTGACACCACATTTGCTGCCTTATCTCAATGTTATAGAATTATGGGAGCTGTAGTTTTGCAATTTCTTTAGCCTTCTCTGCCAAAGGGTGCAAGTGCCTCACCAAACTACAAATCCCAGCATTCCATAGCATTGCACCATAATTGTTAGAGTGGTGTCAAGTGCATTAACTCTACAATGTTAATAAATAAAATAATATAATGAAGTTGTTTCACATACTTTTTTAAAAACCCTAAAAGTAGAACAATAAATAGAGACATGCAGTCATTAACGATAACCAATTCACACTAGCAATTCTGCCACCCAATTTGAGAGAGTATGACTATCTAAAGTTTATATTAACTATTTAATAAAATGTTTCTATCCTGTTCTCAGGACAGCTTACAATAATATAAAAATAAATAATAACAATGATAAACAATCTGAAATATATTCAATCATGGATAATTTTAGGTTTTAAATTGTATTATCTTGGTTTTACTGTAAGCCACGAGTCTCTTTTGAGAGTAAAAAAGTGGGGTATAAATAGTAATTATAACAACCACCACCACCAGATTGTAATCGTGGAAACTCCAATTGATCTCATTTAAACATGCCAATCATACCACAATGTTCACTCACTTTGAACATAGTTAAGCATTACTGTTATTATTATCCTTACCTTGCTCTGTTCTGACAACTCTAGAGCTTCTTTATAAGACACTGGAATGTGGCCCAAAGCTTTCTGAAGCACTTTTTTCACATCATTAAGATCAGCACAGATTGCATCTTTGGATTTTTTGAAATGTTGGTATTTTTCCAAACATCTATAGATTCAATAGTATAAACAAAACAGTTTAAACACATCAATTATGTTTGTGTAGTTGACCCATACATAGATTTTAAACACTAGTATACACTTAATGTGTGTGAAAACCCCTGCAAAAATGGAAAAACTGCTCCATTTCTATCTCACTCTGAGTTTTTAGTATTTTATCTTGCACATGTGGCCCGCTCATTGTCACTGTGATTGCAAATTATGTTGTATTGTATTTTATATTGCTTATTGTATTCATATTTTTATGTATTTTACTGTGTTGTTGTTTGTGTTTTGATTTTGATTTTGATTTTATTGTAATATGTTGTTTGGCTTGGCCTCATGTAAGCTGCCCCGAATCCCCATTGGGGAGATGGTGTCAGGGTATAAATAAAGATTATTGTTGTTGTTGTTGTTGTTGTTGTTGTTATTGTTATTGCGAGATCATGGTCCAGGACAATGCATGAGAATGGAAACCCACAGTTGCTCAGCTTTCGGGAGGAGTGGGGGAGAATGCACTCTCCTTAGATCATCCTAAGTCAGAAACTACCTGAAGGCAAGTCACAATAACCCATAGATTTCCATGATAAGGCCCAATTGCCTACATCCCCAGGTAGAGTTTGGAGAGGGTCCTGCTGGAAGTCTATAAACAAAACTGTGCTAAACAACCCAGATGTCCAGCTAAGTACTGAGAAAGTCCCGACATTCATGAATTGTCAAAAAATGTTGACCTACCTCGTCAAATCAGATCTTCTTTTTTGAGCCTTTTCTCCTACAATTAAACTCCCAGCAACAAGTTCCCCAAGTGTTTTTTGCAGGTGCAGATTGGCTCTTGGTTTAACTTGCTTTTCCAACACAGAGGTCAAAGCTTCCACTTCAGTCTTTACAGCCTCAAACTGCTCTTGTTTCTGGAGAATGGGGAGGAGGGATTCCTTTTCCAGTTCATCCAAGCTGAGCTTAGGACTGGAAAGAAGATCTTCACACTGATGGAAGAGGTCAACAGCTTTTTGGACAGCTTCACTGTAACACCTCACAGTCCCAAAGGCTTTATCTATGGCGTCCTGTGTATGGAGGAAGAAAAATTGAAAGATAGGAAATGCAACAAGGCAATACAGGACCAAAAATGGCAACCTTTTCTACCAAATGTTTTTCTACGCTAGATATTGATATTTACCAGTGCAGCCCTACTAAAATCCCCCACTTCAGCATATCAATAATTTCTGCTAGTATAATTTGAGTCTCCCTTACCCAAAAATCCAAATCTCAAATATTCCAGAAGCATAATTATTTTTGCTGCCAAATGCACACTTCTGCCTTTGGAGGGGAAGGGGCTAGAGCAGGCATGGGCAAACTTTGGTCCTCCAGGTATTTTGAACTTCAATTCCCACTATTCCTAATAACCGGTAGGCTGTCAGGAATTATGGGAGTTGAAGTCCAAAACACCCAAAAGGCTGAAGTGTGCCTATGCCTGGGCTAGAAGACACATATCCAGCATCTGCTGAGCTTTTCCTCAAGGAGCTGTGATGGGGGAGAGAACAGTGCTAACAGCACATGTGTCCGTGGACACCACATTACATTATCCTATGATGCCACCAGCCCCATATCCACAAGGGAAGCATTTTTGGACTTATTGAAAACGGAAAATCCCAGATGATAGCAATCCTACTAAAATGGATGATTCCAGGAGAAGCATGACATGGAATCACGCTGGAAGAGCTAGACAGAATGTATTTTTTCAGACACTGGTAAGGGAAGCTGACTGGTCCTGTGTCCAACTCTGGGGGGTGGTGCTCATCTCTATTTTTAAGCTGAAGAGCCAGTGTTGTCCGTAGACACCTCCAAGGTCATATGGCCAGCATGACTGAATGGAGCGCTGTTACCTTCCCACAGAAGCGGTACCTATTGATCTACTCACATTTGCATGTTTTTGAACTGCCAGGTTGGCAGAAGCTGGGACTAACAGTGGGAGCTCCCCAGATTTGCAACCGCCAACCTTTTGGTCAGCAAGTTCAGCAGCTCAGAGGTTTAATTATTATAATTTGGCATCATGCTTTTTCCCAGTTTGAGATATAAAGCAGATGAGTATTTTTATTTATTTTATTTATTTATTTCCTATATTTATACCCTGCCCTTCTCCTCCCAAAGGGAGAAAAAGTCACAAAAGTCAGACCTTCTTTGGTAAGAAATCTCCCCAGAAATACAACCCAGAGGAAACATGACCTATTTATGTAGAAGTCGCATAAGTCCAGACAAATGGGCCATGATATTTTTGTCTGGGACAGTCAAGGTGTACAGAGTCAAGAGTATCAAAGATTGGAAAAGTTTCTTATTTTTACTAGAAATCTTCAGAAAGTATGGGCAATTATCCTGGTGTTCACTATGGCTGGGTAATTTGGGTAATGGAATCCCCTAAAGTCATTTCCAAGCTCAAGATTTTAAAAATTTAGGACATAGTGACAGTTTTCTATAGTAACTTGGGTCTCTGGCACCATGCAGATGGATTTAGGAGCGAACAGCCCTTGTGGTCTTTTCCAGGTTTATGATTCTATAGGAGTTCTTGTTATTATGGCCAAATGTGTCAGCTGTTCAATGTACAGAAAGAGTCTGCTTGTATTAGTGACCCTATGATACGTTTTGCATGAACATGGCAGTCTGAAACTCATGAAAGACATGAAGGCTGAGGATAAACTGGAACAGTAATTTTTCTCTGTTACCAAACTGTTTGTACAGTTCTTAAAGTGGAGATGAGTCAAGCTCATGGACTTTGATTTTCACTTTGCTTATGTGCTAGGCAATCCCTCAGAATCTGTCTTTCTGTAGCCTTTCATTGAAAGGGATTGGGGGAAACCCAAACCAAGTGCCCCATTTATCAGCAATGGGAAATGTGACTGATTGGTTAGGAATAGTTTTAGTAACATTAATTTTGGGGCCCAATTCTAACATTTGCTGTGAGGGAAGCCCGGACCTATCAGCAAAAGAACTGGAATGCTTCTCTGCTGTGTGCCATCTGCTGCATCGTTTACCACCAATAAAGCTTATCTTATAGCAAGAACACATATCAGCGTTTCTTACCGAAAGAACTCCTGGGGAGATGTGGAAATACACCCAGTCCCAGAACAGAACATTTTCTAGGACTACTTACCCTACGTGCAGCAATATCAGATTTCAACTCTTCTTTCAGATTTCGCAGTGTCTCTAATTCTGTCCCCAAAATATCTAGGAGGGGGCTTTTTTCTTCCTCAGACTCTCTTTTTAATATCTCTTCCACAGCACAATATTCTGCTTCTGCTGCATCTTCAAGGACTTTGCAGTACATCTTTTCACAGGGAATCATCTGAATCTCCAAGTCAAGCAAAAGGGGCGGTTGGAGCTCAGACTGAATTTGCTTTAAGGTCACCAGACTGTGATTCACAATACTCTGAAGCCCTTGTTCGGGTTGACATTTCTCTTGAGCAGCCAATATCCTGGATTGGATCATCTGAGTCACTCCTTCTATTTTTGCCCCCAAGCTTTTTATTTCTTGCATTTTGGCCTCTTTGAGAGAGATGGAAAGAGATTCATTTGTATCTAATAGTCTGAGTGCTTCCTGAGTTAAACGTTTGGCGTGCTGCACTCGCCAGCTCCAAATCTTTTCTGGTATCAGATTGGTTTCAGAGGTGACATCTGAACAGTCTTTCAGAGCATCACAATCTCTCTGTATTTTAGATAGAATAGTCTCCGCTTCATTAAGTGCTGTTTGATGTCTGTCATACTCTGTGCAGAAACTCTCAAAGCATTTAACCCTGTGGTCAAGGTGAATTTTCATTTTGCACAGTTGGCTTTGCAATTCTCCAAGGCACGATGCATCCCAGTTCAGATCCAGGAATTCCCAGATCTCCTTGTATCTGTCTAGGCTTGTCAAACATTCCAGGAATGATATTGCTCTTTCTCTAAGTGCATTCCATTTACTCTTAAACTTTTGATTCATAGGGAACAATTTCTTTTGATCCAGTTCCAGCTCATTGCACTGAAGGCAAAGGCTACTGAGATCCCGCTGAAGTGCCATGATTTTGTCTGAGAATTTTTCACAGGTGTCTATCTTGTTTTGTACTGTATAGTCCTTAATCTGGATTAGCCTGAGTGCCCTTTTTGCTCTGCTTCTGAAGCTTTGTAAACAATCACTGAGGAATAAATGCTCAAATATTTTTAGCCCCTGAGGTGGATCTTTGCAATTTGCATCGACTAATCCTTCCGTTTCCTGAATATCCTGAGAGAGCTCTTCCGAGATGACTTGCCATGGCTCCATCTCGGATTCGACACTTGCTTCACCTGCATCGAGTCTGGACATGCTTTCCGCCTTACAAAGTTGGCTCTGAACTTTTTCGACATCTGCAAAAAGCTTTTGTCTCTTTTCAAACTGCGGTTTCAGCTGCTGCACCTTCTGAACCAATTTCAGCACAAGACGCCGGTGACAGGTTTGCAACTCACGCGCAAGAATGCCGAGAGCGGAAAATTCCCTGGGCGCCAGCTGGGGAGCGACAAGATGGGCTTCCTCCACCAGCTTCATAACAACTGACTCTCTCTCTTTAGCAACATTGATCAGAGCCTGGAAGCTTTGGATCTGCAGCATCAGTTCACCTGGGAAAAGCGCTGCCTTCTCATCAAGCTGGAGCTCTAAGACTCTTGCCCATAAAATGGCCTCTTCGATCTTCTTGGCAATTTCTGGCCTGTGAGAATAGTTGCCCATCATCTGGACTTCCTCCTTCGGAGTCAGCTGCTCCAGTTCATCCACTTGGTTCTGCAAATCGTTGATTCGACTTTCTAGAGCTGTTTTCCCTGCATCACTCCAAATCCTTTTCATCTGCATGTCAATGCCTCTTCTCAACACAGAAACACTGTGTTTAAGCATTTGTAGTTCTGGGCCCATCAGTGCCAAGCACACAGAGTCTCCTCCATTGGGTGCATCCAAGCCTGTTCGCAATCGGTGCTGCCCTTGCAGCTGATTTTGGAGGTCTTGAATTTTGTCTGTAAAGAGTTTGAATTCATCAGCTTCTGCCGAAACCCAAAGCTGTTTCTTTTGAAGTGAGTCTTCCATTTGCTGCCACCATCTCTCTACTTGATCCACTTGGCTTTCTATTAATGCTTTGTCCATCTTGGTTAGATGTCTAGACAGACTTTCTTGTTCAGTTTTCAGTTTGTTCAGAAGGACTCTTTCATCTTCTATGGATGTCAAGCACTTCTTAATGTTCTCAAGGAGAACAGTATCCTCCATTGGTCCCCTTCTGATGGAACAGAAAGAATTAAAATGTATTTAATATACTTTTACTAGAGCTATTTTGACCAGTCTAACAAGAGGTTAGAAGCACTGCTTTTTAAACTGTGGGTCTCAACACCAAATGAGGTCCCCTTAGCTCAATGTTGGAGCCACAAAAAATTGGTAACAGTAAAGTTATTTATTTATTTAAAACATTTATATTCTGCCCTTCTCATCCCGAAGGGGACTAAGAGAGGAGCACAACATATATATGGCAAATATTCAATGCTGGGTCATAAAATAAAATATAAATATGCATAAAAACTAAAATCAATTATCTCCACTTTAAAATCAATTTTTTAAACCCATTTCTGATCAGCCAAGTTTTGTCATTGGTGTATAAAAACAATTCATGTACTCACATTTTTAGGTTTTCTTTTTCTGTTGAGAAACGTTTCATTGAAGCTTGGACAGTGGCAAAGCATTCTTGGTAGTTATTAACTAAATGCAGCTGTTCTTCCTTGGCCTTTTTAACAGTCATTAAGTCCTGCAGCAGTTTATCCCACTTGGAAGAAGCCACATGTTGTGGATCCGACTTGCTGCTTCCTCCAGCTTTCACGTGTTCTCCTTGTAACAGTGACAAAGCTTCAGCTTTCTGTTTTTCCAGATGAGCACACAACGACTGCAACAGAAATCCAAACAGAGAAGTTTAAAAATAAATTAAATGTAGGGAAAACATTCCTCTGAGAAGTAAGAAAATTAATTTCTTTTGGATCAGAAGACAGAGAGTAATTTTTCAGTGGCAAAAAGTTTACCCTTCTGGGCCTGCAGTAGAGTCCTGTGGCTGAAATGACTACCTGAAAACTGTGACTCCTCCTACAAGCTTTCCTAAGCTTTCAGATCTTTCATGGAAGGCATTTTCTTGACCGTGCCACCATGATAGATGTATGTTTGGTGAGGACACAGAATAAGGTCTTCTTGATGGCTACTTGAAGGCTCTGAAATCTCCTCCTACAGGAAACTATGTTGACTGCCTCTGAAGTCAACATAGCTGAAGATCTGTCCAAACAAAAAGTGGAAATAAAGCTTTTTGTTTTGTTCTCAACCTGTGGGTCCGCAGGTGTTTTGGCCTTCAACTCCCAGAAATCCCAGCCAGTTTACCAGCTGTTAGGATTTCTGGGAGTTGCAGGCCAAAACATCAGGGGACCCAAAGGTTGAGAACCACTGAACAATACCGTTAAGGCCTTCATACACTTTCCTTAGTGGTACAGACAACTAGGATTTCACATTGCATGAGACCACAGCAAAATCAGAAAGAATTGATAAATTATTACTTCCATACCTCAATTTCTTTGAGGTGATCATTCACCAACACAATATCTAACTCTGCAGTCCGGAGCTTCATTTCATTGACCTTTTGTTCCATCTCAGCATATTCCGTAAGGATTTTGTCTTCAGGCAGAAGGTTCTTCTGGGGAACTATCTCTACTCCTGAGACCTAGAGACAAAAAAGGGCTGTCTGAATAAATGTACTACTTTAATTTGTCTTATTCCAGCCTGAAGAACGTCTTATTATTTCTCTAGGATTGAACTAGAAATTAATCTAACAAAACCAAAGAGCATCTCTGATTGAAAATAAAGCAAGATGAAAGATTACTTCATTCGAAACCATGCCTTCTAATTTTAGGTGCTTTGTGTTGGCTTCAGTGGTAAGATGGTGGCTTCCATATTAGTGTGATAGTTAATTTATTCTAGTTTTAAGTCTGAATTCTTTTAAGGTTCAGACTAAAACCCCAAGGTGAATTCACCACCCACATGCTGTGGCGCAGCTGGCTAAGTGTCAGCTGCATTAAGATCACTTCTGACAAAAGGTCATGAGTTCGAAGCCTGCCCAGGTCGGAGTGAGCTTCTGACCAATTGTGTAGCTTGTTGCCAACCTTTGCAACCCGAAAGACAGTTGCATCTGTCAAATAGAAAAATTAGGTACCACCTATGTGTCGGGAGGCTAATTTAACTAATTTACGAGACCATAACAAAGACTCCAGCAAAGCACTCCAGCAAAGCATGCGGGGAATGCGGAAGTACTTCATCAGTGTTGCAGATGGGCCACATGAAAGCGACAGCTCCTCTGGCAGCCAGAAAAGTTAAATAGCCTCTGACTGTCTGTCTATATCTGTTGTATGTCTTTGGCATTGAATGTTTGCCATATATGTGTATATTGTAATCCGCCCTGAGTCCCCTGCGAGGTGAGAAGGGCGGAATATAAATACTGTAAATAAAAGGGACAGCAACCAGCACTGGTCTGTATAGTCCTCAGTAGCCTAGAAAACCTGCTTTCTTAAAATAATAGAATCATATCCTGCCCGATCAATCCTGAACATGCCCACTTTACCCAGCTACTGGTTACAATGTTGACTGAGGTTTTTAAATATGCTTTTATTGTTTTGGTTTTATTGTTTTAATTATACTTGACTGTTACATGTTGTATGTTTTAAGTATGTTACTCTGTAACTCAGGTTTATGCTGGGCTTGGTCCCCATGTAAGTTTTCCCGAGTCCCTTCGGGGAGATGGTGGCGGGATATGACAATAACGTTATAAAGTCTGGAAACATAATTCTTGCAAGTATGGGAAGCATAATGTATTGAAACTACTTGCTTCCAGACTGCTGCCTTCACATTCATCCCTAACACTTAGAAATTGGGTAGAAAAAGAGTGAGGCAAATTAAGTTATGGTAAATGGCTAAACTGGATGACAAACTGCTAATGTTCAATAATGGCACTTAACAATGTGCTCCCACGAAGCTGCGTAACAACAGAGATTATTACAGCGCTCTATGAGAATTGCCTAATGGACAAGGGAGTGGGGCTAGCCCCCCTTATTTTCCCATTCATTACTGGTAATGTGATGGGAGGCATTTCCAAATTGCCATGCATTGCTTGCAATTTCTTTTAATAGCCAAGTCAAGTTTGTGGAGACGATTGTCATCAGCCGTCGTTCGTCCTGATCTCTTCAACCCCTGTCCATTTTGGATTGTTGAATCTGGGAAATTGTAGGCATCTATCCAGCTGTCTTTTAACTCCTGATAAATGGATGAATGTGGTGAGGTAAAAGGGAAGAAGAGGGACAGAGAATGAGGATGCCAAAAAGAAGAAAAAAAGCCCCATGACCTTTGCAGGGTAATTTTTGAAATGCCAATTGCTTTCTTAATGGAAAGAACTCACATGGTAAAAGAATAGAATAAAGGAGCAACAAAGGTCAGAGAAAACCAAATGTATACAGCAGAATCTCCCCGTTAATGTAAGGAGGGGAGGTGTTGCTTAGCGCTATCTTAAAGTCTGTAAATCTGAAAGTTCTCTTTTTGTGTTGCTGTAATCCTATCATTCCTCTGTTAAGGTGCATAGGATTTTTATCTGGAGCAGTGGTTCCCAGCCTTTTTTTAACCAGGGACCACTTTGACCAGAGACCACTCTCCAAGATTAGTACCAAAAGAGTTAGAAATCAGTTTTGGTCAACTTTAGAGTTGGTTTGGTTATTTGGGGTGCTAATTCAGAAAATTGCATTGGATAGACCACATCAGGTCTAGTTTCTAATGCAGAACATATGCCATTCAGTACTCACCATCTGCTCACCCAAAGAAAACCATATTTAATAAGCTTCGGCAATGTGAGAAGGTTTTGTGAGACCAGTCGCTCTCATTGCAACAGTGTAGTAACAGTGAGGTCGCGGACCATAATTTAGTTCTTGTGGACCACTGGTGGTCCATGGACTACAGGTTGTGAATCACTAATCTAGAAACTCTGGCAGCCAGAGGAAGGCATTCTACAAAAGAGTATTGATACTGGTGGGGCTGCTCTCGGTCCTGCCTTCTTCGCAGGCAAGACTGGTGGGGACGAGAGACAGGGCCTTCTCAGTGGTGGCCCCTCCACTGTGGAACTCCCTCCCCAGTGATATTAGATCAGCCCCCTCCCTACTGGCCTTTGGAAAGAGAGTGAAAACTTCCTTGTCTTCCAAAACTTTCAGAATTTTATTAGATTTGTTTCACAATCTGGCATATTGTTATTATCAGAATTTGTTAACTTATTTTGAATAGCATTGTAAATATATATTTTTTGGCTGAAAAGCTTGTTTTACAATCATATCATTCTGACTTGATATCTATATTATGCTTTCCTTCCCAATTTTTTTCAGAAGGCACATTATTGGTAGGGTTATTTTGAACGGCTTTATTTTGTGACATGTCACGTAGATCAGAGGTACTATATAAATGATGATGATGAGGATAACGATGATGAAAAAGAAGGGAGAGGACGTGGTAGCTAAAACAGGAAAAAGGAAGCTCTTGTGCAATGTTTGCTATCTTAAACAACACTTACCGATATTCTTCCTTGGACTTCCATTGCATTGTTCTCTTCAGCATCAAAGAAAAGTTCATCCGTTGTCTCTTGAGTTTGCTCGTCATCAGAAAAACTGTTATTTTGTTTGGCGGCATCGTTCAGAACATTCACAGTCTCTTCTTCTATGTACCCAACTTTAATTTTAAGATGCTTGTTGTATATACTGTGTGGTGCATCCATCTCATCCTTATTACACATCTCCTCTTTGAGGACTTCAACTGCAGCTATAATCCCCTGAAGTGTGTCTTCAATCTGACAAAGAGTATCTTGCGGTATCTTTAAGTGAAGAAGATAAAAATAAAAGAATTACAAGGTGTTTGAATCCACCAAAACTCCAGTGTTGACTTCTGTACTGAGCCATGATTTCAGATTTCAGCTACTGCAAAGATAACCACCTGAAGCCTAACCCTGCCAAGACACAAGTGTGTGCTCTCCACCTACACAACCATGAAGTCAACAGGAAACTGAAAGTTACCTGGGAAGGTCAAGAACTTGGACATTGTTCCCATCCTAAATATCTTGCTGTCACCTTAGATCAAACACTAACATTTGGGAAACACTGTATGAACACCAAACACAAAGTAGTTGCACGCAATAACATTCTGCAGAAACTTACTGGCAGCACATGGGGTGCAGACCCAAAATTAATAAAAACATCAGCTCTAGCCTTGTCTTACTCAATTGCTGAGTATGCCTGCCCTGCCCTGTTTGCCACATGCACTGGGATTGTGGCGCAGCTGGCTGAGTGACAGCTGCATTAAAATCACTCTGACCAAAAGGTCATGAGTTCAAAGCCAGCTTGGGTTGGAGTGGGTTTCCAACCAATTGTGTGTAGCCTGTTGTCGACCTTTGCAACCCGAAAGACAGTTGCATCTGTCAAGTAGGAAAATAAGGTACCACCTTAAAGTGTGGGGAGGCTAAATTAACTGATTTATGAGGCCATAAAGAAGACTCCAGCAAAGCATTCCAGCGGGGAAGCATGCGGGAATGCGGAAGTGCTTCATCAGCGTCGCAGATGGACGATGAAAGCGACAGCTCCCCTGGCGGCCAGAAAAAGTTAAATAGCCTCTGTGTATGTCTGTATATGTTTGTATGTCAAAAATTGGCATTGAATGTTTGCCATATACGTGTACACTGTAATCCGCCCTGAGTCCCCTGCGGGGTGAGAAGAGCGGAATATAAAAGCTGTAAATAAATAAATAAATAAAGTCTGCCCATGTGAAGCAGGGGAACATAGCACTGAATGAAACATACAGAATAATCACAGGATGTCTCAAACCTACATCTGTTGATAGGTTCTACAAGCTAGCTGGCATTGCCCTACCTGATGTGCGACAGGAAGTTCTTGCTAACTGCGAGACAAATAAGGTTGAACATAGTGAAAGCCACCTACTGCATGGCTATCAGCCTCCTCTCAGTAAACTCAAATCAAGCAAAAGCTTCATGAGAACTACCACTCCTCTTAACGTTCCCCCAGCAACAGCAAGAGCATCCCTCTGGGCAGCTAAACCAGGATACCAGGACTCAGAAGTGGAGTGGACAGCTCAAAAGACAACCTGGCAAAATGGCACTACCTTGTGCAACTGTGGAGGAGAACAAACAACTCCTCACCTGTATGCTTGCCCACCATGCCCTGCCTCATGCACACAGGAATAATTGTTTAAAGCCACAGGCAATGCGGTCACTGTTGCCTGGTTTTGGTCTAAAATTATTTAGTTGCTTGTGCTTCCTCTATTTTATCAGTTTTATATTTTTTTATGCTTTTGACACGAAATAAATACATGATTTCAGAAATATCCTCTCCATTGAAATGAATGGAAAGTCTTTTAAGAAAGGATCTTCCATATGTATGATGGCAGTATTCACTCAAAAAGCAATTACTGGATTAAGATATAATCCTACAAAAAAGACCACCCTATCCATGAGTGATATGCTCCTGCCATGGGTATATGGTAACATCCCAGAAAAACATGGCTTAGAACAGGGGTCCCCAGATGTTTTTGTCCTTCAACTCCCAGAAATCCTAACAGCTGGTAAACTGGCTGGGATTTGTGGGAGTTGTAGGCCAAAAATATCTGGGGACCTCAGGTTGAGAACCACTGGCTTAGAATCAGAACCTAGATATGGGTTCTGTGGTTATAAGGATCTTACTGCAGAGATACTTTACTAATAAAACAGGATGCTAGGAGTTCATTCTTATGCTTTCTTCAGCAATGATTCCAGATTGAGTCTGGGGGAATTAGTTTTCTTGAATGACTGAACGAAAATATCCTTTAAATTTAATTCAACCCTCCACATTTGCTGGGATTTGTGGCACAAAAGTACAACTCCATAGTCAGCTGTTGCTAGAACAAACTAGGGCAATCTGGCCCTCTAGGTGTTTTGCACTTCAACTCCCAGAATTCCTTAGGCTGTTAGGAATTGTGGGACTTGAAGTCCAAAGCACCTGGAGGGCCAAAGTCTGCCCATGCCTCTGCTAGAAGATGACCACAGAGTCATAGAATCATAGAATCATAGATATGGAAGAGATCTCGTGGGCCACCCAGTCCAACCCGCTGCCAAAAAGCAGGAAAATTGCATTCAAAGCACTCCAAACAGATGGCCATCCAGCCTCTGTTTCAAAGCCTCCAAGGAAGGAGCTTCCACAACACTCTGGGGCAGAGAGTTCCACTGCTGAACAGCTCTCACAATTAGGAAGTTTGTTCTAATTTTCAGGTGGAATCTCCTTTCCTGCAGTTTGAAGTCATTGTTCCATGTCCTAATCTCCAGGGCATCATGTCTCCTCTCAGCCTTCTCTTATGTGGGATAAACATGCCCAGCTCTTTAAGCCACTCCTCATAGGGCTTGTTCTCCAGACCCTTGAGCATTTTTGTCGCCCTCCTCTGGTCACATTCCAGCTTGTTAACATCTCCCTTCAATTGCAGTGCCCAGAATTGGACACAGTGTGATTCCAATTGTGCTCTGACCGCGGCAGAATAGAGGTGTGGCATAACTTCCTTGTATCTAGAAACTATGTTATTTATGCAGGCCAAAATCCCATTGGTTTACTTGTGAGTCTAGAGATTCTGTGAATAACCAAATCCGCAAATGTCAAATCCACAAATGTGAAGAGATGTTGTTGAAGCTTTGAAGGAAATTTGAATAGCCTCGTAGTCTGAGAGATGGCAAACCACTCCTGAGCAAACCTTTTCAAAAAAGCTTTATGATAAAATCATCATAGGTTTCTGGTGACATGAAGACAAACAATAATAACATTTTTTAACAAAAGGATATCAGATTGTAAAATCATTGTTGAAAAATAGAAAGGCCTCCAGACCTGCTTTGGCTCTTCATCATTGGGATCCCAGAGCTCATTCAGAGTAGCTCTCAGGTGGGTCATCAGCTCTTTGCAACGCTGGTATTCTTCCACATGTCCTTCTAAGAGTATTGCTGTACTCTGAAATTCAAGAAGTTACTACACTTTAATGCAACAAGCAAAACACACCCAATGCTGTTAACAATTACATGTTTTTTCCCGTATAGTTTTCCCCCCTCCTATACAGGGAGGAATGACAGCTCACTACACTCTTTTATAGCTGTCCCCTTGTGTACAGAACTGCGGTATATAAGGGTTCCTCTGATTCATGGGGCCTTTTCACACATTTTTATTGCTACGGATGTTTTAGTTCAAGAAGAGATTATTTGAAATTCTCAGCTAGAGAGCTTTAGTACCACCCCAAACTAAATCCCACAAAGTGGAATAATAGTGCTGTAACTGTGCAATATGAGACGCCCCTGGTCCCTATCTTGAAGTTATTCAACATACAGAACACTGTAATTTTTTTTTGGGGGGGGGGGGAGAATATGCAGCAACTGACCTACAATGCAAACATGCAACTAGAAGTTTGAAATGGAGTGATCAAAAGACAGATGATTCATTTTTATAGAAACATAAGAACAGGACCAATCCAGGAATCATCTATTCAAAACCCTTGTCTGTGCAGAAACACAAAGCAGTTGCTCTATTCCGAATGGAAAATTGAATGTTGGTGGGCAGGAAAAGAGATTTAAAGATGGGCTCAAAGCCAACCTTTAAAACTCTGGCATAGACACTAAGAACTGGGAAGCCCTGGCTCTTGAGTGCTCCAGTTGGAGGTCAGCTGTGACCAGCAGTGCTGCAGAATTTGAAGAGGCATGAATGGAGGGCAAAAGAGAGAAACATGCCAAGAGGAAGGTGTGTCAAGCCAATCCCGACCAGGACCACCTTCCACCTGGAAACCAATGTCCTCACTGCGGGAGAACATGCAGATCAAGAATAGGGCTCCACAGTCACCTACGAACTAACTACCAGAACACCGAACTTGGAGGACCATCATCCTCGGGCTACGAGGGATCGCCTAAGTAAGTAAGTAAGTAAGTAAGTAAGTACACAGTTAAAGATTAATTAAGAGGTGGCCATCTAACCTTTGCTTAAAAACCTCCAGAAATGAGATAAAATCTTTTCCTCCAAAAAAAGAAAAACATTTTGGAAGGAATCACAGCTCCCAGGATGTCCCTCCAAGGCAGTCAGAGGCCAGTTAATGTTGTGTCAGCCTGTTCAGCCTATTATTATGTCTGATGTTCATGATGGGGATGTTCTTGATATCMTCAAACTGCGGCCCTCCAGCTGTTTTGGCCTCCAATTCCCAGAAGCTCTTGCCAGCTTGTTCATTGGCCTGGAATTCTGGGAGTTGGARGCCCAAACAGCTGGAGGGCTGCAGTTTGAGGATGCCWGGGATAGGGGATGAGGGTTTGCTTGGGCCTGAGCTAAGATAAGAAGAGAGGCCCAAACTGTTTAAGAAATATTCACAAGGTCACATTCCTGACAGAGGCCTCTCAACGCTTTTCTCAGAGCAACTGTCTGAAAATGCTGCTGAGATTGATTTTCCAGGTGCAGGAGTTAATGGGGGAGAGAATAGTGAAACCTTGGACTGAAAGCGAAATTTTAATAAACAGAGGCAGAGCTTTCAGAGACTGAGACGATCAGTCCGGCTACAGCAAAAGAGAGATAACAAATTGTTATCTAGTGGGAAGGTCAAGAAAAATACCTTCCTTTCAGTTTTGGAATCTGGAAAAAGTTTATAATGTTTCATGGGAGACAGTTGCCTCAGTCGAGCCAACTTGTATCACAGTCCTGCTTTCAAGTGCTCTGAATTTCATGCACCAAGTTTTTGCCAAGTACAAGTTATGCCGATGGGATTTTCCTGCTGTTTTGTTTCATGGTTTCAAGTGCCTTTCTTCATGGATTTCTATGTATTAATGGATCTTGTTTCCCTTTGAAGCTTATAGTCTATCTTGGATTTTGGACTTTTACTATTTTGCTATTTTTTATTGCTTTGCCTACATATATTCTACAATGAACTGCTTGCTGATTTTACCTAGCTGGTGTGGTGTTTAAGGTCAGAGGTGTTCCTGCTCTGGTGCACAACAGTTAGTCCAAAAAAGGAATGTTTCCAAACTCTGGAATAAATCAATCTTGTCTTTTGTACTCAACAAAGATGCATCTTGTGTGTGTTCAAACAATAAAACAACAACCTTATGGAGTTTCTGTTTTAAAATAAAATAAAAACATTCAGCATCTGGGTGTGATACTGACCTGTAACCGGTTCACAAGACTTCCATGGAGTTGTTGCAAGGCCATCAATGATTCCTCTGAGAATGAATCACCAGTGAAAACCCCAAAGGAACTGTGCTGTCTTGCTAGTTCATTTAAGAGTAAGGTTAAATCTTCAGCTTCCTCTTGAAGGGCTGAATAGTTGGATAACTGACTTTGCATCTCCTCAGAGTCAAGATACAGATCAAGACTTATTTCTTGATTTTGTGTCTCTGAATCGCATGGCACTGCTCCTGCATCCTCTTTTTTCCTCCTTTGTTGCTTCCTCTGATGCTGGAGTTGTTCTTGGTGCCTAAGGAAAAAAATGGGGGGGGGGGGGGTGAATGATGAGTCAACAGTTACGTAAAAAAGATAATCTGTTAACAATTGATTTATTTCGAACATTTTTACACCGCCCTTCTCAACCCCTGAGGGGACTCAGGACGGCTTACAATTGGCAATAATTCAATGCCACATCATAAAATACAAAATAAGAAATATAACAATTAAACATGAACATTAATAAATAAAGATTAAAAATATACTTACACTCTAATTAGCTATTGCCCATCTGGTGGCTGTTTAGCTAGTGATTACTCTGCTTAACTTATCCAAATCCTCTTCCATGCAATAGTCAAACATTATCAATTGTCCTTTAACCAGATTGCCCAAAGGTCTGGTCCCACAGCCATGTTTTAACCTTTTTTCTAAAGATGAGGAGGGATGACGATGGCCTAATTTCCCCGAGGAGCAAATTCCACAGGCGGGGGGCCACCACCGAAAAGGTCCTGTCCCTCATCCCCACCAAGCGTGTTTGAGACAAAGGCGGGGCCGAGAGCAGGGCCTCCCCAGAAGATCTTAAACTCCGAGGTGGGACATAGAAGGAGATACGTTCAGACAGGTACAATAATGACTCATAAACCTATCGGTAGGCTCCAAAAGAGGCCCTAGGCAGGGAATGATAGTTCAATATTAAGGTACATGGCTAAGTTCCTGTGGGATCACTACCATGTGCAAGTTAAGAGAAAAAGACTCACCCTGCTTAATTACAATCCACAGACTGAGTAATTAGAGTAATTAAGGTCAACAAGTTTTTGGGCCACTCCAGAAGGGGTAAAACTGGAGAGTGTTTGTTGTATGACTTAAGGCTTACTTTATGTTTGCTCCTGAGCTTACTTGGCGTAAGCTCCTGGCTTGCAGCCTGTTGGATGCTGGCAAATTTTTCTTCTGTGCTCATCTCCATGAACAATAAATGAAGGTTGGGAGAAGACATATTTTCTGATGGAAAGCATTGCATGAATTAAATGCAAGGACCATACATGAGTTTGATACTCCAGAGGAACCATGACTGTATTGTTACTACTAAGTTTGTGTTGAATTAACTGTTTTTTCATAAACTCTACTGCACAAGACTAACATTTAAGTTTTGCATTTTTTTTCTACTTGTGTTGCTCAGTTTTGAATATACAAAGGACTACTCTTCTGGTGGTCTGCACGCATTGTCAAATTGTAACACATTTTATAACAATTTTTGCTGGATACCCCCCCCCCCCCCCCAATATAATAAACAATGGATGTTTCAAAGGTGACTTGAGTGGGGTGAATAACAGGAAAACAGGGGGAAATGGTTTAACTCTTTCAATCCCCTTCCTCCCGTAAAATGGACTATCCTGCACTCTCTACCGCCCCCTTGTGGCCTCCAGTCGGTAAATGCAAACTATCATGATGGATGAAAACTAAAAAGGCAATGAAATCAAAACAGGAGCAGTAGGCATGCCACTGGGGAAAGTGGAAGGTAAAACGAAGAGGGACCGACCAAGGACAAGATGGATGGATGGCATCCTTGAAGTGACTGGACTGACCTTGAAGGAGCTGGGGGTGGTGACGGCCGACAGGGAGCTCTGGCGTGGGTTGATCCATGAGGTCACAAAGAGTCGGAGATGACTGAACGAATGAACAACAACAGGCATGCCACATCCATTTATGCAAAACCCAAATGTATACAACAGCCTTCCACATGCACTAGTCTCAGCATACTCAGGCAACCATGCTGTTCTATCCAAGGTTAACTGAGGATTACTAATACAGAACTTGGAAAATGTCACTTTCTAGAATCTAGATCATAACTCCTGAATCTTCGATAGCTTCAGTGTGTGTGTGTGTGTATGCATATATGCGTATATGTGTATATGTGTGTGTGCTGATAGGAGTTACACTTAAGAAATGTACATATTCCAACTTAGAAACACATTCAACTTAAGAGCAAACCTAAAGAACCTATCTTGTTTGTAACTTGGGGACCTCCTGTATTTAGAATTCTTGGCCCAAAAGTTCGGATATCTCACCAAACTATGTATCACAAGATTTCTCAGAATGCAATCACAATCGTCAAAGAGGAATCATATCGCTTTTTCTCTTCTTGTGGAGAAAAAAAAGTTGGGGTATAAATAAACATCATCATCATCATCTCTTTCTTCCTCTCCACCTCCCCTTCCTTCTTCCTGTTGCAAGAAGGGGTGGGGTGGGGGTGGGGGGTCAGGCTACCTTTGCATCTCTTTGAAGAGTTTGGAAGGCTCTGCTCCAAAAGAAGGCGGTCTTTCTCTCCACCTCCCCCATTCCTCCTTTTGCCTTTGCCTAATCCCTGAGAAGAGCCACCCCACCCCATCCACCCCAAGAGGGAGAAGAAAGAAGGGACAGAAGAGAGGAAGGCTGTGTTCTTCTTTGGGCAGATGCTTCCACACTTTCCAAACTGATGGTGCTTTTGGGCTCTGCTTTCAACAGAATCAGGTTGGCAGTGAGCAAAAAGGAGCCATATGAGTAGGACACCAGGAAGTCCACACGCTGGGTGGTTGGGGGCCATTGCTATTATGTCCCACCACCTGTCTGGCAGAAATGGGGAAAGGTGCAAAGTGCCCAATTTGCCAGCAAAGGGTGAGGTCTTCAGGGGCCCTGTGCAACCCAAATACTACCCTGGAGAAGCTCATAGAACTTAAGGCAGGCTTGGAGTTAGGAGAAATGGCCATCTACATTACCCACCTCAGACATTCAGTAGCCAGACGGATGGTGCTCTCCCACTGATTTTGGACATCAGAAAGCATTTGCTGAATGGCTTCATTTTTGTTGCCACTAGCACCCTTGACGTTTTCTCCCAGAGCTGCAACATTTTCTAGTTTGGCGTTGCCTTCCTCTTTCAGCAAAACAATTTCCTGCAATTATAAGAAAAGCAGCATGAGAGTAATTAATTTCATTCAACAGTCTTGATCTACCACAAAATTGAAAAAAACAAGGACGATAACATGATATATGAGCTGTCAAGAGCGCCTACTATTCAGCTTCTAGCTAATGTTGGATGGCATGACCACAGCTTAGACATGTAAACTGATTATTACCAAATATAGCAGGAAACAGTCATAAAATGGCAGAAGAAAAGAAAATTGTGGTCTGTTTTCTCTTGGGCAGATTGATTCAACTATGGCCATGAGTTTTCAGTATATGAGCAGCTAATGATCAGATCTCTTAGATGCCTGCCATTCAAAGGCTCGCCTAAGTCAAAGTTGATTTGGCGGAAAATGGCACAAAGCCAATGCCAGGAAGAAAAATATCATGAGTGCAATACTGATGAAGGAGGCATACTAGCAGCCAGTAAATCTGTCTACTTTCTCACACCATGTGTGCAATCCTGGAAGAACTGTAATTGCTCGCATAGTACATCACAGAATTTCTGCATCACAACATTAGTTCAAAATGAGAAATCCAATTCAGGTTCAATTGGGAGAATTTTGGCACAAGGCTAAAATCTTCTGTGGGGAAATGATAATCTTTTCCAATATAGTCAAAGATTTCAACAGAAAGGAGGAAACAATGAACATCAACAAAATCTGGCTACCAGTATTTGAAAAAATTAGGACAGTAAATAAAGAACAACATTCTGAAAACAGGGGAATTCCAGACATGAAATAATCAGGGCCAGCAAACACCTCCCAACAAAGAATTCCACCAGGCAGGAATCAGACAGGCCTTGAAGCTGCAAAGCTTTGCAATGCTAATCAGGGTGATTAATTACAACATTTACACTTGCCTCCAACAGACAAGAGTTCTTTCTCTCACCCTGGACCTTCTACAAATATATAAACCTCCTTTTCTTAGTTCCAACAGACCTCACAACCTCTGAGGATGCCTAGCTATAGATGTGGGCAAAATATCAGGAGAGAATGTTTCTGGAACATGGCCACACAGCCTGGAAAACTCACAGCAACCCAGTGATTCCAGCTACAAAAGCCTTCAACAACACATAGTCAAAGATGTTTTGTACATTGTACATTGAAGTACCTTTATTTGGCGTAGCTTTTCTTCCAGAGGTGTCTTGGAGTCTTCAGAGCTCAGCGTGAGGACCGACTCATTCACCTTTTGCACCCAGGAGAATACATTTTGGGCAAGGTCTTCAAAATTCTTCCCTTCTGCTGAAAGTACCTTAGAAACTGCAAGGTTTTTACGTACATGGCCAAGCAACATCTTGTACTTGTTGACAAGCTGAGCAGATTCTAGCACCACTTCATCGCAGGTGAATCCAGAGCTCCTCAAAGAATTGATCAGCCAAGCAAGAAAATCAAATGACTCTCTGAAGAGTAATAATGAAAAGAAGAACAGATAGACACATATTATTTTTTCTCTTTAGCTATAATATTGCTTATTAGTAAGGCTCATTTTTCCAAGTTATTATAATACTCTTTAAAACATTGAAGTCACAAAAATGAAGTTTCTGGAGTATAACAATTCTTTTTGAAGTTAAGTACGGTACAGTTAAACAGGAAATAACACTTTCAAACTAGGAACAGGAAAAAAAATATCAAATTTTGTTACATAGTGTAATAAAAAAAGCCTTAAAAGTAGACAGAAGTTTGATGTGCAAAACCATAGAAAACAAGTGTATATTTCATTCGAACTAGCACCAAAGTGTAGTGCAAAGGATAAAGAAAGTGGCTTCAACTATGGTAGGGTACCTTTTTTTCAGTAGTGTTAGATAAAAGTGTTCAAATTCCGGCTTCTCCAGTTGACTCTCTTGTAATTCCTGGAGATGCAGCCATTCTGTCAGGTTACTGCAGTCATCTTCAAGCCTTCAGAAGCAAAGTTCAGAAATCAATACAGTCGTTAAGTAAGGTTTAATGATACAGCTGTAAACTCACTGGACAGCAGTCCAAAGCTCATAAATGATATTGAACCCAACCTAATAAACCTTTCGGTTTCGAATTATGACAAAAGAATGCATGTGTGATATTACTGTCTCCAAGACAAGTTCTTTTGCTGACTTTTTCTTGGAAGCTACATCTGAAAGTCCACAAAAAAGTCTCCCCTTCTCAGAGCTGTCAGTCCAACCTCATATTGTTTATGTACTTGCTTTGTACATATTGTTTATGTACAAATGAGGCCTATGTTTATGGAGATCCTCTTCTTGGCTATTTAACAACAACAACATTATATTTGCTACCCTCCTCCCTTCATGACACGAGGCAGGGCACAAAACAGTTAGCACATATCACCATAAAATATATACCATAAAATACATACATTAAAACATACCAACACAACATACATACATTATAAAACATAGTGGAAGGATCACAATGCAATACAAATATATATTAAAATACAAATAGAATGTATATTTTAAATTCTCAGTTTAAAACTGACTGGGTAGGCCTGCCAGAACATGGCACCAAACAAAATACTTTGGTGCCTAAGGCAAAAGAAACAATGGCACACCTTCATACATTCCATACAGACAGGCCCGTAGCCAGGATTTTGTTTTTTTTTTGGGGGGGGGGGTGAGTTTGGTTCGGGGGGGGGGCTGAGTCTGAGTGAAAGAGGGTCTACCCTAGCAAACCTTTTGTATCGTTACCCCAATACCCCCATGCATATGGGATATATTGAGCATGGTGATCAGATCATGATATGAATAAACATAACAGTTAAATAATGTACCAGTAAGGCCTTCTCACAGACCACCATGAGAATTTCGGGAGGGGGGGCTGAAGCCCCCCAACCCCCCCCCCCCCCCGGCTACATGCCTGCATACAGAGAAGCTGATTAAAAAACCAATTTAACCTTAGTTCAGAATTGGTACTGCTGGAAGCAGAAACCATGAGGATAGATCTCCAAGAGGATGGATTAGTTGAGCTTAAGATCAGCTTGGAACTGTTGCTGTGGTTATCACCTCACTCAGCCAAATGGTACAGCCAGCCCCGTTGTGAACCTTCTTGTGTTTTAAGCTAAGACTACCTGCTTCATACTGGCATTGAATACCTAAAATGTAATTTTCTTTGATTCAAGTAATTTTTTTATAATTCATTTTTATTAGTGAATGACATAGAAATAGACAAATAAACAAATAAACACATAATAACATTAATTAAGAAAATTATATATATATACACACACACACATACATATACATACATATATATATATATATATATATATAGAGAGAGAGAGAGAGAGAGAGAGAATAATAAGCATAAAAAGAAAAAAAAGAAAAAGTCAAGTAAAATTTGACATTACAGGTTGAGTATCCTTTATATGAAATGCTTGGGATCAGAAGAATTTCTAATTTTTTTTTCTAGATTTGGAATATATGTCTACAGCATTTACATTCCACCTTCTCACTCTGAAGGGGACTCAAGGCGGATCACAGAACACATAAACGGCAAACATTCAATTCCGTAAAACTGACAGGACAGATAGGAGGCATATATATAGGCATTTTTGTAACTTTGGCATCCTGGAGGTTGTGCTCGATTCCAGCCACAGGTGGGTGCTGTTGCTCCATCCTCTATGTCAAAGAGCCCTTGATCACAGACTTCCTCCTTCCTTTGATCATCAGCATTTTCTGGTATTTCCTTTGCATGGTGCCATAAAATACCTCCCTGCTTAAGTGGTATCTAATTTATCTACTTACAGCTGTTTTAGAACTGCTTAGGTGGACAGTGATCTGGTTTGAAGGTTTGGAGCTCACCCCGACCTGGACTTTGAATTGCCAACTTTTCAATTGGTAAGATTAATTGCAGCTGGTAATTAACCAGCTGTGCTAAAGCCTGGCCCAGTATTTGTAAATACTGACATACTGAGTTATCCAGGAGATGAAATCCAAATCTAAACATGAAATTCATTTACGTTTCACATTACACTTTACAAATGTGGCCTGAAGGTCTCATGCAATATGTTTACAAATCTTGTGCATTAACCACTTTTTTGTACACCGAATCATCAGAAAGCAAAGGTATCACTATCTCAGTCATCCACGGGGACAACTTTGGATTTCAGAGCTTTTCTGATTTCAGAATTCTGGATAACAGATGCTTAACCTGCATTTTCACTGTTACCTCATCACCAAATTTGCCTCTGGATTTTGGAACCTGGGACCAGTAAAAGCAGCAGGACAAAAAGCTGTCATTTCTTTTTAAACCCAGGTCCATAAGGAACCTTTGTTTTTTCAAACCAAGTGCTGAATCATACCTCTGGGAGGTTCCTAAGACAATAATTTGGGGGAGGGGGGGGGGGCTCATGCTCTTCTGAAGTTTGCTTTAACCTGAAATTAAAGTTTTGTTGTTGCACTGCTGAAGTCTTTTGTCATAGACCCAAATTCGATTATAGATACGGTGCAGCAGCAAACACAGAAAGAGACAAGGAATAAACACATGTTGCTCAACCTTGAAGTAGTCAAGAAGTGTGATATTTGTGTTTCAATGAAGATTTGTAATTTGAGTTTCTTACCTAGCAAATCGCTGTAAAGAGTTGCTGAGCTCCTCTTCTTGTGCCTGACATCTGGAAGTGACTTTCTGCAATGCCACGTCTTTGTCCCTCACCCAACTGCTCAGCTGGCGGACAGTTGCTTTGGGCAAATAGTGCTTCACTTGGCTCAAGAGAGTTTTCACCTCCTGGATATCCCTGTCTTTCCCTTCAGAAGTCAGGAAGCTCTGGAACAAAAAAGAATCACAATCAGTTTCTATTTATTTATTTTGTCAGAAGAAAGTTGAGAGTACAGTTAAGATGCATTTTAAAACATATTGTCAAATGCTTTCATGGCCAGAATGACTGGGTTGTTCAAGGTTTTTTGGGATGTATGGCCATGTTCTAGAAGCATTCTCTCCTGACAAACCTCACAACCTCTGAGGATGCCTGTCATAGATGCTGTTGGAGCTCTGCCTGTGATTGTGTTTTGGGATCAGGATGCTTTGGATGTGGGGATGATAGTGTGCTCCCTGAATTGCTACCAAAGAGTTCCCACGATTTGGAGCTTGAAAACAGCTCGGTGCCTGGTGCAAAAATTAATGAGCAAATAGATAGATGGGAGGAGATTAGTCAAAACAGAAAAGCCAAACAGTAGCTTCGGTGTTCTGCCAGGCTCCGAGAGAAAAAGATAAGAGATTCCAAACTAAAGCAAAACCAATTTCTGAGTGCTTGGAACATAGCCCATGAGGAGATAAAAGTCCCAAGTACAGGATATGTAGTCAGATGAAGCATCGTTTGGAATCAAGTCAAGATCTCATCCTTGTTTCATGGAAGCCTAGCTTGGAAGATTCATGTTTCAGTGCCTTTTGTTTTATGGTTTTGATTCTTGGATTCTATGATTCTGTATTCATGCTTTGGATTCATGTTTCCTGGTTTCATGGTTTTGTTTTCATGGACTTTTCTGGACTATTTTCCCTGGACTATGTTCCTGCTTATCTTTTTCCATAATTAAATTTACCTATTTCTTTAAAGTGCTTTTTTTACTTTACTGCTTTTTAATTATCTTCAATAAAAGGATTGTTTTTCCTACTCAACGACGTGGTGTTTAAAGTCAGAGGGCTTTTCTTGTTCTGGAGTGCAACATATGTAGGTGAAACATCAGGAGAGAATGCTTCTAGAACATGGCCATACAGCCCAAAAAACCCACAACAACACAAAGTTGAAAAAAAAACTTGGCATTGTGCTAAACGTCCTTTGACCAGAAGCTGACCACTTGGAGTGCCTCTGGTGTCACTGTGAGATGCCTGGAGCCACCAACCTCCAGTGATAGAACTAAAATCTAAATCAATGAGACTAATTACTCTCGTAATGATTGATGATAGATTAAAATGTTTTAATTTTAATCCAGTAAGAAAGGAGTGCCACGTTCAGTCTTTGGGATACTGACACAGAGGTCCTTGCATCAAGTAAAAGCCTTACCCTCAGCTGTTGAATTTTCTCTTCAAGCATCTCCTTTGTTTCTGAGGTTTCAAAACACTCCTCCAGAGAGAGCTGGGTGCTGCTGAACCACTCATCGAAATTCTTACATTGATCTGCAGAAAGATACATTTTTAAATATGACTTGGGACATAATGGCACGATAAAGGGAGAGGGAAAAGGCACCACATATAGTTGTCTGAGTGCTCACATACTGAATCACAAAATCATAGATTTGGAAGGATTTTCAAACTCTGAATGGTTGAATCTGTGGATGTGGAGAGCCAATTGTATACTCACAGTTCAAGAGAGTAGTAAAGTGATCCTGAAAGATTTGCTTCTTTGAATTAAATAAGTCAGTGACACTTTTAAGTTGCTCCTGTAATTCAGCCACTTCAGGGTTCAAATAACCTGGCCCTTTCTGAAGTGACTCCACGTGGTGTTTCTGTTGTAGTATCTTATGATGTAGATCCTAATTAAGAAAGAAAAAGACAACTTGAGAGAAAGCTTATGCAAAGACTATTGAAGTATCTGGTAGATCTCAAACCAGTAATATTTGTAATTAGAAGCTTTGATCCAACACATTTTCTGCATGGATTTCTTGGGGGTGTTTTGAATGCGATTCCTGCTTCTTAACAGGGGTTGGACTGGATGGCTTACAAGGTCTCTTCCAACTCAATGAATCTATGAATCTATTATTTATTGACAATTGATTTATGGAGATTTTGTGAATTCATAGAATCATAGAATCCTAGAGTTGGAAGAGAACCTTGTGGGCTATTCAGTCCAACCCCCTGCCAAGAAGCAACCCCAACAGATGGCCATCCAGTCTCTGTTTAAAAGCCTCCAAAGAAGAAGCCTCCACCACACTCCGGGGCAAAGAGAGAGAGCTTCACTGCTGAACAGCTCCCTCACAGTTAGGAATTTGTTCCTAATGTTCAGGTGGAATCTCCTTTCATGTAGTTTGAAGCCATTGTTCTGCATCCTAATCTCCAGGGCAGCAGAAAACAAGCTTGCTCCCTCCTCCCTGTGGCTTCTCTTCACATATTTATCCATGGTCCTCATCGTGTCTCCTCTCTGCCTTCTCTTGTGAAAGCTAAACATGCCCAGCTCTTTAAGCCACTCCTCATAGGGCTTGTTCTCCAGACCCTTGATCATTTTAGTTGCCCTCCTCTGGACATATTCCAGCTTAGAGTCAACATCTCCCTTTAATTGCAATGCCCAGAATTTGATACAGTGTGATTCCTGGTGTGGTCTGACCAAAGCAGAATAGAGATATAGCATGACTTACCTGGATCTAGACACTATACTCCTATTTATGCAGGCCAAAATCCCATTGGCTTTTTTGCCTCCACATGAGATTGTTGGCTCATGTTTAATTATATAGGACTTTCTTAGATAAGGAATGCAAATGGCTTTTAGAGGACGTGATACAAACAGCTTTTAAACCATATTTTTCTTAGAGAAGGAATATAAATGGCTTGCAGATGGGGATGCTCTTCAAGAGAAAAATCTGGATAGAATACAGGCTTGTGAAAAAGTCTCCCTCTTAATGTCTTGATGATAAGCACACCCTTTTTGTGAGTAAAGAGTGGCGGAAATGTAGCTGAAATTATCCAGATCATATTTTAAGACTGGTTTCAGCTCCCTAATTAAAAGTGAATCTTATTGAACAAAACGAGAACAAGGCACAAGAGTAAAGGCAAAGATCCACCCAGAGGAAAAGTGGGTGGCTCAAGGGAACCACTTAACACATTGCGAAGCTGATGAAAAACCACAACCTACAAACTATCAACAGACCCATGAAGATAATCCAACAAATGCTACGTTCAGCAAAGAGGGGTCCTTACACTTCTGCAGGAGTCTACCGTACACCATGCAGCTGTGGACAAGTCTACATAGGGACCACCAAACGCAGCAGCATTGCCCAGACATGAATCAAGGAACATGAAAGGCACTCCAGACTACTTCAACCAGAAAAGTCAGCCATAGCAGAGCACTTGATGAACCAATCTGGACACAGCATATTATTTGAGAACACAGAAATGCTGGACTGCTCTAACAACTACCATGTCAAACTACACAGAGAAGCCAGTGAAATACACAGGCTGTGGACAATTTCAACAGAAAGGAGGAAACAATGAAAATTAACAAAATCTGGCTACCAGTATTTAAAAAAACCTCTAAAATCAGGACAGTAAATAAAAAGCACGGGAACTGCAGACAAGAATCAATCAGGGGCAGCTAACACCTCCCAACAAAGGATTCCCTCAGGCAGCAATCAGCCAGTCTTTGAAGCTGCAAGGCTTTACAATGCTAATCAAAGTGATTAATTGCAACATTCACACTTGCCTCAAATAGACAAGGGTTCGTTCTCTCACTCTGGAAATTATTCCACAGATACATAAACCTCACTTGCCTAGTTTCCAACAGACCTCACAACCTCTTCAAATGCCTGCCATAGATGAGGGTGAAACATCAGGAGAGAATGCTTCTGGAACATGGCCATGCAGCCCAGAAAACTTACAACAACCGAGTGAATCCGGCCATGAAAGCCTTCAACAACACAAAGTGACTATACTGTCACTTACTGTAAACTGGCGTATGTATTGCTGCATTTTTTATTGAACTTCTACAGTTTTTAGGAATAGGGGGTGAAGAGGAGGAAAAAGAAGAGAAGTAGTTGACAGTTCTGCAATCCTCTATCCATACTTCCACTTCACAAGTGCAAGGAGCAATAAAAGTTTTTAGTTTCCTTTGTGGGCTTTGGAGGACTTCTAAACACATCGCTCACAATGGACCATCACAAAAAATACCCTTGGTATAAACCGAAGAAGTGGAAATGAAGAGTGTGTGTGTGTATCTTTGGAGTACCTCCAATTTAGTAAAGATCTCCAGAGTGTCAGAAGGAGACAAAGCTTTCAGAAGCGATTCCGTCATTCCAATCTGCGTCTTGGCCAGGTCAAGGTCTCCTTTTAGCTCTGCTGTATTGCCATTGAGTTCAGCGGGTATTGACTTGCTTGGTAAGTGCTTTCTTATTCGTTCCATTTTGTTCAAAAGAGAGGATTTGATGACCTGGAAAATGGGAAACACAGAGGCAAGGTTAGAAGTTCTCCTGGCCTATTTTCCTACTGTATAACTTCACAAAAGCAAGTTAGAGAGAATGCTACTGCTATTCGTACTCATCCGCCTTCTCTTCAAAATGATGGTTTCCTTCTGTTTCTGAAAATCTTTTTCAGATATTATATAATTCTTTAAAAAGTGCAAAACCTAAGACTCCTTAAAGATGACCCCACTTGTTACAAACTATGTGGAGCTACTGCTAAAAATGGCATCTTCTGTCTGCAGTTCTCCATTGATTCACCGCAATATCTAGCAAAACTTGCCGTTGTGATAAAATGCAACATGAGTTTCTAAGAAGCATTTACTTTAAGAGCAGGGGAGGTGAGATGGCTCACAAAAGTCCATGACTTCTTTCCACTTGGGACCCCTTTTGCCCTGAGAAATTTTTATGTGACCCCAAGTATATAGATTTTATTTATTTATCATGGACCAGGGATACAGTTGTAATGTATTTCAAAACACAAACAAAGTTAAAAACTTGGCATTATATTAAATGTCCTTTGACCAGTAGCTGGCCACTTGGGAGTGCCTCTGGTGTTGCTATAAGAAGATCCTCCATTGTGCATGTGGCAGGGCTCAGGTTGAATTGCAGTAGGTTTGTGGTTTGCTCTTCTCCACATTCGCATGTCATGGACTCTACGTTGTAGCCCCATTTCTTAAGGTTGGCTCTGCATCTCGTGGTGCCAGAGTGCAGTCCGTTCAGCGCCTTCGAAGTTGCCCAGTCTTCTGTGTGCCCAGGAGGGAGTTTTTCATTCGGTGTCAGCCATGGATTGAGGTCCCACGTTTTAGCCTGCCACTTTTGGACTCTTGCTTGCTGAGGTGTTCCTGCAAGTATATCTGTAGATCTTAGAAAGCTATTTCTTGATTTGAGGCACTGGCATGCTGGCTGATATCCGAACAGGGGATGGGTCAGAGAAGTCACTGCCTTGGTCCTTTCATTATTGGCTGCTACTCTCTGGCAGATATCAGGTGGTGCAATACCGGCTAAACAGTATAATTTCTCCAGGGTGCAGACACTCTTGATATTGAAGCCTGTCTAATTAAGAGCCACATCCACTGTTTTAACATGGTGAGATGAGTTCCACACTGTGCATATTCAGCAGCAGAGTAGCAAAGTGCAAGGGCAAATGTCTTCACTGTGTCTGATTGTGATCCCCAGGTGGTGCCAGTCAGCTTTGGTATGATATTATTTCTAGTACCCACATTTTGCTTGATAGTCAAGCAGTACTTTCTGTAAGTCAGAGCACAGTCCAGAGTAACTCCCAGGTAGTTGGATGTGCTGCAATGCTCCAGTGGGATTCCTTCCCAGGTCATCCTCAGAGCTCGAGATGCTTGTCTATTCTTAAAGTGATAAGCACATGTCTTCATTTTAGATGGATTAGGAATCAACTTGTTTTCCCTGTAATAGGCAGTAAGAGCACCTAAAGCTTCAACCATTTCAAAGCTCCCTGCTTGGCCGGTGATGGCACGATCGTCGATATAGATGAAATTCTCTGTCTCTTCTGGCAGTAGCTGATCATTTGTGTAAATGATATAGATATATGAAATAGATATAAAAATCAGACATTTACTGATAACATATCAGCATTTGCAAGACTTCTAAACAGGCTGGTGGAGAAAGCTTGCATGATTTCCAGAGTCATGAAAATCATACATGCAGCGAAGGGACAAGAAGGTGAGTTCACAAGGTTGGACAGAGTGCCAGGGATATGTTTATGAAAATAAATTTCTAGTGAAACACTAAAAAAAATATACAGTAATTTTGGCGTTGCTTCCTCTGATTAAATGGTCAGTGTAGATGGGGCCATAGCCATTCTCAAACCACCACTTTCTCACCTGCAATTCAAGTGAAGGTTCACTGCCGTTGAGGAGATGTTGAATTTCAGCCACCTTTGTGTCAAATTCTTCTAAGTTCTTCTCTTGGAACTCTAAACCAGCCTGTAATGAAAAGGGGGGGGGGGGAGACATATTCTGCATCAAACAACAAAACTTGGTTAAATTTAATTGGGATTCCAACAGTAAGAAACAAATGGGGATAGTAGAATCTTAACAAAGTAACTAAATAGATATCCAGTGGGAAGAATGTGTATGAATTTTGAAAATGTTTACGCTATCGCCTCATTGACTTGTGCTGCGACTCTGCTAATCAATTTGGCCCACTTTATGTGATCTGGAGCATAATTCCGCCATCTTGTTTGCTCAGTGATATGGCTAATTTGATAGTCAACATGTCCATTGGGTACATCCTGATCTACAGGGTTTCTACTGAGCCCCGGTGCTTTCATTAACATGGATAGCTTTTTGAGAGTATATATATGATCAGTTATAAACCAAGTATATAAACAAGGTTGCAACAACATCTGTTATAGAACTCCAGTACACTGATGACAATGTCATCTGTGCGCATTCAAAAGAAGACCTAAAAGCCACTCTAAACACCTTAACAGAAGCATATGAGAAGCTCTTCCAGCAGTCACCAGCCAATCCCTCTCCAATGCCAAAGATACAGCTTAACAGTGTAGCATAAGAAAATGTTCATCATTTCCGCTACCTTGGCAGCCACCTCTCCACAAAAGTCAACATTGACAATGAAATACAACACCGCCTGAGCTCTGTGAGTGCAGTTTCCCCCCGAATAAAGCAGAGAGTGTTTGAGGACCGGGACATCCATAGGGATACCAAGGTGCTTGTTTATAAAGCTATTGTCCTCCCAACCCTGTTATATGCCTGCGAGAAGTGGACAGTCTATAGACATCACATGAAACTCCTGGAACGATTCCATCAGCGCTGCCTCTGGAAAATCCTGCAAATCTCTTGGGAAGGCAAGTGGACAAATATCAGCGTGCTGGAAGAAGCAAAGACCACCAGCATTGAAGTGATGGTCCTCCACCATCAACTCCACTGGACCGTCTCCCAAAGCAGTTGCTCTACTCCAAACTCTAGAACAGAAACTGGAATGTTGGTGGGCAACAAAAGAGATTTAAAGGTGGGCTTAAAGCCAACCTTAAAAACTCTAGCATAGACACTGAGAACTGGGAAGCCCTGGCCCTTGAGTGTTCCAGTTGGCGGTCAGCTGTGACCAGCAGTGCTGTAGAATTTGAAGAGGTATGAAAGAGAGAAACGTGCCAGGAGGAAGGCGCGTCAAGCCAACCCCGACCAGGGCCACCTTCTACCTGGAAACCAATGCCCTCACTGCGGGAGAAGATGCAGATCAAGAATAAGGCTCCACTGTCACCTATGGACCAACTAGTACACTGATCTTGGAAAACTATCCTACTCGGTCAATGAGGTATTGCCTAACATATGATCAGTAGTGGGAAGAATGCAATGCAACTGACTCTTTAATAGCTCCATTTTTCACATTCAATATTATCTAAAAGGCTGAAGTCATCAGCCGAAGGAGGGATGGTTGCAATGGATGAAACTGATGAGAAATACGACTCCTGTATCTTTAACAATTGCCTAAGAGGGGGAATTGTAGCAGGCATTACACATTACCTGACTGCATTACATCACTGGTCATCTCTTATCCAACTACTAAGCAGGCCTGAACATGCTTAGCTTACAAAATTGGATGAAAATGGTTGTCTTCGTGGTGGTCTACTGCTATACTATTATCAGCACTATTCACAAGCTCTAAAGTGTTGCAACTACATCCCCAACAAAGTCAAGTATTGTATATATTATGCACCAAGTGTTTCCAAAGAATAAGTATAATCTACCAGCAGTGAGCTCTGAATAACAGGCACATTCTGCATGCCAAAGCCTCCAGTTTCTCCAGCATCACTGGGGAGGCGTGGGAAAGATCTTTGTCTGAAATCTAAGAGCCATTGCCAGTCAGTATAGTCAGTACTGAACTAGATGAACCAATGGTCTGACTCAATACAGTTCAGGGCCAGGCAATGTATAGGCATTGGACTCTTTTTAGCCTGTCAACAACGTAAACAAGAAATGATAAAGTCAATTTCATTTCAATTGGATCTGGATGTAAGGTCTGTTACCTGCTTTAATTGTACCACTCCCCACTCCCCCCAAATACTGGCTGAGATCCTGCATGAGGCTATGATGTTGCAGCTACTCTCCACCACCTGATGTGGCCCCCTAAAACCCATCTCAGAAGGCAGGCATCTGTATCAAACAAAGAGATTCCGTTCCATTCTCAAGTAGAGTACTAAAGGATGACACTGCAGTTCCTTCCTGCCCCAAGGAGTTGGAACAGGACCATGCAGGTGTTTGCTCCTGTTTGTTGCACCACTGGGAGGGGAGAGGCTGGATGCACCATCTTTCAATGTTCTGTTTTCCAACACTACAGAACTCCTTTATTCAGTACTAGCCATCCCCTGCCATGCATTGCTGTGGCCCAGCCTGTGTATATGTGTTTTGTGTGTGCATATATTTGTTTGTGTGTGTGTGTGTGTGTGTGTGTGGCTTTGCGCATGTGTTGTAATGAAGTTTTTGGCTTTTTAAGTCTCTTCCATTGTATTTTTCAGTGTTGTTATGAGTGATGGTCACTCATTGGCCTGATGTGTGTCTTGAGTCCAAATTTGGTGTCGATTCATCCAGTGGTTTTTGAGTTATGTTAATCCCACAAATGAACATTACAATTTTATTTATATACATCACTGCAGTGGTGTGGAGCCCCCAGTGGCAAATGGGTTAAACACTTGTGCTGACAGGTCAGCGATTTGAATCCAAGGAGAGCGGGTTGAGTTCCCTCTGTCAGCTCCAGCTCCCCATGTGGGTACATGAGAGAAGCCTCCCATAAGGATGGTAAAACATCAAACATCCAGGCATCCCCTGGGCAACGTCCTTGCAGACGGCCAATTCTCTCACACCAGAAGCAACTTGCAGTTTCTCAAGTTGCTCCTGACACACACACAAAAAAACCACAACTCTGGTGGCGCAATGGGTTAAACCCGTGTGCCTGCTGAACTGCTGATCTGAAGACCTTAAGGTCAGTGGTTTGAATCCTCAAGACAGGATGAGCTCCCGTTTGCCCACCCCAGCTTCCCATGTCGGGACATGAGAGAAGTCTCCCACAGGATGGTAACACATCCAGGTGTCCCTTGGGCAACGTCTATGTAGATGGCTGATTCTCTCACACCAGAAGAAACTTGCAGTATATTCTCAATTCGCTTTTGACATGATAAAAAAGTATCACTGTCTGTGTTTTAAGGAGGGTTGAAAAGGCATTTGCAGTTGTGGCAATGCTACCATGATTGTAAATATGGATACAGGGTTTAGCTAATACGTTTAGCTAATGACATCATGAAAGTGAGGGCAGTATCTTAAAGGGCATCTCTGTGTGTGCCAGTAAGAGGGGAGGCCACTTCACCTAGTTACAGCCAATCCAGTGACATCATAGAGGGCCACTTCACCTAGCAACATCCTTTGCTGGACAGACAGACATTGACTTTCAGAGAGAAAGAGAGACTCTGTGAACTTTACTTCCAACTCTACCTTCTTCAAGTTTTTTATTACTTGATATATAATAATAAATATTTATTTGTATCCTGCTTTTCTCCCTAAACGGGACCCAAAGTGTTTCCATGAACTTTACCTCCAACTGTGCCAGCTCCTTCTCGGTCGGGCTGCCATCTTCTTCTAAGTTCTTCAGTTGTGCATTTGACCATTCCTCGATCAAGCCAGATAAATTAAGGAGCTTGTCCCATAAAGCCAGAGCTCTTCCCAAATTGTCGCAATAGTTTTCCGTCCGTTCATTGACCTGGAAGGTTTAACAGGAAAGCAAGAAGAAAGAAAGGAAAATAAACCCAAAAGGCTTTGCAATCAAGCAACTTCATCTACGAAGTGGAATGAAGGGTGGAACGAAGCCAGCCACATAAACAGGAAGGGGGAGGGGAGGGTAATCCAATGTGCCCGTTGGATGGAGACACTTTCTTACCAAATACAGCTTTGGATATTACCATATCAAAGACAGACAGCAGCTCCCCAGGTTCTAAAGACAGGTCTGGCAAGGTGGTTTTGGCTCATCAGATTTGAGCTTCTCCCAAAAATGTGTCCCGACTAGTCTGTCGGTGAGGAAATGCCCAGGCAGATGCAACGGAGATTCAGCGTCTTTTACTAGCCTTTTAAGAAAAGCCTTTTCTACAGCCTGTTCCTAAGATCAGCTGTCACAGCAAAGCTCCCAAGCAGGCTTATCTATCTATCTATCTATCTATCTATCTATCTATCTATCTATCTATCTATCTATCTATCTATATCCCACAAGACAATATTGCTTGTCTAAATTTCCCAGAATTGTCCCTTACTAGAAAACCCATGCCTGACATCGGATGGCAAGCCATACCGATCTGCCACCCTGATACCCGACGTCACACTATTTTGCACATTTTTAACCCTTTTTCTTCTTTTATGCTTCACCAACATGCTGTGTTTAATTCATCCAAAATATTACCCCTGAGTCAGAATCAATTAGTGTAATGCATATCAGATCAGACCACCCCAACCATTTCTTTTTTACATACATCCAGCCATCTGTCCACGATAGCGTTAGCCTCATTCTCGAAGGGCGGCTCCTCAAAGGTCTTAATTTTGTTCAACTGGGACTGAAGGTTTTTGCAGATCTGGTTTATTCGGTCAACATCTTCCGAATGGCTATTGAATTCCTGTTTTGCCTTGTTGACCTGGGGGAAAGTGAGAAGATGCATTTTGAAGTGCATTGCACTGGAGGCAAATTCCAAGTGAAAAACAAACGGACAAAAAACACCTCAACTTCTCTTCCTGTGTTTCTCCATCTCTGTGTAATATGGCACAAATAGTTCCTATTTTATCATTTGTATTTAATGTAAAAACACAGTACAAAAATAAAAAAGAAGATACATTGCACTGAGAGGTTTCCCAGTTCCCAATAAGAAACAAAAGTATTTATTGTATTGTCGAAGGCTTTCATGGCCGGAATCACTGGGTTGTTGTAGGTTTTTTTCGGGCTATATGGCCATGTTCTAGAGGCATTCTCTCCTGACGTTTTGCCTGCATCTATGGCAAGCATCCTCAGAGGTAGTGAGGCACCTCACTACCTCTGTGTTTTTTTGTTTTTGTTTTTATGAGTGATGGTCACTCGTTGGCCTGATAAGTGTCTTGTGGCCAAATTTGGTGTCAATTCATCCAGTGGTTTTTGGGTTATGCAAACTTTGAAATTTGTCAGCTAGATCCCATAATGTTGATTTCTATGTTTTACATATTTTTCAAAGTTTTCATAATCCCACAAATGAACATTACATTTTTATTTATATAGATTATTTACTTCATTTTTACCCCGCCTTTCTCAACCACGGAAGGGACTCAAGGCGGCTTACAAATTGTGCAAACATTCAGTGCCGCACAGGTAAACAATAAAGCACATCTGATCAAAATATAACAATCTAAACATATAAGCAATTAAAACATGACTCAATCAACCAAACAGATTAAAAACCATGTGTAAAGTAAGTCATTCTTAGAGACGTTGGGTCCAAAACAAAGCCAATATAAGATTCGTATGTTACTTTTGCTCTTCTTACATGGTATAACATGTCAGCTAGATCCCATATTTAAATGTCTATGTTTTACACATTTTTCAAAGTTTGCATCAAGACTGCAAACAAACTCAATCAAAGCCTTCTCTTCTTCAGTCTAAACATGCCCAGCTATTTAAGCCGCTCCTCACAGGGCTTGATCTCCAGACCCTTAATCATTTTAGTCACTCTCCTCTGGACACAAACAGACAAGAGTTATTTCTCCCACACTGGACATTCCACAGATATATAAACCTCACTTGCCTAGTTCCATCTGACCCCACAATTTCTGTGGATGCCTGCCATAGAAGAGGTGAAATGTCAGGAGAGAATGCTTCTGGAACATGGCCATTCAGTCCCCGAATACTCAGAGCAACCCAATTAAAACTAGTTGATCTTCTTCATAATTGCCACCTCATAATTCATGGAATAATAAAGGTAATTAAAGGCAAATGTTAAGATATATTAACCGCAGAGATAAAAACCACCACCATAAACCACAATTCCGCTTTTTTAAAAACCACAAATCTAAAAGTTTTTTTTACACCCACACATTTAAGACAATAAAAAATAAACAGAGCTCCATGTGCTGGAACTAATTAAAAACCAAATGCCTTGATAAAGAAAAAAATGTATTTCTCTGCTGGTGGGAAGACAGCAAGAGGAGCCATCCAAACTTCTCACGGATGATGGAGGGACCAAGAGAAAGTCTTCCTCTGCAAATGCTAAAACTTAGGCTTGTTTAGGGAGAAATATAATTTGTATCCCAGCCATATAGGCTTTAACGATCATAACCAGTACTATGAATTATTCTTGGGAATTGAAGCCAGTGGAGCTGTTATATACTTCAGCCCTCCAGGTGTTTTGGACTTCAACTCCCACAATTCCTAACAGCCGGTAGGTTGTTAGGAATTGTGGGAATTGAAGTCCAAAACACCTGGAGGGCATGAGTTTGCCTTAGCCAGATCTACACTGTAGAATTAATGGAGTTTTGCTTTAGTTTAACTGCCATGGCTCAATGCTATGGAATTCTGGGATTTGTAGTTTGCTGAGGCTCCAGCACTCTTCAGCAAGGAAAACAAAAGACCTTGTCCAACTGTAGTGAGCTGCATTAATCCTCCACTGTAGATTTATTATTATTTTATTATTTCCGGTATTTCTATCCCGTTCCTTCTCAACCCCTGAGTCCCCGAAGGGGGACTCAGGACGGCTTACATTTGGCAGCAATTTGATGCCACTACATATAACAGAGCAATATAATAACAATTCAAACAATGAGTAAAACATTCCTTAAAACAATATAAAACAGTATTAACAGCCGTATCACCATTCCAGTCAATTCCATATCCAATTCCATGTCCAAAGTGCTATCTATGTCTGTTGTCCAAAAGCCTGGTCCCAGAACCACGACTTCATTTTTTTCCTAAATGCCAGGAGGGATGGAGCCAATCTTATTTCAGTGGGAAGCGAGTTCCACAGGTGGGAGGCCACAGCTGAGAAGGCCCCGTCTCTTGTCCCCACCAGACGTATTTGCGACGCTGGCAGGAGCGAGAGCAAGGCCTCCTCAGATGATCTTAAACTGCAAGGCGGGACATAGAGGGAGATGCGTTCGGACAAGTAAGCTGGGCTAGAGCCGTATAGGCTTTATAGGTCAAAACCAGCACTTTGAATTGAGCTTGGAAGTGGACCGGCAGTCAGTGGAGCTGGCACAAGGGGGTGGTATGCTCCCTGTATGTCGCTCCAGTTAACAATCTGGCTGCTGCCAGTTAGACTAGTTGTAATTTCTGAATAGTCTTCAAAGGTAGCCCCACGTACATTACACTGCAGTAACCTATTCGGGATATAACAAGAGCGTGGACCACTGTAGCCAGATCAGACTTCCCAAGGTACGGGTGCAGCTGGTGCACAAGCTTTAACCGTGCAAAAGCTCCCCTGGCCACCTCCGAAACCTGGGGTTCCAGGCTCAATGATGAATCCAGGATCACATATATTACATATATTAGAAACCAACACTTTCTCATTACTTTATTTTCCAGATCAACAGACTGGGCCACAGCAATGCGTGGCAGGGGACAGCTAGTATAATAATAATAACAAAACACCATCCCAACTTTACAAGTGGAGAATGCAATGCCAGATTTAATTTTCAATTCCTCATTTCAGACTTCTCTGCCCTGAGACAGATGTTTACAAAGCGCAGAAGAAGACAGGCGCTGAAACAGTGCCCTCTAGCGTCTGCAATTGGACCACTTCCATTAATGAGGTCTTTGTTTTTCCAGCAGACAATGAAGTCTGTTCTCTAGCAGATACAGTAAGAGGATGGGAAAGTAGGACAAAGGTCTCAAAGCAACCCATAAGGGGGAAATTCTCCTCCTAGGCTCTGGATGGGAAAAAGAAACCTGGAATTTTGCAATTTTTTTTGGAAATGAATGCATGGACGAGTCTTTATTCCCATCATCGGCAGAACAACATAGACAACACAATAACATGCACATTAAATATGGAGAATAATTATATAAACTGAGGAATACATAAAATATTCATAGTGAAACAATATGACATGAATAAAACAAGCAAGCCTTAAGTCAGCAGATGTGGTTCCTATTCAGCAGCAATGGGACACAGACATCAGACACTGAATTAATATTTAAGGAGATAAGGCATGACCATATTATACTATTTTATACTTTTGTATAAAACATGTTGTTGTGTTTTGCATTTTAATATCAGATATTATTCTATCTAATCTTATTTTATGGTCATTGACTTGGGTCAGTTTTCTTATATAGTGAGAACTATTATTTTAATGATCAAGGGTCTGGAAAAGAAGCACTATGAGGAGCGGCTTAAGGAGCTGGGCATGTTTAGCCTGAAGAAGAGAAGGCTGAGAGGAGATATGATAGCCATGTATAAATATGTGAGAAGAAGCCACAGAGAGGAGGGAGCGAGCTTGTTTTCTGCTTCCCTGGAGACTAGGACGCAGAACAATGGCTTCAAACTACAAGAAAGGAGATTCCATCTGAACATGAGGAAGAACTTCCTGACTGTGAGAGCCGTTCAGCAGTGGAACTCTCTGCCTCAGAGTGTGGTGGAGGCTCCTTCTTTGGAAGCTTTTAAACTGAGGCTGGATGGCCATCTGTCAGGGGTGATTCGAATGCAACATTCCTGCTTCTTGGCAGGGGGTTGGACTGGATGGCCCATGAGTTCTCTTCCAACTCTCTGATTCTATGATTCTATTTCAAAACCATTGCATAGATTAGTATAAAATTGATAAAATAGAAGGTGTGCAGGCAGCTATATATCTTTTGACCAAAAACAGGCAACAGCAACAGCATTGTCTGTAGCCTCCAACAATTCCTCTTCTGTACATGAGGCAGGGCACAATGGACAAGCATACAGGTGCAGAGTTGTCTGTTCTGCTCCACAGTCACACAAAATGTGGGATTCTTTTAGGCAGTACCATTTTGCCAGGTTGTCTTTTAATCTGCCCACTCTGCTTCTGAGTCTGTTCAGGGACTTCCAAGTTGCCCATTCTTGGTTTGCCCCTGGAGGAAGACCCTTGTGGGGAGCCATCCAGTTGGGATTTCCTGGTTTAGCTGCCCAGAGCGATACCCTTGCTGTTGCTGGAGGGACACCAAGAGGAGTGGTAGTTCTCATAAAGCTTTTCCCTGATTTGTGTCTACTGGGCGGAGGCTGGTAGCCATGTAGTAGATGGCTTTCACAGTGGTCAACCTTATTTCCCTCACATTTAGCAGTAACTTCCCGTCGCACATGTAGTGAGAACTGAGAGATGCCTAATAATGATTTATTAATGTGTGTATCAATTAGTGTGTTAAGTTTACATCAGTTAGTCAGCAACTGATGTAAACTTAATGAAGTGTCAATATATGTTGTAAAGTGTGTCTTTGTGTGATATGTCCGATTATATATAAAATGAAAAATACAGTTTATAAACAAATATAAAGCAACTATCCTAGGATTAGATTTGTGAACATCTTTCTGGGTGGGCATTCGATTCCCCATAGATACCAAACTCCATGGATGCTCAGGCCCTATTAAATTAAATACAAAGGGGTAAAATAACGTTTAATTATTGTTGTTGTTGTTGTTATCATTATTATTGTGTCAGAAGAGACTTCAGAAACTGTAAGTCGATTCTGGTGTGAGAGAATTGGCTATCTTCAGAGACGTTGCCCAGGGGACGCCTGGATATGTTACCATCCTGTGGGAGGCCTCTCTCATGTCCCCACCTGGGAAGCTGGAGCTGACAGATGGGAGCTCACCCCATCTCACGGATTCAAACCACCAACCTTCAGGTCAGCAGCTCAGCCGGCACAAGCGTTTAACCTATTGTGCCACCGCAGCTGAAAATAATGGTATTTCTTATATAAAATGATAAACACAAGTTTTTTTGGACTTGTGGATGCAAACCGTACTTCAACAAAACAATTCAAGTGTGTATGTGAATCAAATTGGTGACAAAACACAAAACAGATTCCAGAATTCATTAATCATGCTAGCTGTTCCAAAGAGCCACAGTTTCCAAACATACCCTTTAGTCGTTTCCCCAAATTGATAATCTAATACTTGTATTGAAGTGGAATGAGACTGAGGAAGACTGGTAGAATTAAGGCAAGGAGAGCTGGCTGATTGTTATTTTTAACTGTGTTGATATTTAAATGAACTATATTTGTTTAGGTCTAGCACAGGGGTGTCAACCTCATTTTCACTGAGGGCCACATTAGCCTTATGGTTGCCTTCAAAGTGCCATTGAATCCATGAGGGGCAACTATATCTATCTATCTATCTATCTATCTATCTATCTATCTATCTATCTATCTATCTATCTATCTATCTCATTGCAGACAGTACTTTTTAGATTTTACCCAATTTGGGTCCCCAGGTGCTAACTCCCATCACTAGGTTGCTGTGAGTTTTCTGGGCTGTATGGCCATGTTCCAGAAGCACTCTCTCCTGATGTTTCACTACATCTATGGCAGGCATCCTCAGAGGTTTTGAGGTTTCTTGGAAACTAAGCAAGTGAAGTTGCTTAGTGTGGAATGTCCAGGGTGAGAGAAAGAACTCTTGTCTGTTGGAGGCAAGTGTGAATGTTGCAACTGGCCACCTGGATTAGCCTTGAATATCCTTGCAGCTTCAAAGCTTGACTGCTTCCTGTCTAAGGGAATTCCAGACAGGAAACAATCAGGGCCAGCTAACACCTCCCAACAAAGGATTCTCCAAGGCAGGAAACAGCTAGTCATTGAAGCTACAAGGCCATTAAATGCTAATTGGAAATTGGAAATGGCTTTATGACCTGTGATTATGTGATCTGTTCTATGTGGTTATGTAATTTTAATTAATATCACTGCTTAATTCTCATGTAATGGATTTTATATTGCTGTTTTATGTTGTTGTTTTGATACTGTTGGCATTGAATAGTTGCCTGTGTTAGCTGCCCTGAGTCCCCCCTCAGGGGTGAGAAGAGCGGAGTAGAAGTGGTCTAAATAAATAAATAATAAATAATAAAGATGGTACTGGAGGTTCCTTCTTTGGAGGCTGTTAAACAGAGGCTGGATGACCATCTGTCGGGGGTGGTTTGAATGCGATTTTTCCTCTTCTTGGGAGGGGGTTGGACTGGATGGCCCACAAGGTCTCTTCCAACTCTGTGATTCTATGATTCTAAGTCAATATGCACTGCCTGATTCAGAAAAGACTGGGCTGTGGCCTATCCCCTGGAAACCAAACAAAAATGGCTAGAAGTCAATTTTTTGTTTTGCATAAAAATAAAATAGCTTAAAAGGATATGCTTCTGGGAATGTTTTGAAAGATGTGGTGATGTTTCTTGTGGTCACAAAATCAAATAGGAAGCTACAAACCACATATTGCCCATCCCCAGCACAAACAACATCCTCATACCAGAAAGGAAGATGCTGAGTCAGAAAGACAAACTCTGAGACAAGAGTTAAATATAACCTGCTAGATAAGGAGTAACCCTTGAGAGTCAACAGACAGGAGTGCTCAGATGGACTGATACTGCAACCCAGATGGTGTCCACAGGCCACAGAGATTGATCACACACACACACAAACCCCAAGCTTGCAGCAGAAATAAGGCATACACTGTATGGAGGTTTAGCACATCTGGTAAATCATCAACAATTATAAGATCTGTCAACCAAAAGGTTGCAAGTTCGAATACCCGGGTTGGCGTGAGCTGCCAACTGTCAGCCTAGCTCATTGTTTACCTAAGCAATTCAAAAACAGCTTTAACTGTGATTAGAGAAAAAAGTGGGGGAGGTGTTTTAGGATGCCATAAAGAAAGAAGATCAGAAAATGCTGGGCAACCAAAAGAAAGGAGGAAGTCCTGACGGCTCTTCGTCATAGAGGATAGAGCAACAGCACCCCCTAGACACAAGCCCAACCTCCCATGGCACCTCCTTCTGTTCTGTCTGTCTGTTTATTGTCTATACAAAGCGGTATTGAATGTTTGCCATGTATGTGTACTGTGATCCGTCCTGAGTCCCCTTTGGGGTGAGAAGGACAGAATATAAATAAAGTGTTGTTGTTGTTGTTGTTATTTCTTTGCATGGTGCATTCCATAATTAGCACCAAATGCTACACCTTCTGCTCCAGTTGCACAGAAGAAGCACAGAAACTTATAAGGATTTTTAAAAACCTCACCTTGGCCGTTATCCTTTGAAGGTTCGCTTTCCCCATGTAAGACGCTTGCTGGGACAAGACGTGTTCCTGCTTCAGAATAATGCTCATGAGGCCATTTTTGCAACTGTGGTAATTCTTCAAGAGCTCCATCACTCGGCCACAGTGTTCCAGCCTATTGAGAAAGAACAAAGCCAAAATTATTAACATATTTATCAGACTGAGCAAGACTGGCGATGTTTGGATGTTGTTGTTTTTTCCACATGACTGTGCAAGTATATCAAGGAATTTAGTTTTTAGCACACAGGGGTTTGTTCTAGGACCCACTGTGGATATTTAAAACATGCAGACAATCATGCCTCATATTAATTGTGTCCAATTCTGAGCACCACAATTGAAGAGAGATATTGACAAGCTGGAATGTGTCCAGAGGAGAGCGACTAAAATGATCAAGGGTCTGGAGAACAAGCCCTATGAGGAGTGGCTTAAAGAGCTGGACATGTTTAGCCTGAAGAAGAGAAGGCTGAGAGGAGATATGATAACCATGTATAAATATGTGAGAGGAAGTTATAGGGAGAAGGGAGCAAACTTGTTTTCTGCTGCCTTGGAGACTAGGACACGGAGCAATGGCTTCAAACTACAAGAAAGGAGATTCCATCTGAACATGAGGAAGAACTTCCTGACTGTGAGAGCTGTTCAGCAGTGGAACTCTCTGCGCCGGAGTGTGGTGGAGGCTCCTTCTTTGGAAGCTTTTTAACAGAGGCTGGATGGCCATCTGCGGGGATGCTTTGAATACAATTTTCCTGCTTCTTGACAGTGGGTTGGACTGTTTGGCCCATGAGGTCTCTTCCAACTCAATGATTCTATGATTAAATGGCAATGACGTCAATGTGCATGCTTTAGTGTGTCGGTGTTCACATCTCAGCCTTTTACTTATATGGGGCACACAATTGTAGACTTGGATTCATGAAGCCAGATGATCCATTGTTTATGTATTCAACATCTAGTAATTGGGTCTTTTACTTGAAAAAGGAAAAGGTGAAGGACTGGATAGCTGTTGCGGTCTATACCAACTCTAGGGTTCTATGATTCCAATGTCCGTCCGTCCTTATTTATTTATTTATTACAGTAGTTACCGTATATACTTGAGTATAAGCCAACCCGAATATAAGCCGAGGCACCTAATTTTACCACAAAAAACTGGGAAAATGTATTGATTCGAGTATAAGCTGAGGGTAGGAAATGCAGGCCCTATGCGTAAATTTCAAAATAAAAATAGGTAACCAATAAAATTACATTAATTGAGGCATCAGGAGGTGAAATGTTTTTGAATATTTACATAAGACTGTAATTTAAGATAGGACTGCCAAATTCTGATTAAATCATTATGCTAACCTTCTTTAATGTAAACATACTTACATATCCTTCCAACAATAATAAAGATAGTAAAATAATAAATATAATAATAGAGTAAAATGATGGAAATGCAATTATAACAGTAATAATAGAGTAAAAGAATAAATGCAACAATAATAAAGTAAATTAATAAATATAATGATAATAATAGAGTAAAATAATAAATGTAATAATAATAGGGTAAAATGCTGTAAATGTAATAATAATAATAATAATAATAATAATAATAATAAGTGTAAAATAAATGTAATAAAATAATGCTAATAACAGAGAAAAATAATAAATAACCTTGACTCCAGTATAAGCCGAAGGGAGCTTTTTCAGCCTAAAACAGGGGCTGAAAAACTAGGCTCATACTCGAGTATATACAGTATACTCGAGTATACTGCAGGGGACTCAGGGCGGATTACAATGTACATATACACGGCAAACATTCAATGCCATAGACACACAATGTATATAGACAGACACACAGAGGCTATTTAACATTCCAGCTTTTTCATGAGGGTATTCTGGCCACCAAGGGAGCTGTCGTTTCAATGTCAATTTGTGACACTGATTAAGTAACCACTTTGAGTCCCTCCCCCCCCCCCCGGGTGAGAAAAGCAGTATACAAATACTGTAAATAAATAAGTACTTCCTCATTCTTTGCATGGTAAAATGTTCCCTGGGCAACATCCTTGCAGACAGCCAATTCTGTCACACAAGAACCAATCTGTTATCATTGAGGGCTCATTCACTGTAAGCTCACATTGGATTAAAGTCTTGAGTAGTTTCACCATTCCCAATGACAAAGAAGACAGGAATATGCACAGGATTACAGCCTTAGAAGAGAACCAGCATGGTATAGTGGTTGGAGAGTTGGAATGGAACATGGGGTGAACAGGAGTCAAATCTCTACTCCGTAATGGAAATCCACTGGGTGACCTTAGACAGGTCTCATACCCTCAAGCTTTAGAAGAAGGTTACAGTAATCTGCTTCTGAACAAATTGAGACAAGAAATCTTTGTGATTAACTTCACCTTAGGGTTGCCAGAAGTTACGACTAACTTAAAGTCATACTACAACAACAACAAGAGCCCTAGTTTCCTACTTTTCAGCAATGGAGAGCTTGATTTCCTTCCACAAATCCTCTGTACGTCTCCACTGGTGCTTGAGCTCTTTTTGGGAAAGGTGGCTGGCCAATTCACTCAAAGAAGCCATGTCTGCAATATGGCGATCAAACGTCTGCTTGAGTTCAGCCAATGACTTCAACCTGTACCATTGAAAAGAAAAGAGGTTGCGGTCAAAGGTTATTTCAACGTTATTACTCCATTCTGTGATCTGAATGGCCTCTGGTTTGACTAAATGTTTATTTATTTATTTATTTATTTATTTATTTACTGTATTCTCAGCCCTCAGGCAACTCAGGGCGGTTTACAATGGGAACGATTTGATGCCCCAAAACACCATAAAACATTTTAAAACACATAAGATAAAACCATAACAAGAATACTAAAACATAGATCATTTGTGTCTCTTAATAAACAAAACATTGTCCCATCTCGTTGTCCAGTCGTTCCTATTCCTATGTCTTTTACCTAGCATTTTCAAACGCTTGCTCAAACAACCAAGTCTTGACTCTTTTCCAAAATGTTAAGAGGGAGGAGGCCAATCTAATGTCCTTAGGAAGGGCGTTCCATAGCCGAGGGGCCACCAATGAGAAGGCCGTGTCTCTCTTCCCACAAAACGTGTTTGTGACGCAGGTGGGATCGAGAGCAGAGCCTCCCCGGATGATCTTAAAGTCCTAGCAGGTTCATAAGAGAAGATGTGTTCAGACAGGTAAGTTGGGCCAGAACCATTTATAGGCTAAAGCCAGCACTTTGAATTGTGCTCAGTAGCAGACTAGCAGCCAGTGGAGATAGTGTAACAGAGGAGTTGTATGCTCCCTGAGTGTCGCTCCTGTTATTAATCTGGCTGCGTCTGTTGGACCATTTGAAGCTTCCGAACAGTCTTCAAAGGCAACCCCATGTAGAGCGTGTTGCAGTAGTCTATACAGTATGTAACCAGAGCGTGGACTACCATGGCCAAGTCAAACTTCCCAAGATACAGGTGCAGCTGGCGCACAAGTTTTAACTGTGCAAATGCTCTCCTGGTCACCGCTGAAACCTGGGGTTCCAGGCTCAGCGATGAATCCAGGATCACACCCAAACTGTGTCACTAAACGAATGAAGACTGATTTATGCAAATTCAATGCCACTAACTTGGGAGAACCATCTCAGATATGCTGCAGTCATCCACTCAGACCAACTCAGCTTGAACCTGGATCTCTAACAGTGGGTCAACTGGGAATATATCACCCGCACATACCAGAATCTCACTGAACTCATTGTGAGTGTTATGAACTCAAGCTAGCATATGTGATTCCCACACCTTCACAACAATGCTGCAGGTTTGGGGTAGGAAGTGGCAGAATGAGTAGTCTATGGTGCTTTTCTAATGTTCATATCCAATGCTTTTCTAGAAGCTTCAGATTTCCTTGATTTCAATCTGTAATTCTAACCATGACAGCACATTGTCTCTAGAACAGTGGTTCTCAACCTGTGGGTCCCCAGGTGTTTTTGCCTACAACTCCCGAAATCCCAGCCAGTTTACCAGCTGTTAGGATTTCTGAGAGCAGAAGGCCAAAACATCTGGGGACCCATAGGTTGAGAACCACTGCTCTAGGATAAAGTGTAATGAACAGCATATTTTGCGGTTCCTAAAAAACAACAAGCTAAATGTAAATTTTATAACTTCTGCCAAATGACAGTGTAAAACATATTGAAAGAACTTGAAAAAAATATGGAAAATGCATATTTTGCTCACCTTTGCTGAACGGCATGAATTGTCGGATCCCTTAAACCTATTTTACACATTTTATCGCGTATTTCTTGGATACTTTTATAGAGTTCGCTGTTCTTTAGTGAAAATTCTTCCTGGTTCTGGTCAACCTGGCTTGGCATATCCTGGTTCTGGGCAACCTCTAGTGTCTCTGCAGAGCTGGCAGTTGGGAATTCCTTTGCACAGAAAGTTGCAACGAGCTCTTTGAAGGTCATCTTTTTACCCGAATCAGGGTCTTCCAAGCGGATACGGGCACGTGTCAACCGGTCATCCAGAGATCTGGCCTCTTTCTGCATCTTCCATACCTCTTGTTGGACAAGAAGTTGCTGAGGATGACTGAGAGGATCTGAGGCCTCCACAGGACCACTGACCTTCCTCAGGTATGGCAGGAAAGTTTCAAGATCTTGCAAGACTGCTTCAACAGTCTGTATCTTATGACCCAGTTCTTCCAATTGCATTTTGTATTGACTGATCATTGCGCTTGCTGCTTGCCAGTCTGCTGGGTCAACCGTCCCTCCTGTGGGGTTGCTTTGCTCTTTCTGGTTGCACCATCCAATGCATTTTACTATAGATGCCTGCATTTTCTGACAGATAGGAAAACACAACAGGGATAGGTAATACTTTAGAACTAAATTCATGAAATGCAAATGGGCATCATAATAGTCCAGAAATATGTATAAGAAACTTTCTTGATTTACATCTCTGTTTTTACACAACACTGTGTTAGTTATGTATTCAGTAAACACATATGCATCCAAGCAGAGTGTATATAATGCAATGCCCAATTTAGCTTCTGCCAGCAGGTATTTGGGAAAGGATAAGGGGCAGACTTTGGGGAGGTTGTGGGTGGGATTGGGGATGGCTGTGAGTTTGAAAGCCTATGTTAATCAGCTTTTACCACACTGTACTATTGAATTGTTTTGAAACTTTTGTACTGCACTTGTTAAACTTGACTAAAGTGTGGGATTTTTAGCCACCTTGAGTCCTCACCTGGAAAAAGGTGGAATATAAATAAAGTTAATAATAATAATAATAACAAACTGTCAGTCACAAATTAGTGAGCTGGAAATTGACAGTTAGTAATTAGTATCAGTGCCAATTTGTGAGAAGCACTAAATGTGGGAAGGGTTAAGCAGCTGCCTTTCAAGCAATTATTTATCCTTTTCTGTCTGCTGATACTTTTAAATGAGAAGCAGTGGTCAGATTTCCAGATAAACTGCAAAATCCTATCCAAAGCTTAGTAAAATTACTTCTTTTTATAACTCTAGAATCTCCATGGATTCTCAGTTATAGTAAAAAAGTAACTTTCCCAAACTCTGGGCTGGGGGCAGATGTTTGGAGTAGCTATGAGAATACTTCACAAAACATGGAAGGGTTAAGCACTCCTCTTCCTCTCAGAGACATGTAGAGGCAGCCAAAATATCCACTTATATGTCCCACAATTAAGATTTTTACTGCTAAAATTTTACAACAATTGCTATACGGAGCGGAAATATGGGGACAGGGTAAGACAAAGCAGGTTGAGTGTATAAAAAAAAGGTTTGTGAGAGCTCTTTTAGCCCTTCTCCCTGAATTGAATTGGATCTTCCCTCAATTAAGGTCAGAATAAAAGGTAAAGGTAGTCCCCTGACATTAAGTCCAATCATGTCTGACTCTGGGGTGTGGTGCTCATCTCCATTTCTAAGCCAAAGAGCCAGCGTTGTCCGTAGACACCTCCAAGATCAAGTGGCCGGCATGACTGCATGGACCGCCGTTACCTTCCCACTGGAGCAGTACCTATAGATGTACTCACATTTGCATGTTTTCGAACTGCTAGGTTGGCAGAAGCTAGGGTTGACAGCGGAAACTCACGCCGCTCCCTGGAATTGAATCTGCGACCTTTCGGTCAACAAGCTCAGCAGCTCAGTGCTTTAACCCACTGCACCACTGGGGTCTCAGAATACATAAGCTCAATATCTCATATGGAAGGAAACTTTTGGAAATGAAGGATGAGAGTATAACAAAGCAGTGATTGGTGGAGCAATATAAGTGAGGAGGCCCTGCACCATCAGTATTTTGACAGGTCAACAACAACCCTATTGCAGTTGGACAAGAAGGCGATTAGAGATAAAATCTTTGAGATGTATGCATCTGACAACTTGCAGTCTAGTATACAGCAGAATTTCACTATTTGGTTAAAAAGAGTGACTAATATTTACAACAGTATCTTCAAGACTTAATGTCTGTAGTCCTCAGGAAAGCATTTACAGCCCTGCATTTCCAAACAATGCCATTAAGCTGGCTAGAGGGGAGATATAGAGGGATCCCACATGCTCAAAGACTTTGTATTTGTGGGTTGGGGGAAAGAGAATATTTAATACACTACCTTCTACATTGCTCTTTGTATAATAATCCCATAAACAATCTCCTGGGAGCCCTTCTGGAAGAAAGGGCAGCATGACAACAGTCAGCAGTTATCTGACCTGTTAGCGGATCATTCCAAAAATATAAGATTCAAGGTTGCCACATTTGCAGTTGCAGCCCAAAAAATCGGACCTAACTTTGTAAAGTCCACAGCGGAGAAATGGAAATGGAAACAGTTTGGGATAATACAAATCAGATTTTGTTATTGTTATTATGCCTACCGGGATTGTCACTGCTACTGCTGTAATTTGAAAGAGCTAGTTTATAGAATAAGTTTTAACGTTCATATTGGAAAGTGTATACTGTACTTTTAAAAGTTGTATATTATTTGATGTCATGGCCTATGGCTAGTACAATAAACAACTCATTCATTCCTCTTCCTCTCGGCTACTTCTTTCTTGGAAACGCACCTAGAACTATTTTTCACCAAACCAATGTTTGCAATGTCCAAACATAAATTAGTAGGGGACAGATAGTTCTAGATTCAATGCTTTCTACAAATGGCTATCACCCTAAAAGCCAACATCAAAACGCAATTGAAGATTAACAGCTAGGCCTAGATGGAACATTTCTGCAAATACCAAATAAGGTACACTGAGATTCTCAAGGTGCATGAAACATTAAAAAACACCAACCTTCACTTTTTTATGTGGAAGATCCTTATTCATTAGCAGGCCCTGTGGTATGTCCCTTTTGCGAAGCTGTTCTTCTGAGCTGCATAGCTGAACCAACTCATTTTCAATTGGCAAGACAAGTGCCAAAACAGCCTTTAAAGATTCCATCCTATAAAGTCAGCAAGAGAAACAAAGACTAAACAAGGAAATGGCCACTTATGTAGTACATTGGATAAATTGCCTTGGGTTTCCTCTGCTAAGTAATTCCATGAAGGGGCTGCCCAAGAATAGACTTTATTATGGAGTATGGAATCCTCTATTTTGTGAAATCTCAGATTTGCATTCCAAACCTAGGAGGCATCAAACCTAGGTGCCTCCTAGGTTTGGAATGCAAGCACATTTGCTCTCATCTAGGCAGAAAAGTGAGGCATAAATTAAATAAAGAAATGCAGACATACAGGTAATTTCAATTATTCATTAAACTTTGATCAGTGGAAAGTAAATTAAGCGGAATTTTGAGCTCTAGAGAGAGGATGTAATCAAAGGAATTCAAGTATCTATCCCTGACAATCTCTCTCCTATTAGAGATAAGATAGCATTGCACACAGGTGGGCAGAACATGCCTGAGCAGGAACAGGGAGTGTATGGCAGAAAGGGGAAATAGTTAGTTCATGCTCATATTTCCTGTAGCCACATCCATGGGCAGGGAAAGTGATATCACCGCAATTGAAGGGAGATGTTGACAAGCTGGAATGTGTCCAGTGGTGAGCGACTAAAATGATCAAGGGTGTGGAGAACAAGCCCTATGAGAAATGGCTTAAAGAGCTGGGCATATTTAGTCTGCAGAAGAGAAGGCTAAGAGGAGACATGATGAGGGCCATGTATAAATATGTGAGGGGAAGTCAAAGAGAAGAGGGAGCAGGAGCAGTGTGTTAGAGGCTCCTTCTTTGGAGGCTTTTAAACAGAGGCTGGATGGCCATCTGTCGAGGGTGCTTTAAATGTGATTTTCCTGCTCTTGGCAGGGGGTTGGACTAGATGGTCCACAAGGTCTCTTCCAACTCTGTGTTTCTATATGCTAAACCTGAAAAATCCCAAAATACCCTTTGATTTGATGCTTGTTTTAGTCAGTGTCTACTTCTGGAAAAATGTTTGGATAACCTCTGTAGCTCCTTGAAGGTTGAGTCCTATACTTTATGCATGTGATCTGACAACATTCTGACTGCTGGTTTCTCATGCTAATCTAAAAAGTAATATACAGTCAGTTGGAAATTACTTTTCTTTATTATTTCACTCAGTTCTTTAACTGGAAGCAAAATTATATGATTACGCATCTGGGGGAAACCCTTGCTGAAGACAATATGATTTATTTCTGAGTAGACCCCAATGAGAAACATCTTTCAGCTCAACAACCAAATTCAACTTTAGAGTCTTTTGCAAGCCACATTATAAAGGTAGGATAGAACACAGGTAAAAAAAATGTAGTCAGAAAAATACCAAAATATTTAACTTAGCAGAAGGTCTAAAGCAGTGGTTCGCAACCTGTGGGTTCTCAGATGTTTTGGCCTTCAACTTCCAGAAATACAAATGGCTGGTAAACTGGCTGGGATTTCTGGGAGTGGTAGGCCAAAACACCTGGGCACTCACCGGTTGAGAACCTCTGATCTAGACCTTTAAGTGACCTGCCAATCGCTCGACCTTAGCATAAGCATTTCAACCTCCTAAAATGAGGAGAACCTCCATACAAAAATGTGTAAGTCAACAACGCTGATGCCCTGAGATCAGAACCATCTGGGATAAAACTTACGAGAACCAGTGCAAGACTCCCACAGGACTAGACTCAATCCAAGAGTGTAAGGTTCCCCACCTCTGGTGCTGACACAGGCATGTTCACCAAGAATGCATTTACACTGTACAATTAATGCAGTTCAACACCACTTTAACTTCCATGGCTAAATGCTTTGGAATCCATGGGATTTTAGCTTGGTGAGATACCAGCATTCTTTTGGGGGGAAAGCTAAAGGTAAAGCTGCAACTTCCATGATCCCATCACTGACCCATGGCCAACTGCATCAACTCTATAGTAAAGGGTGTCAAACAGCATCAATTCTACAACACACAGACAGCCATCCACATTTACAGCCTTGACTACTGTGGATGTTATTATTCATGGATGTGATTAAAATATTCTCTCTACGAACCTCCAAATCCTCCAGTGAAATTATATAGCCAGCTTCTAGGAAAAGTTGACCATAGCGTCATGGTAGAGGACCTAGACATTCCTACAGAGATGTTCTCTAAGGTTATTTTTTAATTTATGGTTTTTCATATTCATGGGGGGCCTATGCCTCTAACCTAGGCATGGGCAAACTTCGGCCCTCCAGGTATTTTGGACTCCAACTCCCACAATTCCTAACAGCCTAGCGGCTGTTAGGAATTATGGGAGTTGAAATCCAAAACACCTGGAGGGCCGAAGTTTGCCCATGCCTGCTGTAACACCAACAAATGTGGAGAGCTGCCTGTTGATGCACCCCTAGAAATCTGGAGTTGAGTTATGAGACTGACCAAACATGGTCTTGCACATTAGAGAAGAGCTGAATATGTCCCACCACAATGCAGAATGGAGAAGGGATGGGAAATATATTCACTGCAGAGGTTAGGTTTGCAGAGTCAAACTGAAGACGTTTTCTTGGGTTCAACAATCTCAACAACGAACAGGTATATGTGTTGGGGAAGTTAGGAGAAACCCTTGCATTCTCCAGCTAAAGTTTTTAAATACTCTTCCCTAAACTGCAAATCCCAGGATTTCAGAGAACACATCCATGGCAGATAAAGTGAAACCATACCACTGAAACGGTGTAGTGTGAAAGTCCTTGAATACAATGACAATTATTCAGGACACTCCTTCTTTCCACTATTATAATATGCTGGATGTACCTTTTATTTAAAGTTGACTGGAGCTCTTTCCATTCTCTGCACAATTCCTCCTGAGATTGTTCAAAGGCGTCAGGTTTCCCCATTTCACCTGAGCTCTTTTCTAGCATGGTAGACATGGATTCAAGCACTTTCCACGAAGACTCACTTTGACTCTCTAAGGCCTGAAACAAGACAGGATTGCATGACAGGTGTTTCTAAGAGATGGCATATATCCAAAGTTGAACATCCTGTATAAGAACAGGAATGCAATCTTAAAACATCATTAAGCATGTTTTAGTATGCCATCTGAAATAAGACAAGTCATAGCCTTTATTCCATCTGATACCACTTTAACGACATGACAAGTGAGGGAAGGATTTCAAGATCTTTACCTCCAACTCATTCAGCTTATTCTGGAGACAAGAAGCATCTTTTATATCAGCAGTAAAAGCAGGAACTATGTTCTCTCTGACACTGGATAAGTGAAGCTTCAATTTATGTCTTGCTCTGTCATAGCTAGGAGAGATTAAAAAAATAAGCATAAAAATGATGATGATATCATAGCGGCAACAAATAGAAACCCAAGGCAGGGATCCCCTTTGGTATAATATATATTGTGTTTACTACAGTACTATTATTTCTTCTTCACAGTCTATAAGGTTGAGACATAAAGGGGTTGGATTCTATCCAAGAACCTAGAAATCAGGGAGGTATCATCAGATAATGTGGTATTAATCTTTTTGTTAAGCGTTTGTTGCTAGAGTCTTCTATGTTTAAAATCAGAGCAGAGAAAATTCCAGGAGTTGGGAGAATGCACTGCCTACCCCCAGAGAAGCTTGTCTTTGAAATAAATTGTTAGATGACTGGAACACTGGACATTAGTCTTCCATGGCTGAAAAGAGATCCTAATTGTGGTCTCTCAGGTCCCAGCCTAATATTCAAAGAACTATACCATACTGGCTCACCTTCAAGAGAGGCCCAAGAGGGTTATACTTTTTTAAATGCCCTCCAAGATTTTGGGGTGCTGAAAGGTTCCATGAAACCTAAAAAATATCATGAGAGCCACATGCAGAGCAAAGACCCAATTTTCTCACCACTGTAGCCTGAAGGTCAATTGAACCTCCCAAACCCCTTGAAGCTCCTGAACTTGATCAAAAAACTTGAGGAGAAAAAAAAGCTAAAATAAGGACTATGACTACCCCTGGAAGTCTCTAGGAGTAGAAAAGTAGTGGTGCCTAAAACTCCAGAAGAAGGATTTCTGAAGATGTTGAGATGAAATTTGGCCCCTATGGCAGAAGAGAAAGCCCATAGGTTGTTCTTGACTGACACTTGCACACCAATGGAGCAACCTATGTCCATCACAGACTGAAAAGTACCTCTCTTTTAAGACTTCTAGATCCAAGCTTTCATCTTTTCTACTCTTCTTTGCATGATGTTTTCCATTGTGAATTTTCTCTTTTGCTTCCATTTTTATACTGGAAATACTCGGTGGGTCCTGTGGGGTAGGGTGGGAAAGAATGGAAATTGTTTTGAAATGACAGGGTATAGTAAATACAATTAAAGTCTACCAGTTCTCAATAGAGTAGGGTGAGAAGGCTTCATCCATGAAGCCTCATTACATTCATGGAAATATTATTCAAACATGAAAACTAGAAGATTTATTGGGATTATGGATCTCTGATCTTGGAAAGGTAACTTTTTGGATCCAAACTTCAGTTTCCGTCAGCTACAATGGCAAGAACAACAACTATTATTATCATCATGATTTTTGTTGCTGTTGCTATTGTTGTTGATGTTGTTACTATTATTATTCCTAGATAAATAAAACTTGCAAACAATAAAATCTGCAGAAGTTAAACTAACAAATATGGAGGATTGCCAGTAATAATAATATGGCATAATTTTGCCAGTCCTATCCAATTTCACATTGAAGACAGCCCTTGAGTACCTTCAAATGCCTTACCTTTTCAGCAGAAAGACCATCATAGGCAGACTGAGAAGATGCCTTTTCCCCATTGGCAGAAGCTAGTGTTTTACCTCTGGAATTTAAAAATAAACAGATTAGTACAAAACAGTAAAACTGCAAACTTATCGAACAGTATATTTTACTAAAGTCCATACAGTATATATGATCACTAAGATATCTAAGTAGCTAAAGTATACATCTCTACTTTCCGTCGCATATTTTAAATGAGTGCCTGTTTGTTCTTTTGTTAATCTTATCAACCTAAGATTGTCTAACCAATCTGTTGAACTTTTCTTGATAAGATTTGTTCAGAGGAAGTTTGTCATTGCCTTCATATAATACAGTGGTTCCCAACCTTTTTTTGACCAGGGACCACTTTGACCAGGGACCACTCTCCAACATTAGCACCGAAAAGATTATGAATCAGTTTTTTTGTGAACTTTTGATTCGGTTTGATTATTTGGGGTACTGATTCAGAAAATTGCATTGGATAGACTACATCAGCTGTAGTTTCTGATACAGAACATACGCCATCCAGTAGTCAGCATCTGGTCAGCCACAGAAAACCATATTTAATAATCTAGAGCTGATGGGATAGTAGTAATTTTTCATGGATAATCAGCCTCTCCCTTCCAGACATCCCCATTGCCTTGGCACTATAAGAGGGTTTCACAAGACCAGTCACTCTCATTGTCGTGTAGTTTCCAGGTAATGGTATAGTAATGGTGAAGCCACGGACCATATTTTTGTTCTTGCGGACCACTGGTGATCCACTGACCACAGGTTGAGGACCACTGCTTTAAGAGAAAGTGGCTTGCCCAAGACTATGCAGTGGCTTTCCAGGGTTGAGCATGGATTTGAATACTGAGACTAGTGTTCCCAAAATATCTCCAGTGGTCATGCTTACAAGCAGTTCTGAAAGTTGTAACCCTGAAATAGTTTTTCCAAGATCTGGAAAAAGCCTGCCAGAGAATATGGCCAATACAGTACAGAGAATTTGATTAATCCTTTGAATCGGAATAGTTTCTGCATTCTCTCTCTCTCTCTGGGAACATACAGACTGATTGAAAAGTCTGAGTTTTAATTCCTATTATTTCCAATCATGTGTGTGTGTGTGTGTGCTTTTTAGTTGGTAAGAGCTGTTCAATGGTGGAATTACTGCCTCAGGATATGGTGGAGTCTCCTTCTTTGAACAGAGGTTGGGTGGCCATCTCTTGTAGGTGTTTTAATTGTGCATTCCTGCATGGCAGAATAGGGTTGGACTGGATGACATTTGGAGTCATTTCTAACTCTATAATTCTGCAACTCCAGTCACTTGACTTATGGAAACCCCAAACTGGGTTAAAATAAACCAACCTGGGGAGCTGATACAAAAACTCCCAGGAAGAAGAGGAGCAAAATCTAGGACTTTCTGGGTTTTCCCAGTTTAAGCCTAACTCGCCTTCAGAGGCTCTCATACAACATCAATAAAATTTGCACAAGACCAGCTATCTATAAAGTCCCCATGAAGCAGTTCCATAGTGGGTACTCAAAATATTTACCCTTTTTTTGATGAAAGATCCTCACAAGCCCTAGACACCAGGGCATTATAAACAGCTGATGCACGTTTCTGAAGGTCTTCTTTCCTCTGCTCATATTCTGCAACCAACATTTTTGTTTCAGACTCGTTTTCTTCTATGGCTATTTTCTCACTCATCATTTTCATTGCTTGTAAGCAAGTGTTCAACTTGCCCATCCTGCCTTGCTGAGAAAACATGTCCTAAACGGATAGAGAAATTTAAAAACTCCATATGTTGGATACATGAAATCTTTCTTAACTGGATGTTAAAAGATTCTGCAATACTATCCTAAAAAAATCTTAGAAGCCCCCAAATAGTGAAACTAACACTAGTGTTTGACAAAGTGAACTGGGGTGTGCCAAAGTCACCATAAAGTCAGCCTAGATTTCTGTTTAAAATATGAATTTCTAACTCATACATTTCATAAACAATGTATTGTAAATGTCTGCTGAAACTTCAGAGATGAATAAATAGCCAAAGAGAGGAGGACAGTGTGGTAATAATAATAATAATAATAATAATAATAATAATAATAATAATAATAGCAACTACTACTACTACTTTATTTTTATACCCCGCCAACCATCTCCCCAAGGGGACTTGGGGCGACTTACAAGGGACAAGCCCAAAAAATTACAGATAAAACACAATCAAATTAAAAGCATCAGATAAAATATAAAAAACAATCACAATTGTAAACAACAACAAAATAATATGGCTGAGAAAGAACATTGCTGTGGTTCAGACTCCATGAATGGAGTACAATCTGAAGGATTTAGCCATCAGCCTCATCCCAAGACGAGAAAAATGCTTCAAAATAATAGCAAAGTAAATTATATATACTAAAGGAAATTAGTGCTTGATTCACATGATTTACCAAGGTCTATTTGTCCTAGGGAAGAATTCTGAATTATGGTGGTAGAAGTCATTATTATTTGAGTTCGGAGTACACACAATTATGGTCGTGGTGTGAGGATGCGGCTGTGACCATAACATTAAAATGTGTCACAATTTCCCCAGGCAAATCTTCTCTTTAATCATCCTATCATACCATTTCCTTTTCTTATCATACCATATTCTACATAACAAACAATATGACCTCATTCTTGGCATCTCAAATTGAAAAGCCCATCAGGGAGCAGAACCAAGGAAGATGGCCTYYTCTCTAATTAAAGTTTTGTTGCCTGTCCATGTGAACAGTACTGGCCTAAACAGATTGCTATTTAGAATACGGCCCTCCAAAGTCATTTACCTGGCCCTCGCTCAGGGTCAACCTAAGTCTGAAACTACTTGAAAGCACACAACAACAACAATCCTATCACATCAGCCAAAAGTAGGTCCACACTTTCCATTGAAATAGTAATAAGTTTATATTTGTTAAAATTGTTCTTCATCTTAATTATTGTATTGTTTTAAGCGTTTGTTGCACTACAAATAAGATATATGCAGTGTGCATAGGAATTCACTCGTTTTTTGTTTTGTTTTTTTCAAATTATAATCCGGCCCTCCAACAGTTTGAGGGACTGTGACCTGGCCCTCTGTTTAAAAAGTTTGAGGACCCCTGTCCTAGAATGTAAAATGGTTTTATGATCTAAGCTCTGTTCCTGAGAAGCCAAAAAGAGCAAAACATTACTATGGAAAATACCTCATGTTCTTCAAGAAGTCCTTTCGTTCTCCCTGCGTTAAGCAGCCTCTTCTCTTTATTTATCTGCTTATTCAGCTTGGTAAACATTTTATTCAATTGCCCTCTTTCAAACTCCATCTTAAACTGAATATAGGATATGATTTCTCTGCGAGCTGCCTGTGGAATTCAAAAAGCATGTTAAGGAATATCAGCAATTAATAAAGAAGGATGCAAGAGAACTATTTTGCGGGGCAGAGTCAGAATAGCAGTTTGATATCACAACACTTGGGCACAAGACTGAGATGTTTCTCCATACTGTTACATGTACTCTCACTCCTCTATATCCATGGATTCTGTATCCACAGATTAATCATCCACATCTTGCCTTTTCCCATAGAAAACAGGGTGCGGGGTGGCAAATTTTAGAGGAGAATCATACACCCCTGAAAAGTCACTAGAAAAACTGCATGAAAATATTAGAAGGTCTACTTTCAGGTCAGTGGACCACATTATTATTATGCTTGCTCTAACTCTTCAACAATATACAGGGAAGGATAAGTTCAGCCTCAGTTTAGTCATCTTAGCTGCTAATGTGTTCATGCCTGATTTGCTTTAATTTGTCTTTTCAGCAACCAATGGTATTCACAGAACTCTTTTTCATCATGGAAGGGTGGATGAGAGCATTGCCTCAATCTCAAAAGAATTCTGTATCTTAATTAAATTTCTAAATTGCAGTAAGGGATAGGTAAAGTTACTGTGAGGATGCAAACACATCAAATATAAGAGGCTCTAGGTATGAATTATTTTCAGTGTTAATCTGTAATGCAAGAAATATTGAGACAGAAGGGGAAAAATCATTGCCTTCTGGTGCCACTTTTCAACAGGATTGCTTGGAAAGGAAAGTAAGCAAGGAATGTATGTGGTTATACTTCTGCATATGCACACATTCTCTGTATCAGGAGGATATCGAGTTGTGCTGAAAGAGCCTGCAATTATATAACACATAGATCCACCTCCTCCTCTGTGATGCACAGAGTTCATGGTTCCTCCATGTGTTTATTTGTGTAAGAGCTTTGGTAATGAAGGTTCTAGTAACTTCCACAGGGCTCCCTGGTGAGGCTTCATGGTTGGGACAGAAATTGAACTCAAGCTCAAGCCAATAACTCTAGCCAACCCAGCCCCAGGAAATAACTCTAGCCACTATTATTAAGACACGTGGGCTAAGTCCCTACAGGATCACGACCATGTGTGTGTTAAAAAAACTTACCTTGATTGATCACAATTCTCAGGTTGTGTAATTGGGCTAACTAACCCTAACTGGTTCTGGGCTACTCCCTAAGAGTATAATTGTAGAGCGTTTGGAATGTAACACTGGGCTTACTGAAGGTTTGCTCCAGGGCGGAAGCTCTTGACTTGCAGCCCATTTTGAAACTGCAATTGTTGCCTTCTCTGCACAAGAAAGAAGATATATTCTTGTGATGGACAGTATATGTATGAAGTAATGCAAAGGACTATGTGTAAGTGTCTACAGGAAGACTGTGACTGTTTGTGTTGAAGTTGCTGTATTCGCATTTTTGAGACTCTGATACTCAAGGGTAAATTTTAAGTTCTTCATTCATCTATTTTGGGTTGCTCATTTTGGATTAAGTTTTCTGCTGGCCTGCACACATACACAAACCACAACAACTATGACATGCAGGGAATATCAAAAAGGTCTCCAAAATCAAATGTAATGAAAAAGTGCTCAAGTGGTTTCGATCTGATTAAGACAGCTTTCCTTCTCCCAGGTACATTTTCTCACCTCCCATCTCTCACGGACATCTTTGCTCTTTTCCTCCACCACGGTTTTGTCGTGAGTGGCTGAAACGTCTTTCAATTGTTCTGCTGCTTTCAAAAACTCTCCAAGGATGCCGGCATCCAAGATGCTAAAAGCTTCCTGGAAGGTAGTGGCATAAAATTATGGAGCGGCAATTAAAACACAAAACCTGCCTAAAAATAGATGAATGCCTGGAAGGGACAAGGGCTCTTTCCATGCTGTGAGTATTACAAAGCAAAGGATGTGCAACTGGGCTCTAAAGGAGGAACAGAGAACAGAGTTTGAAGGAGCTCATTTGGACCGACTGCTGGGGACAAGGAGCCCATTCCTAGCTAGCAATCATATGGGCTCAAATTAATTCCCTTTCCCAAATGCAAAAACAGAGCTTGGAAAATATGCTTTCTTCAACTACAATTCCCAGAAATCCCCAGAAGTATAACTGCAGTGTGTGATAATTCAAAAGAGACAATTATTTCATTTGTAGTATAACTATACTTGTGGTGCATCTCCTAAACTTTACAAATGGAAATATGTATATATCAGGGAGGACATATATCATAGAAGATCACCCTCCTCACCAGACAAGATAGTAAGATTTAGGATACAACCAGTGTTAAGTCTATTCAGGTTGAGTTTCCTTTTTTTTGCATTAGCAGTAAACTGTATCAGAATGTAAAGCCACTCCATAAAACAATGAATAACAAAAGCTTATTTTCTGCTGCCCTGGAGACTAGTACGCAGAGCAATGGCTTCAAACTACAAGAAAGGAGATTCCATCTGAACATGAGAAAGAACTTCCTAACTGTGAGAGCTGTTCAGCAGTGGAACTCTCTGCCCCAGAGTGTGGTGGAGGCTCCTTCTTTGGAGGTTTTTGAACAGAGGCTGGATGGCCACCTGTCAGGGGTGCTTTGAATGTGATTTTCTTGCTTCTTTGCAGGGGGTTGGACTGGATAGCCCATGAGGTCTCTTCCAATTCTATGATTCTATGAAAATATATTGTATAGTCTCTTAATCTATTTGATTCAAGTTTCTTTTTGAACACAAAGTCTAAACAAGACATTTATTTATGCTTCAAATACACCTTACACATTTTGTAATTCTGAATTCCAAAATCCAGTTGCAATAAGTAAATGTGTACAGTAACCAGTGAGAATATTCAGTGACCACAAAAATGGCACTTGCAATGAATCTTAAGGGATTGCGGCCCAAATATTATCAAGGTCCTTCCAGATAGATGGCTCCTGGTATAACAAGTCACTCTTTTAAAAAGACAGTAAGAAAAAGAGAAAAGAAGTAATAGGAAAACCCTGGAAAGTTACAATTACAAGATGACGATATCAGGAGATCCTGTCCAAATCTCATTGAAAAAGCACGATAAAAGTCTCATTCTTGAAGCATAATTCAAATGCAATGTATTGGTTTCTTTTTTAACATTCTTTGTTTTCAATGTACCTTTAATGGTCAGGAGGAGATCCCTCTTATAATATGGACTAAGGAGTAATGGGTTAACTCACCTCATATTTGGACATTGATCTCTCAGGACCCTTTTCACGGCAAACCAGTTGCATAGCTTTCAAAACAGTAGCTTCCAGCTTCTTATGAGAATCCTCAAAGTTCAGTTTGATCTCTTGCTGTAACAAAAAGGCTTCAGATGCTTCAGGTGCAATGGAGTCAGAGCAAGGAGCAACTGGGAGAACCTAGGAAGACAAAAAAGGCAAGAAAACAACAACAAAAAGAGACAGATCTTTAGTACAATTCCTTTTCGACCAAAATTCTTTTCTTTCTCTCTAGATTGTGATGTCCTAAAACATCTGTTGATACACCTCTTTCAAGGAACAGATAGTTGTAACAACAACAACAACAACAACAACAACAACAGATAGTTGTATCAACAACAACAATATTTATTTGTATACTGCCCTATCTCCCCAAAGGGACTCAAGGTGGTTTCCAACATGCAAAGCAGTGTTTTGCAACCTGGGGGTCAGAACCCCTGGGGGGGGGGTTGCAAGGGGGTGTCAGAGGGGTTACCAAAGACCATCAGAAAACACAGTATTTTCTGTTGGTCATGGGAGTTCTGTGTGGGGAGTTTGGTCCAATTCTATTGTTGGTGGAGTTCAGAATTCTCTTTGATTGTAGGTGAACTATAAATCACAGGAACTACAACTCCCAAATGTCAAGGTCTATTTTCCGCAAACTCCACCAGTGTTCACGTTTGGGCATATTGAGTATTCGTGCTAAGTTTGTTCCASCTCCATCATTGTTTGAGTCCACAGTGCTCTCTGGAGTTAGATGAACTACAACTCCAAAACCCAAGGTCAGTGCCCACCATACACTTCCAGTATTTTCTGTTGGTAATGGGAGTTCTGTGTGCCAATCATTGGTGGAGTTCAGAATGCTGATTGTAGGTTAACTATAAATCCCAGCAACTACAACTCCCAAATGACAAAATCAACCCCACCAGTATTCAAATTTTRACATATCGGGTATTTGTGCCAAATTTGATCCAGTGAATGAAAATACACCCTGTATATCAGAGATTTACATTACGATTCATAACAGCAGCAAAATTACAGTTATTTTTTATTTATTTAAAACATTTATATTCTGCCCTTCTCACCCCGAAGGGGACACAGGATGGAGCACAGCATATAGATGGCAAATATTCAATTATATGCATACATAAACATTAAAAACCTTTGTCTCAATAGTAAAATACACTGTTTAAAACCGTCTTGATCATCTTCGTCTAATCTAATTGGCCTGGTAATATTTTAGTTCTTGCGGACCACTGGTGGTCCATGGACCACAGGTTGGGAACCACTGGTCTAGAGGCAGTGCTGACCTTAAGTGGATGAACGTGTTCCTATTCCTTCTGTCCCCTCCATTCATATACTGAGATATATAAGCCAAACAAACTGCAAGTATTGTCAAAGGCTTTCATGGCTAGAATCCCTAGGTTGTTGTAGGTTTTTTCGGGCTATATGGTCGTTTTAGAGGCATTCTCTCCTGACGTTTCACCTGCATTTATGGCAAGCATCCTCAGAGGTAGTGACCTCACTACCTCTGCACATGCTTGCCATAGATGCAGGTGAAATGTCAGGAGAGAATGCCTCTAGAACATGGCAATATAGCCCGAGAAAACCTACAACAACACAAACTGCAAGTGCCAGGACTTAAATCTGAATACTGCAAATAATTTCAGTGCTGAAACTCTGGCATTCTTTACCTTCATACTCTCAACTTGGCTCTCAAGAGCCTCATCTGAGACATTCACTTGCTGCCCAGGCATGCCAATTTCTGTTTTCACTGGAGGAGAATCAGCATTCTCGTTGTCAGACAGTAAACACATCTCTTCCTGCTGCATCCTCAGCAATCTCATCTCCTATAAAAATCATATAATATTTGTTATAGCCTCTAAGTTCTCAATTTTGTTCATTAATCTCAGGAGAAGTTACTTGTGTCACCAAAACTCCTACTAGAATGTATATAGCTACAGATGTAAAGTTAATACAGAAAAAGAATGACAAAAGTTGTCTGCAGTCACGATTTAACCTTATATATATATATTACTAGCTGTACCCGCCACGCGTTGCTGTGGTGAACCTTCCCGCCCTCTTTCTCTCCTCCTTTCTTTCTCTCCTTCCTTCCCTTTCTTCTTTCATTCTCTCAATCCTTCCTTCTCTTCCTCTTCCCTTCCTTCCCCCCTTTTCTTTCTCTTCCCCTTTCTCCCCATTCTTCCTTCTCTATCTATTATTGGACTGCAACTCCCAGCAGTCCTCCTGATCAATTTATCTACCTACCTACCTACATACCTACCTACATACCTATCTATCTATCTATCTATCTATCTATCTATCTATCTCTATCTAATCTATCTATCTTATCTATCTGGAGGATTGCTGGGAGTTGCAGTCCAAGAATAGGAAATTGGAAATCTGCAAGGATTGGGATGCTGTCAAAGAAATCCAAGGAGAAGAAAGCTTGCAGCTTGGAAGCAGTGCATTTGGATCATCCTCCTCTCCTAAAGGGCCTGGTCTAGGGGATGCTGGGAGCTATAGTCCAGAGGAGAGTGTGGATATGCTATTGTGTGTATGTGTGTTTTTGCCAGGGGGAGTTGTTTTGTGCATGCGCTGTAGTGTCTTTTTGCTTTTTTGGCTTTTTAAGTCCCTTCTGATGTGTTTTTCAGGGTTTTTTTTAATGAGTGATGGTCACTCGTTGGCCTGATAGGTATATTGTGTCCAAATTTCATGTCAATTTGTCCAGTGGTTTATGACTTATGTTAATCCCCCAAACAAACATTACATTTTTATTTATATAGATGACAAAGTGGAAATGTGTCCCAGCTTCTTTTAGACTGTATATCCTATAGGTTTGTGCAATTCAGATGCAGGGCGATCCTTTTTTGGAATTCAAATTTTGTTGGGCATCCAGATTCATTTTGGGGAGCCTCCTGAAAACTGGCTAATGGAAATATCAGTTTTCCTGCTAGGCAGCTGAAAGATCTGGGAAGATCCAACCAACTGGCAGCTATGGTGAAATTACAAGGCTCGCCTTTCATTTCCTGGGATCCTTTCCTTTCTGCCTTTCAAGGAAGCCTAGGTTTGAGCAACGGGGTTAAGGAAGCATGTGCCACGTACTCCCGAATAAAAGGGAAGAAGCCATGCCCAGCAGCCATGTAGGCTGTTTCGGGAGGAAAAAAGCATGGCAGCTGCGTCCTTGCCATTACGGATAACCAAACAAGCTGAACAAGCCAAAGTGTCCAAAGGAAACCAACCAAAATGAATCAATGCACAAGCCTAATCACCTATAATCCCTCATCACTGGCACTGATGGGAACTGCAGTCATACAACCTCTGAAATTTTGCATACGTATCAGTCTTGTATGAAAAATGAAGGAGTTTTTATAGTTTTATTTCTAACCCAACCTGAAGATGTTCACAATGGCACCTTGTATTTTCAGGGCGGAAATTATGTGCTCTGAGTTTTTCAGGTGACTCTGAACCCCAATCTTCCTAGTCTAAATCATGTCTGGCTCAAGCAAAGTAATAAGGAAGAAGGAAAATATCTGTAACAACTCACAAACTGTGTCTTCTTTATAAGTTTAGCCCATTTTGTGTTCAGTTTTTTGAGTTCTGCCGAAACAACTGATCCCACTTCCTCGTTGCTGCATTCAATCAGAAAGTTCCCAGCTTCGTTTAGAGATCCGTGTCTAGAGTTCCAGGCTGCCAGGGTCTCTGTGGGAACCTATGGAGTCACAACATCACAGGTAACAATGCTTACTGCCCATCCCTAAAGTGAAAAACAAATTAAAAATGCAGGAGCCATGCAAATGTACCTTTTTGGGGTGCTCTTTCCGCGTCTTTTCCAGCCATTCTTTTAGTAGCTGAATGTTCTCTGTATAGATAGCCCAGGATGATAATTTCTTTTGCAGAGTTTCATTCACATTGTATATGTACTCTTTGCATCTTGAAATCTGGGATTCTAGCATCTTAAATTGTTTGTTTATGTCATCAGGGTCAACTCCTAGAATGTATACAATACTTTGTCATTGATCATTTATATAGTAAATGGGAAGAGCGGGTTGAGCTCCCTCTGTCAGCTCCAGCTCCTCATGTGGGGACATGAGAGTAGCTTCCCAAAAGGATGGTAAAACATCAAACATCCAGGTGTCCCCTGGGCAACATCCTTGCAGATGGTCAATTCTCACACCAGAAACAACTTGCAGTTTCTCAAGTCGCTCCTGACATGAAAAAGAAATATTAGAGTACGAAGTTCATCCTAACCTTGACTAATTTTGCAATTATATGAAGCAAGTCACCAATTTTGCAGCTGAGGAACAGACAACAAAAGAGAATGACTTCTAAAATCAGTTCCACTTTAGATGAGTGACTGCAACAATTATGTAACATATTAAATCACCTTTTTTGCATTTGCTGCAAAAAAGATAAGAAAGGGAGAGCTATGTGTATGTGTATTTGTATACGTTTGTAATGTATATGGTTGGTGTATTAAATTTTTAAAAGAAAAAATTCATTTAAAAAGGGAAAGCTAGGTAAAATTACCGCAGATTATCATTAAGATTCAATGTATTAATTTGATTTTTAKATCAGAAAACCACCTGTTAGCTAGAACTGTTTTCATTCTTCATATGAACTTGACAACAATTTTGGTGACTATCTCCATACTATTATTCTGAATGTTCTCTTCTGCATATTTTTGGCTCTCTATCAAGACCTTTGGCTAGCACAAACAAACGGATTGATTGACTGACTGATTGAAAAGAGAGTATCTTGCCAAAGGTTTTTCGGTGAATAGGTTGGTGATCAGGGACTTAAACTTGCATTTAAGCTTCAACTAGAGCAGGGTGGAAAAGTGGTTGCTGTGTCAGACTTGGATTTGGGAGTTATGGGACCTCCTATTCAATTTGTTTGATGACCTTATCTACCAAAAACCTGATCTAACTTGGGGACGAAGTAGACATGAATAATGTACACTGCTCTAAGTTCATTGGATGAAAGTGGTGACCTAAATGCAACTCATAAGTAAATATATACATTATTAATAGAACCACAGAGTTGGAAGACACCTCATGGGCCATCCAGTCCAACCCCAATCTGGCAAGAAGCCAGGAAAATCACATTCAAAGCACTCCTGACAGATGGCCATCCAGCCTCTGTTTAAAAGTCTCCAAAGAAGGAGCCTCCACCATACTCCGGGGAGGAGAGTTCCACTGCTGAACATCTCACACAGTTAGGAAGTTCTTCCAAATGTTCAGATGGAATCTCCTTTCCTGTAGTTTGAAGTCATTGTTCCATTGCATCCTAGCATATGTAGTGTAGTTTTGACTACATAAGCAACAGACAAAACACAGAAAGTTGGGTAGAAAGAGAGCACAGATTAAGGCACTTATGATCAGTTACCTAGAACAGAAGTCCTGATGAGTCTGTTCTTCTTCTTTTCACAGGTTTGAAATGCAGCTTCTAGTTGACCAACAAATTCCTTTTCTTCAATAAAATCCTGTTCAATTAAAAAAAAAGAATGAATGCTTGCTAATACAGAAATAGTTAGACAATTCTGGGTTGTTGTGGGTTTTTCCGGGCTATATGGTCATGTTCTAGAGGCATTCTCTCCTGACTTTTCGCCTACATCTATGGCAAGCATCCTCAGAGGTAGTGAGGTCTCACAACCTTTGAGGATGCCTGTCATAGATGCAGGCGAAAGGTCAGGAGAGAATGCCTTTAGAACATGTCCATATAGCCTGAAAAAACCTACAACAACCCGGTGATTCCAGCCATGAAAGCCTTCGACAATACATTAGACAATTCTATTTTTAATTTAGAAACCAAAAAATAAAACCTCTGAAATGTAGGAGGGAAAGAAAATGAAACATTTTCCTATTTGTTTGGCATTCACTCTCTCCTTCCTGTTTATGATGCGACACAACAACCCTCCTTCATATTTTCTTGTCTTGTCCTTGCTTTCTGAATTATGAGGCATCACACCTTGGGTAAGATATGTACACTTAATTTATGTCTACATCCTTGACTGTTACAGAAGCTGCCCTGATGCTTTTCTCCCGCAAAATATCCTATGACTGATGTATGGCAAACCTTAGAAGAGGCACCTTGGATGAGACCAAATGTATTTACTTGATTTTTAATTTATATTCTGTCTTCCTCCCAACAGAGAACGACAAAACTGTGATATAGTTTCTGTTCACATCATGGAGAACCAGTTGCATATGGGAAGCTCCCTAGAGTGTTATGGCATTTTCCATCTTTGGCAACTCACATATACAGAAGGATATTACTGCTGGTACTGAAGCCGAATTAGCCATCAAGGAGCTCATTCACACAACACAATTATAGTGATATTATTCCACTTTAAATTGTATGGTTCCATCCTATGGAATCCTGGGTTTAACAACAACAACAACAAAATATATACTCTATTGGGACATGAGAGAAGCCCACAGGATGGTAACACATCTGGGCACCTCCCTGGGCAATGTCTCTGCTGATGGCCAATTTTCTCACACCAGAAGCAACTTGCAGTTTCTCAAGTCGCTTCTGACACAAGATACACATACACACTTTATTTATATTCCACTCTATCTCCCTGAGGAGACTCAGGGCAGATTACAGAGTAACATATATGGCAAACATTCAATGACATTGTACAATTAACAAAGTCAGACAAAACATAGACAAAGGCAAGGCTTCTCTTGTTTTCATCTCTGGCATCTGGAGGCTGTGCTCGACTCATCCATGAGAAGGTGCTGTTGTTCCATTTTTCCACACCAAGGAGGCTGTTGTCCATGGACGCCTTTCTGATCAAATCGCCAGCATGTCTTCAAGAGTGCCTTTTACTTCCCCGTCAAAGTGGTACCTATTTATCTACTCACATTGCTGTTTTTGAACTGTAGGTAAGCAGAAGCTAGGGATGACAGAAGGCGCTTACTTCAACCCATGGCTTGAACTGCCAACCTTCCCATCAGCAAGATTTTCTGTAGCTGGCAGTTTAACCTGCTGTGCTAACTATGGGTTTGTACTTTGGGGAGGCATTACAAGAGAGTTTTGAGAGTTTTCTTTTGGCTCTTCCCTAAATATACCATAGAACCATGGCAGTTTAAAGTGGTTTAATAGCCCCACAATTATGTATGATAATGGGCTCCTGATTGCTACCCACCGATGGCTTTCTTCTCCATGATTTTATCCAGGCCACTTCTCAAGCTGTCAATGTTGGCAGCCATAATTATACTTTTGGCAACAAATTCCACAGTTCAAATAAATGATGTGTGAAAAAGTACTTCCTTTTCTTTGTCCTGAATCTTCTCCCATTCCCCAGTTCTAACATTATAAAAGAGAAACCTCCTATCTTCTTTCTTCACACCATATCCTACTATACCTCTATTCACTTCTCGTTTTCTTAATCTAAGAATTGTCAGATGTTGTAAGTGGTCATCACAAGTAAGTTGCCACAATCCATTTAATATTTTGGTTGCCTATCACCCCCCTGTTACAACTTCCCAATATCCTTCTGGGGAGGACTTTGAACTACAACTCTTGGGTAGGAGAAAATGACAGAGATGGCTGCTATGTAATGCCTTTAGATCCAAAATGTGTGCAGCCCTCAAATCAAAGCTTAGATACAAAGTGAAGGCATTTATTAACACAGAGAAATGGCAATGTTCATTGGGTTAATGTCATGAAAAGTAATGAAGGTGAGTTCTGGCCCGGTTTGCAAGGTGCATTAACCTTGGGTCAATTAATATCCCTTGCACCAATATTCTCACATTCATCGCAACCAGGAAGGAGACTGATAAAGTGATGGACTTCTCTTCTCTAGAGCACTGTTTCTTAAACCTGAGCATCCCCTTAGCTCAATCATGGGGTCCAAAAAAAACTGGCAACATTTAAAGCAGTGGTTCCCAACCTGTGGTCCATGGACTACCAGTGGTCTGCAAAAATGAAAATATGGTCTGCGGCCTCACCATTACTTAACCGTTGCCTCGAAACCACACGGCAATGAGAGGGACTGGTCTCGCAAAACCCTTTTATAGTGCCGGGGCAACAGAGATGTTGGGAGGGGAGAAGCTGACTACGCATGAAAGATTACTACCACCACATCGGCTCTAGATTATTGAATATGGTTTTCTGTGGGCAAGCAGATGGGGACTACTGGATGGTATATGTTCTGTATCAGAAGTTAGAGCTGATGTGGTCTATCCAATGCAATTTTCTGAATCAGCACCCCAAATAACCAAACTAAATCTAAAGTTGACCAAAAACTGATTTGTAACCTTTATAGTACTAATGTTGGAGAGTGGTCCCTGGTCAAGTGGTCCCTGGTCAAAAAATGGTTGGGAACCACTGATTTAAAGGTTTCTGAACATTGCCTAGACCAAGGGTCCTCAAACCTTTTAAACAGAGGGCCAGGTCACAGTCCCTCAAACTGTTGGAGGGCCGGATTATAATTTGAAAAAAGCATGAATGAATTCCTACGCACACTGCACATATCTTATTTGTAGTGCAAAAAACACTTAAAAACAATACAATAATTGTAATGAAGAACAATTTTGGCAAATATAATCTTATTAGTATTTCAATGGGAAGTGTGGGCCTGCTTTTGGCTAATGAGATAGGATTGTTGTTGTTGTGTGCTTTCAAGTTGTTTCAGATTTAGGTTGACCCTGAGTGAGGGCCAGGTAAATGACCCTGGAAGGCCGTATCTGGCCCTCGGGCCTTAGCTTGAGGACCCCTGACCAAGACCTTTACACAGCTGTACATCATCAAAAACGGAAAATAAGGTTGTTAAGCATGACCTGCAAATGCTGATTTATTATCAGTAAACATTTTGATACTTATATACCTGGAGTCACGTAAAGAAAGACGTCATGAGTGGGAAAAGTTTAAGAAGCACTGTTTAAGAGCATTTTGAACAGTGGCTGAATGGGCATCTCATTTGTGTATTCCTATTTTGCAGGCATTTGAACTACATGCCCCTCTGGGCCCTTCCTGTCTTTGCAATGACATTAATGAACCTAAAATAGGGACTGGGAGGGACAGTTTGAATTAAGCCCATTCTTTCCTTTCCAACATTGCACTAAAATATTGAGGGAATAAAATTGTTGTCAAAATTTTAGACTTCAAAGAATGTCATATCCCTTGTTGGGGAGAGAGAAATGACATTTTTTCCAATCTGCTGCTGTTAACTATCTACAGCTTTACAGTGACATCTACTGGATGTCTATTTTAGACTGAAAACTGCATAATTCATCTAGTAACAGCTGCAATTACAAATGCAGTTAACACCAAAAACTTGGATGTAATAATGCACAGCAGTCCTGTTATTTTTTACCCTGCCTGATATCCAATGAACTCAAGGCAGTCTACAACAAAACTAATTATAAAAGTTGAAAAATAATGTAAACTTTATAGCAGTAACAAGTAATATATAATCTAAAGCATACAATGTAAACATGTTGAACTATGCAACAAATACAAGAAGTTAGTTAAAATCATATACGAAAAAAGCATCAGACCACAATATAATTACTGTAAATATTACACTGTTACTACAGATGGAAGAAATGAGGCTGTGAAAGAAGATTTTTGTAAAACAACCACGGGCAAACTTCGGCCCTCCCTCCAGGTGTTTTGGACTTCAACTCCCACAATTCCTAACAGCCTACTAGCTGTTAGAAATTGTGGGGGTGTAAGTCCAAAAAACACCTGGAGGGAAGGCCAAAGTTTGCTCATGCCTGTAGTAAAATGTGATTCTACTGATAACACTGAATAGTTTGTATCCTCAAACAGACCAGTTACATAGCTAGCCAGAAACTGGGTAAAGACTTGCCTGCCAGTCTGAAAGCAATGACTCAACCTCTTCCTTGGTCCCATACTTGATGTGCCAGATGTTCAGCTTAGAGATCAGTTCCTCCAAGATAGCTGAGCAGAATAAGTTGTAGTATTCCACAAGGATGCTGTAATCTGTCATCTGAATGTTGCTGAACCTGAAAATCAGCCAAAACTTTTAAAGAAGATGAGACAAAACTGACCAAATGGATAGCTTCTGATGGTCTTAAGAACCCCTTTGGGAGATAAGGCTGGAGATCTCTCTGCCTGTCGTTCTCTTCCTATTTGGTGTTGGTGAGCTACAACTCCCAGAATTCAAAAACAGCCCCCTCCCAACCCCGCCAGTATTCAATGAATGGTGCAGATTGAGGGCTGGGTTTAGAGTGCTCTTTGGTTGTAGGTTAATTATAACTCGCAGCAATTTCAACTCCGAAATGATCTATTTTCCCCAAACTCCACCAGTGGACATACTGAGTATTCATGCCAAGTTTGGTCCAGATCCATCATTGCTTGAGTTCACAGTGCTCTCTGGATGTAGGCAAACTACAACTCCAAAACTCAAGCTCAATGCCCACCAAACCCTTCCAGTATGTCATGGGAGTTCTGTGTGCCAAGATTGATTCAATTTCATTGTTGGCGGAGTTCAGAATGCTCTTTGATTGTAGGTGAACTATAAATCCCAGGAACTACAACTCCCAAATGACAAAATCAATCCCCCACTCCCAATCCCACCCGTATGCAAATTTGGATATGGCAGGTATTTGTGCCAAATTTGGTCCAGTGAATGAAAATACATCCTGCATATCAGATATTTACATTATGATTCCTAATAGTAGCAAAATTACAGTTATGAAGTAGTAATGAAAATAATTTTATGGTTAGGGGTCACCACAACTTGAGGAACTGTGTTAAGGGGTCACGGCATTGGGAAGGTTGAGAACCAAACTAAAATATCCTTCACCCACAGCCAACATCATCAAGAGCAGCAGGCAAGTCCATCAGCAATACTGCTCTCCAGCCAACAAGCTGCCACATTTGGCAAAAGCAATCATTTATCTGCAGCTAAACTGCAGCTTCCCACCCTTTGTGGCTGATAAAAGGAGGAATCTGACAAAGACTAACCGTTTTTTAATTTCTTCCAGCTTTTGATGGGGTACTAGTGGCATGCCTATCTCATCTCTGTTTTCAAAGGACAGCAGGGTCTCCAAGTGCTGGTCAAAATAGGACATCAAGCCCTAGAAGAAAGTACACAATCCATACATTTTCATAGGAGATGAGAAACACATGAAATCACAAGGATCATAACATTATCTTACTGCTGGAAGAAAGGGTCAGGCCATTCCGGTTTCCACTGTCCTCAGGCAGCTTGCCCAACAGCAGAGTTTAGGAAACTTAGTTGTTTGGACTGCAATTCCTAAAGTCCCTTGGCCAGCATGACCAACAGGCTGAGGGATTCAGTGAGTTATTAGAAATATCAACCTTCTACAAACCTCCTATACCAGTTATTTATTTGCATATAATTCAGATTGCTTACTGTATTATATATAGGTTCTTGTGGGTTTTTTCGGGCTATAGAGCCATGTTCTAGAGGCATTTCTCCTGATGTTTCGCCTGCATCTATGGCAAGCATCCTCAGAGGTGTTAGGTGTATTATATATGTGTGTGTATTGATATGCACTTTTCCTTAATTCTATGTTGTGGGAGGGACTGCAAACCACGTGACCAGATCTGGGGTTTTTCAGACTCAGACTCCATTTTCAGACTCAGATTCCATTTTAGAAACAGTATGCTTTTAGAAGTCAGTAGAGACAGAATGCATTAGAGGACAGAGACTCTATTAGACTCTCAGAGTACAGAGATCTTTAGACCAGTAGTTCCTAACCTTTGGTCTTCCAGGTGTTTTGGACTTCAACTCCCAGAAATCCCAGCCATTTTACCATCTATTTAGAATTGTGGGAGCTGTAGTCAAAAACACCTGGAGAACCAAAGGTTGGGAACCACTGCTTTAGACTTTAGACTGTTGATTATAAGAAAGATGCCCTGTGTTATCTGCACAAACTACTTCAAATCTATCTATAACTAGATTGATATCCAACGTAACTGTATGCTGAATACATGAAGTTTGTGAGTAAACCAACTATGTTATTTTAACAAAGACTACTTATTTTTGTCTCTTGAGAGCACAATTTAAACTTAGATGTTTAAGGGAGAGAAGATGTTTTTGGGCAACTGAAAGAAACCATTCTGAAACTCTGTTGTATGTTTTTTTATGCATTAGCATATCTTTGTTCCTAACAGTTCAAAGAGATGTCTAGGTTATCAGTCTAATAGCTGAGAAGCCTAAATTACCTTGCATTAATATTATTTACCACTAAGGAAAAGGTTGATTCAAGTGAGTTATTAACTCTTCTCAGGAAGATCATACTTTACAAAAAGTTACAATCTCTAACAAGGCCATGCCTTTCCAAAATATTCCTGGTTTCCCCAAAAGGTTATGAAAGCCATTTTCCAAAAGGTTATGGAGATGTCCGTTGTCTAAAAGTTTAAAGGCTACTTTTTCATACTCTGGCTGTTTGGAATAACTTCACAAGAGGGTTGTTCTAAATTTTTTGAGCTGTATGGTCATGTTCAGGAAGCAGGATAGAATGCTTCTGGAACATGGCCATACAGTCCAAAAAACTTACAACAACCCAGTGATTCCAGCCATGAAAGCCTTTGACAATACATTAACTTCACAAGAGACCAGTTGTTCCAAGCCTGGAAAGGTGTTTGGGATATAAGCATTTCCATTGAGAACCAGACTGAAACTACAATCGACTTGTTTTTAAAATAAGAAGGTCGAAGCATGGACTTGGCCATAGAATCAAAGAGTTGGATGAGACCTCATGGGCCATCCAGTCCAATCCCCTGCCAAGAAGCAGGAATATTGCATTCAAATCACCCCTGACAGATGGCCATCCAGCCTCTGTTTAAAAGTTTTCAAAGAAGGAGCCTCCACCACACTCCGGGGCAGAGAGTTCCACTGCTGAACGGCTCTCACAGTCAGGAAGTTCTTCCTCGTGTTCAGATGGAATCTCCTTTCTTGTAGTTTGAAGCCATTGTTCTACGTCCTAGTCTCCAGGTCAGCAGAAAACAAGCTTGCTCCCTCCTCCCTGTGGCTTCATGTGATATTTGGCCCTTACTGACCCAGTGACCAACTAGCCTTTCATTCAATGAGTCAATTCTACATGGGAGTCATTTGCCTTTTGTTTTCGGAACACTACTGTGTGCCTGAAAAAAGGAAACTTCATTCCAACTTATAAAAGCATGAGAAGAATCCTGCTTTTCCTTTCTGTTGCAGTCTTATACACAAGGCTTGGCAGCAGTGTGCACATGATCGAGGTTATCCTCTCACGCACTCCCCTCCTTTGGCAGGCCTATTCTTTCCCAGACTTAATCCCTTGACCTTTTCTCCTCCCTGGATATCAGCTTGCAAAACTGCAATTACGCTCTAGACGCCTGGCCTAGAAAAGAAAGCAAGTAAAACTATGTTTTAGCTTCCTGGTTAAGGCAAGAGGACCAAGAAATTTCAGCTGGTTCTTCCCCAAAACTAATAAAAGTATTTAGTAACTCCATCCAATTTAGATAAACTACCAAAGGCAAGACCTCTGTCACTGTATCAGTTTTAATGGTGTTTATTTTGTTTATCGTATCGGGAGCGAACTGAGGGTATAGCTGTAATGTATTTTAAAACTTGGCATTATACTAAATGTCTTTTGACCAGTCGCTGGCCACTTGGAAGTGCCTCTAGTATTGCTATAAGAAGGTCCTCCATTGTGCATGTGGCAGGGCTCAGGTTGCATTGTAGTAGGTGGTCTGTGTTTTGCTCTTCTCCACTCACATGTCATGGACTCCACTTTGTGGCCCCATTTCTTAAGGCTGGCTCTGCATTTATTTTTTTCTCTTAGGGTTGGATGCTTCTAACCTGGACCTAATCCTGCTACCGGGCCCATACTCCAAGTCCTTTCCCAAAGCTCATATCCCTTTCCAATGGGATTTATTTATTTATCATGTCCGAAGCGAACTGAGTTATAATGTATAGAAAAACCACAAACCAAGTTAAAAACTTGGCATTATACTAAATTTCCTTTGATCAGAAGCTGGCCACTTCTGGTCTTGCTGTAAGAAGGTCCTCCATTGTGTATGTGGCGAGGCTCAGTCCGCATTGTAGTAAGTGGTCTGTGGTTTGCTCTTCTCCACACTCGCATGTCACGGACTCCACTTTGTAGTCCTATTTCTTAAGAATGGCTCTGCATCTCATAATACCAGAGCATAGTCTGTTCAGCACCTTCCAAGTCGCCTAGCTTTCTATGTACTCAGGAGGGAGTTTCTCATCTAGTACCAGCCACTGATTGAAGTTCCGGGTTTTAGCCTGCCACTTTTGGACTCTTGCTCGCTGAGGTGTTCCTGCAAGTATCTCTGCAGATCTTAGAAAGCTATTTCTTGATTTAAGGCATTGGCGTGCTGGCTGATATCCGAACAGGGAATAGGCCAGAGATGTCACTGCTTTGGTCTTTTCATTATTGGCTGTTACTTCCCAGAGGATGTCAGGTGGTACAGTATCAGCTAAACAGTGTAATTTCTCCATCCTGTGATAATGTGGCATGTCTTATTAAGAGCCACATCCATTGTTTTAGTGTGGTGAGATGTGCTCCACACTGGGCATGTGTACTCAGCAGAAGAGTAGCAAGGTGCAAAGGCAGATGTCTTCACTGTGTCTGGTTGTGATCCCCAGGTTGTGCCAGTTGGCTTTCATGTGATATTGCATCTAGCACCCAGTTTTTGCTTGATAGTCGAGCAGCACTTCTTGTAGGTCATAATACGGTCCCAGGTATTTGGGTATGCTGCAATGCTCCAGTAGGATTCCTTCCCAGGTAATCCTCAGAGTTTGAGATGAAAAGCACATGTCCGTTTTTTAGATGGATTACGAATCAGCTGTTTTTCCCTGTAATAGGTAGTTTTGAAAGTTTTAATGGTTAATTTGAAGTTTCAAAACTGTTGGCCTCATAGCTAGGATTCTTTTACCCAAAGAAGTCTCACTTCTCTTGAGAGCTTTGGGACTACAAATCCCAAAATCCCCCAGGCGCTACATGTCACCATGCTAAATGTGGATTCTGAGATCTGCAATCCAAAAGGCTTCTTCCAAGCACTGCTTTTCTCTTATGTCCGTTTTTTAATTCTTTGCCCCTTTTCTGAAAACATAAGGAGTTCCTCGTTGCCTCTACATTTCATTACTCTCAAGATGAAATGGGGGAATCATTATAACCTTTCTCAATTCTTAATTAATCCATTATTAACTCTTAATTAATCCTTCGTTAATCTTCCTTCTTGGCAAGTCAATTAGTAGATACCCCAACAGGGTACATGCTTCACTGCCCCCAGTTAGTGGGAATTAATTTGCTTTCCCCCCACTCCTTCTGATATTTCTTTCTTGGAAGTTAGAACCATCAATCTGTAACAATGCAATTTAGCATCAGATGCCTGTTCATTAACACACTTGGAAAGTAGGAGTGTGTGTTGTTTTCAATCAATTACTCCTTAGTTATAAAACTGCGAGCTAAATTAATGTTAGTTTTATCTAGAGCAGACCCACTGGGATCAATGGGTTTTTAATTGTGAATAACAAGTCCTATCCATTTTAATCAGTGTGCTCAAAGCAGACTTTATATTGGATTTCACCCATCATCTTTGGTTGTCTAAGAGTATATTGGTTGTTTTAGGTTTTTTCGGGCTATATGGCCATGGTCTAGAGGCATTCTCTCCTGACGTTTCGCATGCATCTATGGCAAGCATCCTCAGAGCTAGTGAGGTCTGTTGGAACTAGAAAAAAGGGTTTATATATCTGTGGAATGACCAGGGTGAGACAAAGGACTCTTGTCTGCTGGAGCTAGGTGTGAATGTTTCAACTGACCACCTTGATTAGCATATAATGGCCTGACAGTGCCTAGAGCAAACTTTTGTTGAGAAAAAAACCCTGAAAAAACCCACAACAACCCAGTGATTCTGGCCATGAAAGCCTTCAACAACACATAAGGGTATATTATCTACATTATAGAAAGAAAGCAGTTTGATACCACTTTAACTTTTTTTAAAAACTGCCATGACTTGATTTTTTTGTGTGCGTCAGAAGTGACTTGAGAAACTGCAAGTCGCTTCTGGTGTGAGAGAATTGGCCATCTGCAAGGACGTTGCCCAGGGGATGCCCAGATGTTTTACCATCCTGTGGGGCACTTCTCTCATGTCACTGAATGAAAAACTGGAGCTGTCAGATGGGAGCTCACCCCATTTTGTGGATCTGAACTACCGACCTTCAGGTCAGCAGTTCAGCTGGCACAAGGTTTAAGCCATTGCGGCACTGCCGCTCACCATGACTTGATGCAATGGAAGCACTGAAATAGTAATTTTACAAGGTCTTTAGCTTTCACTGTCAGGATGCTGGTGCCTCTCCAAACTACAAATCACAGGATTTCACAGCATTGAGCTCTCAAAGAAGTGTAACAGTGTTGATTCTAGTCTTGACTCTGTGTGCCTTCAGTTTTTCACATTGTCCTCTCACACATGCGCTTTCGCTTCTATCATTTCTTATATATTTTGTTGTACGCATTGCAATCTAAATGTTGATATGCTCATAGCTTTCAAAAGATTCCTGGAAGTATCAAGTTTTTCTGTTCGGTTAGCAAATTGCCTCCTCCATTCAAGTCAAACATTGTCATGCAACACAACATTGTAATCTGCCTTCAGTCCTATATTTTGGGGGGTGGAGGCAGAACATAAATAAACTAATACAATAAAATACAGTAATCATTCACAAATCTGAAAACAAAATATTTCCCATTTATTATAATGGATGTTTAAACTGCATTAAACTGCAGCTAGCAGCTTAATGGAGGTTAAACTGATAGCTGCAGGAAATGTGCTGACCAGGGAGTTAGCAATTTGAAGCCACGAGTCAGGGTGAGCTCCTGGCTATCAGCCCTAGCTTCTGCCTTCCTAGCAATTCGTAGGCATGTAATGCAAGTAGATCAATAGGTACTACCTCAGGGAGGAGGTAAAAGGGCACCCCATGCAGACATGCCTGCAACACAATCAGAGAAATCTATGGAGAAAAGGATCCTCAGCATGGAAAAATTGAACAAGAGCACCTCCCCATGGCCAGAGTTGAGCATCACCTCCAGATACCAGAGATGGAAAGGAATGGCCTTTACCACTGTCTGTGTACTGTATGTTCTTGTTGTCTCCATAAAACTGTAATCCACTCTGAGTCCCTCTGGGGAGATAAAGCTGAATATAAATTATTATTATTATTATTATTATTATTATTATTATTATTATTATTATTATTTGAAACACAACAAGATGAGTCCACAGCAAACAAGATCACTCTGCTGCCTGTTGTATTGAATCACACATGGACACTTCCACGTGTATAGGACTGTGTGATGTATCGGCAAATAATGCGTGCAGATCCCAGTAAGGTGGCCTTTTGCAGCTATTATTATTATTATTATTATTATTATTATTATTATTATTATTTGCTGGTTTGGAGAAAGTTCCATGAAATCTGGATATACATGTTAGTCTGCAATCTGTTTGATCCATATTGTGTCTTTTAATTATTTTGTATCCTTTTTATGTATGCAAATAAAATATTAACAATGAATTGTCACTATTCAAATATAAACACTACAGAAGCAAGGAGGCTGCAAATAATTGCATTATATCTGCAGAGCCAAGGAGAGAACAAATCAAACTTCTCATACATCGAAAGCACTGGGGTGTACAAAGCCTGGGAAAGTGACTTTTCAGATAACAGCTTCCAGAATCTGTCTTGTAATTATAGTCCAAAATGTAACTTTCTGAAGCTTTCTAAGGGTGAGAAAGAAGGCACAGCAGAGAGAGAGAAAGAAGCAGAATGCTTCTGTGCAATGAATATTACACTTCACTGCTGCTAACCTGGAGAGATTTCATTCTTCCTTGAAGGACATCCACTGCCTTGCAGCGGTGGTGCGAATCAGGGAGATCTTCGGCCATCTGCTGTTCTACATCTTGGAGCCACAACTCAATCGTATCTAAAGGCGGAGGTAACAAATGGTCCAGCTTTCCTTTCCATTCATCAATCTACATTAAGAAAAGGCAGAGATGTCCAGTTTGTACAAGTTATCTTACTTCATGTTTTCATACAAACCTTCTCAATGTTGTTACTGAGGAACCATCTGGAGGCCTGAAAGTGTAGGCCAAGCATGGGCAAACTTGGGCCCACCAGGTGATTTGGATTTCAACCATTCCTAACAGTGTACTGGCTGTTAGGAATTGTAGGAGTTGAAATTCAAAACACCTGGTGGTCCAAGTTTGCCCAGGCTTGGTCTAGTCGGTTAACCTGTTATGTTGCAATTCCCATTACCCCCCAGTGCGCTTGGCAGATAATCAAACGATGGGACTTGTCATTCTGTAACATCTGGGGACCCAAAGTGAGCAAAGACTAAAGATCACTGACCATTATGTTAAAAAATATATAATTGGCCCTCTGTATTCCTGGATCTTCTGTCTGAGAATTCAATAGTCCTTTGATGGTAACCATAAGGCTGATGCGGTGCTCGATGAAATTGAGCTTGGCACCCATGTTCTAATGACATGATCTTTGAAGAAGACATAATGTTTCTACAGAATTTTGGAAAAATCTTTGGAGGTTTTTAAACAGAGGCTGGATGGCCATCTGTCAGGAGTGCTTTGATTGTGTGTTCCTGCATGGTAAAAAGGATTAGCTGATGTTTGTAGTCTCTCCCAACTCTATTATTTCTTTGATAAAGGACTACAGTTCCTGCAGTGCCCTTCAAACGGTAGTCCAAATCTTACTTTTTTAAAGGTAAGGTTTATTAAACACCCCTAATGACCTGTGAGGACAAGCTGTCCCATGCTTCTCCCATCTGCAGTTGATCTTCACTCAGCTCCAGAGCTTTCCTTTTGGATGTCAAGACAGGCAGGAAAGCTTTCTTCTCCTCATCAAATGTTTCCATAAAAGACATCATCTCCTAAGAAAGAAAATATATAAGCTCACGTTTTGTGTCAAATACTTTCACAGTAAAGGAAGAATTAGGCAAGAGGGAAAGGTAATCTTGGTCACTCTAAAACAGTGCTTCCCAATCTGTGGTCCACGGACCACAAGTGGTCCGCAAGAACTAAAATATGATCCATGGCCTCACCATTACTACACTGTTGCAACGAGAGCAACTGGTCTTGTGAAACCCTCTTATAGTGCCGAGGGTTATTAAATGTGGTTTTCTGTAATGATGATTACTGGATGGCATATGTTCTGTATCAGAAACTAGAGCTGATATGGTCTATCCAATGCAATTTTTTGAATCATCACCCTAAATAACCAAACCGAATTTAAATTTGAACAAAAACTAATTTGTAACCCTTTTGTTACTAATGTTGAAGAGTTGTCCCCTGGTCAAATGGTCCCTGGTAAAAAAAAAAAAGATTGGGAACCACTGCTCTAAAGCTGAAGTTTGTAACTTTTCTCTCTCCCACCCAGTACAACTTTTGGTAAGGAGTTATTTGGACTGTGGTTGAAACGTTCCTCATCCCTGAATCAGTCAGAGAGATGGAGAAAAGGTGAATCACTCCATATTGGCTATTTAAATAGGAACATCATGTGGATGAGCAGTAGCCTAAATACCTTAAAGGCACCAGATAGCATCAGATTTTGGAAGCTAAGCAGGGTCAGTCTTGGATAGTACTTGGAAGAGAATGCCAAAAAATCCAAGGTGTTGTATGCTAGAAATCTAAGGAAGGAACTCACAAAACCACCTGTGAGTAGTCTTTATTGACGAAAACCCCATGGGATCCATGGAGTCACCTCAAACATCATGGTCAAAACAAGAACAAGAAGGCTGGTGGCTTCTACAGGACAATGATGGGCCATGTTGTATCAAAACAGTGCCTTAAACTGAGACTTCAAGTCATTTCCAATTCTGACTGTAAACCTCATTTCAGTGTGGAGGACTTTAATAAGTTTCTGAGAAGTCAAAACTGGGCCTTAAACTCAACCAAAGTTGCGTAGTTCTGATACAAGGCAACCATCATTCAAAATGACAAAGAGATGTCAAGAAGTTAAGGAGGCAGAACTCTGCAGCATTGTTTTATAGCATCATGAAAAAATGCAAGCCCTTAATTTAGTCACAGGAATGTGTTCCTTGAATTCATTTCTTATCTCTAAATTTATGAAATGAGCAAAGAGAACTTACTTTGTATTTCTCATAGAAGGGTGCATTGTCAGTCTCAGTCTGCAACTCTGTTAACTTCTTTTCTTGAGCTTCCAGCCAACTCAAGGTCTCGTTCGCTTTCCCCTGGGAAATGGAACAGAAAGTTGCCAACATGTATCTCATTCTCAACCCTCCTAAATATTCCAGCAGTGCATTGTTGAGGAAAAGGTCATTGTGTCAAAGATACTCCCAAGAAAGTTCCCCCTTTCAGAAAGGACTTCATTTCAACCCTTGTGAAAGCAATGCAAGCACTGACACCAACATCATATTGGAACCTGCTTTGCCAAATGAGCTGACGTCAATGGTAGGTACTGTGGTTTTTCCTTAACTAAGGCTAGCGACATGAACTGCAGAAGTGTGTCCATGTACTTAGACTTTGATGTCCCTTTATCTCTCTTGTCAACTCCCCCATTACAACAGCTTCACTGACTGCCAGTTTGCTTCTGGACCCAATTCAAAGCACTGGTTATGACCAACAAAGTCCTGCATAGCTCAGGTCCAGGCTATATAGCACATCGTACCTCCCTATATAAACCATTCCAGACCCCGAAATCATCATGAGAAGACCCTTCTTCAATCTCAACACCATCCCAAGCTCGGTTGGTGGGATGCAAAGGAAGGAAAGCCTTATTAGTGATTGTCCCCATTGTCTTCCTGGTGGGAGGCTTTTTTCATGTCAGAAGCAACTTGAGAAACTGCAAGTCAGTTCTGGTGTGAGAAAATTGGCTGTCTGCAAGGACATTGCCCAGGAGATGCCCAGATGTTTTACCATCCTGTTGGAGGCTTTTCTACCTCTGTTAGAGGTAGGTGTGAATGTTGCAATTGACCAACAGACAGGAGTTCTTTCTCCCACCTGGACATTGCACAGTTATATAAACCCCACTTGCCTAGTTTCTAACAGACCTCACGACCTCTGAGGATGCCTGCCTTAGATGCAGGCAAAACGTCAGGAGAGAATGCTTCTGTAACATGGCCATAAATCCTGGAAAACTTCCAGCAACCCAATGATTCCAGCCATGAAAGCCTTCAACAATAGTTTTCAAGCTGCTTCTGGTGTAAACCAAGATGTTCTCTTAACCAGGCACAAACTATGATTAGTTACCACAACAGATGTGAAGAAAGTATGAATGCTATGGTAACACAATCCTTCAAACTGAGGCCACTCCACATAGTTGTATAAAATCCATATTGAACTGGATTATATGGCAGTGTGGAATCAAATAACTCAGTTGAAGGAGATTTTGTGGATTATCTGCCTTGATATTCTGGGTTATATGGCTGTGTCTAAGGGCTCCAAGGGTCAGAAAGGATGTGTACTAGTTACTGCTCTAATCTTTTCTCTTCCCTTTTTGCATCATTTGTCCCATTATTGTAAAGACACTTTAAACAGAGCATTCTGACATAACAAGAAACCTCTCAGTTTATGCAAAATAAGCAATAAATCATATATTTTAAAAAATTATACTTGAAAAGTTTTCATGAGATATGCTGTATCCTTACATTTTGTGTCCATATCTTTTATTTGGTTTGATCTCTGGTTTGCTAGTAAAACTGAATTACTGTTTTGCGAAATGACACATGTCTAAAAAGTGTTTGGAAAGTTCTGCTCTAAAACATGCTCAACAATTCTTGGGGAAATCCTTGCCCAATGAATGTTCTGATCTCGCCAAATTTACTTCCAACATGAAAGATGTTACATACCTGAACTTCTTCTTCAGCTGAAGGTAAACTTTTGAAATACTGCAGAAACTGAGCCACATACGTCATGATGGACTTTTCATCTGGATTGGTGACATCAACATCTAGGAAGTGGCAGAAACAGTTAAAACACTCCTAGATCACATGACTGCTTTCAGGGGGAAATGTCTCAAATGTCCAGGACAGATCACTATAGGATTCTCCTTCTTTTAGAAGAAGATGAAAGAACTCGTGACAAAACCCATGTGCTGCTAAGAACGGAGTTCCTCTCAGGCTAAATACAACATGACTAATGGCAAAGTAAGGATGAAACGGAATAGTTACCTTCAGGTTCAAGCAGCCGTGGAATATTTAGTTCCTTCTCTGCAAGATCAAATGCCTCCTTTAGATTCTCTTGGTTGGACCGTCCTTTTGCTTTCTCCACATCAACCAAACCTGGACGTAAGGCGTGAATGACAGCTAAGAAAGCCAACCCATTCCTCCAGCTGGACTTGAAATCTGCAACACTGATGAATCCATGTCTGTACCAAAAACATAACATAATATAATATAATCTCTCTCTATATAAATCTCTGTTCGTTTTGAGTGACATCATAACTCAAAAACCACTGAACTAATTGCCACCAAATTTGGCCACAAGACACCTACTAACCCAAGGAGTGGCCATCACTAAAAAAAATGATCTTGTCATTTGGGAGTTGTAGTTGCTGGGATTTATAGTTCACCTACAATCAAAGAGCATTCTGAACTCCACCAACGATGGAATTGAACCAAAATTGGCACACAGGACTCCCACGATCAACAGAAAATACTGGAAGGGTTTGGTGGGCCTTCACCTTGAGTTTTGGAGGTGCAGTTCACCTACATTCAGAGAACACTGTGGACTCAAACAGTGATAAATATGGACCCAACTTGGTATCTCCATAGATATAGATAGTTAGATAGATATGATTCACACATACACACACATATATGAATATGACAGATATAGTATCGTAGATTTGGAAGGGGCCCCTAAAGAAGAACAATTATATGTTGCATGTTCCAGAGTAGGCAAACCAGACAATCTCTACATCAACACTGACAAAGGAACAACAAGAAATACTGTTTACGCACAAACATAAAGAAATTACATATATTAGTAACCAACACATTCTTTTTACTTTATTTTCCAGATCTCCTGACTGGGCCACAGCAATGCATGTTAGGGGTCGACTAATATACGATACGATACGATACTAATATAATATAATATAATATAATATAATATAATATAATATAATATAATATAATATATATTCAAAGCATCCATCAAGTTACTCCTGTAAGTGGTGGTTAAGTTTCATCAACTATGAAAATCTGGATCAACTTATCTTGCTGTACCACCTCCACCATATCACAGTTTTACATAGTTACTTTTTGGGCTTCAACTGACCAGTGGAAATATTGGCTGAAGATTTCTAAGGATCATAACCCAAACAAGTAACTTTTCTAAGCTCTAGGGGTCATTCATATACTGTGCATATACTTTGCAAACCTGGTTTGTTCTGGATATTCTGAACTACAGCCCCCATTATTTATCCCAAGGTAGAATGTAAGTTATTGTGCAACAACAGATAAGGAAGGTTACAGTGTGGGGAAGGCTAATTCATCATTTGCCAATTATTATTTAGGGTCACATCGCACCATACTGTCATAGCACTCTATTCCACTTTAGTTGCTTTGCACATCCCACAGAATTCTGAGATTTGAAGTTTAAGGAGGAACGCCACAATCCCGGAAGCACTGGGATTGTGGCGCAGCTGGCTGAGTGTTAGCTGCATTAAGATCACTCTGACCAAAAGGTCATGAGTTCGAAGCTAGCCCGGATTGGAGTGGGTTTCCAACCATTGTGTAGTCCGTTGTCAACCTTTGCAACCAGAAAGACAGTTGCATCTATCAAGTAGAAAAATAAGGTACCACCTTAAAAGTGTGGGGAGGCTAAAATTAACTAATTTATAAGGCCATAAAGAAGCACTCCAGCGGGGAAGCATCCAAGGAATGCGGAAGTGCTTCATCAGCGTCGCAGATGGACAATAAAAGCGACAGCTCCCCTGGCGGTCAGAAAAAGTTAAATACCCTCTGTGTAAAGTCTGTATATGTCTGTATATCAAAATTGGCATTGAATGTTTGCCATATATGTGTATACTGTAATCCGCCCTGAGTCCTCTGCGGGGTGAGAAGGGCGGAATATAAAAGCTGTAAATAATAATAATAATAATAATAACAACAACAACAACATTCTGAATTCTCAGCCAGAGACCTCTTGGACCTCACTAAGGCCCCTTCTACACTGCCATATAAAATCCAGAAATTATCTGCTCTGAACCGGATTATATGGCAGTATAGACTCAAATAATCCAGCTCAAAGCAGAGAATGTGGATTATCTGTTTTGATAATCTGGGTTATATGGCACTGTAGAAGGAAGGGCCCTTTGTTGCATACCACAGAATTTCACTCGATGTTAGTAAAGTGGAATATACGACATTGGATTATGTGATGCAACTACTGATTACTGATGCAACTGTTTTCTGTGTTTTAATTCCCTGTTTTAATGTAGACATTTTTCCCAATTGTATGTTTTTAAGGCATTTGTTGCAGATATGTGAAGCTACTCTGAGCCCCCTTAAGGCTTGAGAAGGGAGGGGTAAAAATTAGGCATGGACAATCCATGGTACTAAAACTAGGGGGCGCCGGTACTTTGCTTCTATAGTGTTGCTAAAGTACTGGTGGTGAAAATTTCAGAACTCTAACAAAACTTCCAAAATGTCATTATTATTTCGTTATTGGCAATTTTTATGACAAAACCAATTAAGAACTGCCATTATAACGAAATTTTGAAAGTTTTGTTAGAGTTCTGAAATTTTCACCACCAGAACTTTAGCAATATTGTAGAAGCAAAGCACAAGCTCCCCTTAGTACTTTATAACCATTTAGAACCATGAATTGCCCACGCCTAGTACAAACATAGTAAATAAATAAATAAGCAACACTGTAGCATTATAAGGATCTTAGTGTAAGCCACTTGAGAGGCACAATGGGATATACTCAGATTCCTGAGATACCTTGTATTTATTGGTGATCTCTCTTCCAAGTGAACTCAATGAAATCAATAGGACTGGATTCAGCCTTGTGTATCTATGACTTTCAACATGGTTTCCAACTCAGAAGTGATACATCCATTGCAAATAAATTCATATATATTCAACATAAATGCCACTCATGTTCCTTCAGACAATGAGTTTGTTTGTTTGAGAACACAGCCATGCCCAGAAGGGGCATCCATGAGTCAGAACTAGTCCTGGCAGAACAGCATTTTTTACATACGGCAAGTAAGTGGGAAGGTGAACAAAGACCTAACGCTTTGACTGAATTCAGTGATTTCATGGGTTTGAAATGTGTTTATTGAGTTTGTGTTCAGCACTAGTAGAGATTGAGAAAGTTTTTTTATATACTGTAAATCCTATAAGACCCCAAGCAGTTTGATGTGTCATAGAATCATAAGAGTTGGGAGAGATCTCATGAGCTATCCAGTCCAACCCCATTCTGCCAAGAAACAAGAAAATCTCATTCAAAGCACCCCCAACAGATGGCCATCCAGCCTCTGTTTAAAAGATTCCAAAGAAAGGAGCCCCTGCAACACTCCAGGGCAGAGAGTTCCACTGTTGAACAGCTCTCACAGTCAGGAAGTTCTTCCTAATGTTCAGGTGGAATCTCCTTTCCTGTAGTTTGAAGCCAATGTTCCGTGTCCTAGTCTCCAGAGCAGCAGAAAGCAAGCCTGCTCCTTCTTCCCTATGACTTCCCCTCACATGGCACTCATCGTGTCTCCTCTCAGTCTTCTCTTCTGCAGACTAAACATTCCCAGCTCTTTAAGCCACTCTCATGGGGCTTGTTCTCCATACCCTTGATCATTTTAGTCGCCTTCCTCTGGACACATTCCAGATTGTCAACATTTCCCTTCAATTGTGGTGCCCAGAATTGGACATCATATCCCAGGTGTGGCCTCACCAAGGCAGAATAGAGGGGTACCATGACTACTCTGGATCTAGACACTATATTCCTGTTTATGCAGTCCTATCCAATGGTGATGGTAGTTGGAAAATTCTGGGAGTTGTAGCTCAAAGAAGTAACTCCTTGATACACAAACTGGAAAAGGCACCTGAACTAGCCCCATAATTCATTTTCTTGTCTGTCATGTAATTATAGAAATAAGCCAGTGTTGACTAAGTTATTCTGTTAGGACAGGAATAAAGCTCTTTACTCCATACAAAACCTTATCACAGGAGACAATGTGTTGCCATCTTTTCTCATGAGGACTTTTTGGTAGATGTTACACCAAGTCCCCCTTCCAAGGGAATCTAGGATGTCATATCAAACTATTGCAGAAATCCTGTGTCAGAGGACTGCAGCTAAGCAATCTTGTAGTTATGCTCCACCTTCTCCCAGTCTTAAAGGAAGGCAAATCTTGCCAAGAAAACCTAATGATAGGTTCACTTTAGTGTCACTGTAAATCATTAATGACTTGAAGGAACATAACCACCAACACCATAACTAAACTCTTGACCTTCAGTCCTTAGGCCCATTTCTAGCTAGCAAGAACAAGACAGAGCAAATGTGAACTGTTGAAATGTCCTCTTCCATACAACAATCACAAGTACAGGAGTCATATCCTCTTTTTCTTTACTCTCTATTCTTACTCACTTTTTTGTAAGCAAGCTGAATCAAGACATAAAAAGAGGACTGTGTTAACCCTGCCACTTCTATTTCTGATTCCACTGCTTTCATGGGCAGAGAAAAGGGACAGGATAGAAGGAAGTCCCTTATGTACAGATGCTTTTCATTATGGGTTTTGAATCTTTGGGGCAGTCGTATGCTAATCTCATGATTCCATATGACAAATTTGAGATTTAAAATTAAGTGGTTCTCAACCTTCCCAATGCCATGAGCCCTTAACACAGTTCTTCATGTTGTGTTGATCCTCAACCATACAATTATTTTCATTGCTACTTCATGACTGTCATTTTGCTACTGTTATGAATCCTAATGTAAATATCTGATATGCAGGATGTATTTTCATTGACTAGACCAAATTTGGCACAAATACCTGCCACATCCAAATTTGAATACTGGTGGGGTTGGACGTGGAGGATTGATTTTGTCATTTGGGAGTTGTGGTTTTCATTCACTGGACCAAATTTGGCACAAATACCCGATAGCCCCAAATTTGGATACTGGTGGGATTTGGGGGGGGGGGGGAATCTTGTCATTTGGGTGTTGTAGTTGCTGAAATTTATAGTTAATCTACAATCAAAGAGCATTCTGAACTCCACCAACGATGGAATTGAAACAAACTTGGCACACAGAACTCCCATGACCAACAAAACATACTGGAAGGGTTTGGTTGGCATTGACCTTGAGTTTTGGAGTTGTAGTTTGCCTACATCCAGAGAGCACTATGGACTCACACAATGATGGATCTGGACCAAACTTGGCACGAATACTCAATATGCCAAAATGTGAACACTGGTGGAGTTTAGGGAAAACAGACCTTGACATTTGGGAGTTGTAAATGCTGGGATTTATAGCTAACCTACAATCAAAGAGTGTTCGGAAACCCACCAATGAGAGAATTGGGCCAAACTTCCCACAGAGAACCCCCATGACCAACAGAAAATACTGTGTTTTCTGATGGTCTTTGGTGACCCCTCTGACACTTCCTTGTACCCCCCCCCCCAAGGGTCCCAACCCCCAGGTTGAGAAACATTGTTTTAATTCTTTTGTTATTTTATTTGTGCATTTAAATTTATATTTAGTTTTATTTTAATGCTGAACTCCTGTACGTTTTGAGCTATGTTGGAATTTGTAAGCTGCCTCTGGTTCCAGTTTTGAGCAAAAAGAGCACATAAATATAGTTAACAAAAATAATTAATAATATATCTCTGTTTGCCTTTAGAACCTGTTGTGGAGGACTAGGAAACCTTAGGCCTTTTCCATACAGTTGTATAAAATTCATATTGAACTGGATTATATGGTAGTGTGGACTCAGATAACTCAGTTCAAAGCAGACATTGTGGATTATCTGCCTTGGCTGTGTGGAAAGGTCCCTACAGAGCAAATTTTAGGATAATGCAGAGACTCTGACCAGGGATAGGAAGGAAAAATAAATCAGATGTCTACCAGATTTATTTTGGGATAAAATGTTAGAGAAAATACAGGTACCACCCTAATTTTATACTCGCAAGACCAGGGGTCCTTCCACATAGCCCTATATCCCAGATATCAAGGCAGGAAATCCCACATTAACTGAGTGTGGACTCAGATAACCCAGTTCAAAGCAGATATTCTGGGATTTTCAACCTTTATATTCTGGGATATAAAGTTGTGTGGAAGGGCCCCGGGAGAAAATATGTCATCTCTAGAAATGTTCTATGTTCTCCAGATGATTTTATGTTATCTTTCCAGCAAAAGTACCAAAGATCCACCCTAGAGCAGTAATCACAAACCTTTAAGAGACTGATTTCCCCATTGCTACTTACTTAGCACACTGTTCTTTTGCCCACAAGAGCAATGCTTTCTTGGCTGATATCTTCCATCGCTCTTTTGCTTTTGCGTTTCTTTTAGCCGGAGGGCTTTCTGTGGGAGAGGTATTGTCCGTGGCAGATGGAGTCTCCACAGAAGGGTGACTGTATCCACCAGCCAGAGTCCAGGCTAACTCTTCAATCTGCCCAAAAGATTCAGAAAGATTCAGAAAGAAAGAAAAACTTCACTTAACAGCCATTGTAAAAAAAGGGGGAAAGGGGATCAAAACAAATTTGCACTGATGATTTTGTGAGCAATTTTTCAGCTCTAGTTAGAAGTGACTAGTGCATTTCATTTTTCCAGATGAAAAGTGTTTCTCTGTCTTATTTATTTTCTTTGTTATTAAACTGGAAAACCTATTTGAAACGTGTCACTTAAAAACTAGAACTTATTATTTATTTACTTATTTATTTATTTATTTTTGGTATTTCTACCCCGTTCCTTCTCAACCCCCAAAGGGGGACTCAGGGCAGTTTACATTCGGCAGCAATTCGATGCCACTACATATAACAGAGCAATATAATAACAATTAAAACAATTAGTAAAACATTAGTTAAAACAATAAAAAACAGTATTAACAGCTGTATCACAATTCCAGTCAATTCCATATCAAATTCCATGTCCAAAGTGCTATCTATGTGTCCAGAGGAGGGCAACTAAAATGATCAATGGTCAGTGTTTCAAGATGTGGGTGTGTGGAAATCAAATTCAAAAACTCTTCTTTTCCCTTTTGATTAATACCCACCTGAAAATGCAAAATGATTGTCCAAATAAGGCCAAGCACAATGGACGGTTTCCCTTCAACGATATCAGCAACATGGATATTGATGAGTTTGATCTGGAATGACAAAGGTTTTTGGACAAGAACAGGAGAATTTATAGCCATACCCTGGCATTCCCAGATATAAGGTAAATATAGTTATAAATATTTGTGTCTATTTATTTATTTGAGGCATTTCTATACCGCCTTTTTCCAAAGACCCAAGGTGGTTTACAGCAGCAATTACACACAAATAAATATATATATAGCCATCAAATAAAAATCCATCTAATAAATCCCCCACCATCCTAACGGACATAAAATTATAATTAAATAATAAACCAGTAAAATCCCCAAGGAACTAAAGTAATAGAAATAGTTAAAATGATTATAATGCAGCTCCAGGCTCCTGTCAACATTAGTTAAATGCTGTTTCACACAGGAGGCTATGACAGTGTAAGTGATGTCACACTATTATGATGCTGCAGTGTTGATCTCTATAACTAACATTTAAGTTAGATAACCTAATAAACATTTACTGATACTTTGAAGCACATTACAGTGGAAGTATATGAAAAACAGAATAATCCATGGCCTTGTGTATCAAGAATTCCCAAAGGTTGAAGCAATGGATTTTCTGATGCATTTCAGCACCTGAGAAAACTCAAAACCTATTCAAGATTAAAATTAAACTGACCGATCGGTTCTTCAGGAAAGTCAAGGCATTTTCAATGTTGCTTCGGCACTGGAAAGTGTTGGATCCTTTTTCACGTGGCTATGCAAAAAAAGAAAAAAAGGAACCATAGCATCTGTATTAGTTATGAGCCCAGTCCTTTTTATATTACACTAGCTTGGGGACCCGGCGCTGCCCAGGTTATTTGAGAAAGGAATTGTGTGTCAAGGTTGGTCTTTATCAGTTATTTATATGGCTCACAATGGTCTCAGGAAGTTAGTGAAGGTACTGCGAGTCCCATTATCTGTGGTCCATCCTCCTCCAAACTGCTCCAGGATGGACAGTGGGTCATGGGGGTTTTGTGTGCCAAGTTTGGTCTTGATCGGTTATTAGATGGGTGTTGCAGAGGTCTTGGGAAGTGAGTGGAGGTACTTGAAGTCCCATCATCCATAGTCTGTACTCCCCCAAACCTCACCAGAATGTTGAGTTGGCCATGGGGGCTCTATGTTCCGAGTTTGGTCTTTATTGGTTTTTAAATGAGTGTCGCTATGGTTTCAGGAAGTGAGTGAACGTACTGCAAGTCCCATCATCCATCGTCCATCCTTCAAACAGCACCGGGATGGAGGGTGGGTCATGGGGGCTGTGTGTGCCAAGTTTGGTCTTGATCGGTCATTAGATGAGGGTTGCAGCAATTTTGGGAAGGGAGTGGAGGTACTTGAAGTCCCATCTTCCATGGTCTATCCTCCTCCAAACTGCACCAGGGTGTAGAGTGGGTCATTGAGGCTCCGTGTGCCAAGTTTGGTCTTGATTAGTCATCGGCGAGGGTCTCAGTGGTCTCAAAAGTGAGTGAGGTTACTGCAATTCCCATCACCCATCTCCAATTTTTTCCAAATGACACCAGGCCGTAAAGTGGGTCATGAGAGGTCTGTGTGCCAAGTTTGGTCTTGATCAGTCATTGCATGAGGTTTGCAGAGGTCTCAGAATGTGAGTGAAGGTACTGGAAGTCACATCATCCATTGTCCGTCCTCCTCCAAACTGCAGTAGGATGTAGAGTGGGTGATGGGGGCTCTGTGTGCCAAGTTTGGTCTGTATTGGTAATTTTCTGACCCAGCCCCCTCTGGCCTTTTCCGTTCCTCTCTTTAGTCATCTCGGAATCTTGGAATTGAGGCTGGCCAATCAGAGACCATATGCAAATTTCCTTCTCTCATGTCTCCGTTTCTGTCATGAACCCTTTTCTCCACCAGGGGCTCCTGTAAAGCTGGCCAATCAGAGACCATATGCAAATAGCACCACTGCAGCAGCCAATCAGAATCTTGGAACTTTCAGGCTGGCCAATCAGAATGCTGGCACATACACCGCCACACTTTTGTCCTCCGCATACAAACTTTGACTTTTATTATATACATAGATTTCATATAATTTTTTTAAAATGGTACAATGAAAGTAGTGATGAATAGTTGTTCACACAGTCAAGAATGTACAACTGCATGGCTAGATGATCTCATACAGAGCAGATCCATTCAATCAATTATTGATTGATAAGTCAACACATAGATAGATCCAATTGATTAAGTGGTTCTGCTGCATTTGGAATCACAAATAGGATTCAGACCCATATGAAACAATTCTATATAGTAGGCCTGCATATTAGACCAACAATCCATTCCAGGACCTTTTGTATTATTGTTGTATAATTTGGTACCTATTTTTTCTTACCTGAATGAACAATACCTTGGTGTTTTTGGCCAAAGAATACCATAGAACAATTCTGACAGACCTAGAAAATGCCTAGAGATGTATTATGTCTAGGCCTCCAGTGCTATTCTTTGAGCGGATGGAAGTTGACCATAGAATTGTCCCAGAAAAATTTCTGTTCCTTGTTTGAAAGTTTCATTTCCTGTTTAATTGTGTGGTACTTACTTTGAAAGTTGTTGTTGTCCTCCAGAAACTTCATTTTTGTGGCTGCCACAAACTATATTGAATTGGTTGAGACTCTATGAGATATTCATTGAAAAACTATAGCAAAAGGTGCTGCAAGATTTCTCACAAATACTAAGTTTTTGCAGTTTAATAAACTTTTCCCATGTTCTTATGATAGAACCAATTAGGAAATGACATTTATAATCCAGGAACGGAAATCATGTTAGTGTAATGTGAAGAATGCTGAAAGGTGCAGTTCAACAACACTTAGAAGATGGATCCTGCCAATTGCTGTATAAGTTCATTCCAATTCTTACCAGCTGCTCTCCAGAAAGGACTTCCAGCAAATCCAAAAGTGAGTGTCCCCTGCCAACGTCTGCATACAAATCCAAGATAAAGGAAGGTGGCGAATGCTGCAAAACATGTATTTATATTTGGGTTACGCAATGTAGTATTGCCACTGCTGTTTATACAATCAATGTATGATTTTTCTTGTTGGCATTGAGAGAAGAGGATCTCAAGTTATTCAAGGGATTTAGCAACCGGACCTACATACTCTACCTTCTGCAAAAAAATTATATTTTTATAGTACTCCAAAAAGCCATAGAAGTGCTGGCTTTAGCCTATAAAGCCCTAAATGGTTCTGGCCCAACTTACCTGATCTCCTCCTATGAACCAGCTAGGACGTTAAGATCATCTGGGGAGGCCCTGCTCTTGGTCCCACCTGCATCACAAGTACGTCTGGTGGGGACGAGAGACAGGGCCTTCTCAGTGGTGGCCCCTCAACTGTGGAACGCCCTTCCTACAGAAATTAGATTGCCCCCCACCGCTTGTTAGCATTTCGGAGGAAAGTGAAGACCTGGTTGTTCGAGCAGGCATTTGAATAGGCAGTGTAACGAATATAGGAATACGGAACAATTGGATGATGAGACTGGATCTTGATTTTGACAATGAGACAATAATGAGATGTTATATGATGTTTAATTGTTTATAATGTTATTGTTTTTAACTGTTTTATGATGTTTTAAGCATTTAATTTTGCTATTGTGAACAGCTCTGAGTTGCCCGAGGGCTGAGAAGAGCGGTATAGAAATATAGTAAATAAATAATAATAAATAAATAATTCTCTACCGTTCTGTTAGTTCTCAGATATCACTTGTCTCTACCATTGAGGACTTGAGTCAGTTAATTGTGTGTGTCCTTGAAAGGGAAGTGCTTGGGGTGACTTTTGGAAATGTTTATTCTAGTTCTCACAAAGCAATGGATTTGTTTGTGCCAGTCTTTTTCTCTCTCTCTTACCATGGCCTACTTGATAGAGTTGCTATGGGGATGAAGTAGGAGAAAAGAAAACCATCTATGCCATCTCCAGCACTGGGGAAGTGGGATATAAACCTAATTCATTCACTTTTTTAAAACAATGAGCAGAGTAAACAAGCAATGGCAGAAGATGTAGATGGCTTTAAAAGTGGATTGATAAAATTTCTGGAGGGCAGGATGGTAAATGGCTTAAGGGGCTGAGGGGAAAAAGGAAAGGGCCTGATGCTGTTAGGAATTGTGGGAGTTGAAGTCCAAAACACTTGGTGGGCCAAAGTTTGCCTCTGCCTGGTGTAGATGCATCCTTAGTCTCAGTGTCCTTCTGTCAGGTTTTTACAATGTATTGTAATGTAATATAGCTGAGTCATGCACTGCTAATAGGCTTCTATTGGAAATGCTGAGTCATGCATTAACTGTATATATGGAATCATTTGGGGAATGTGTTCTGGCCTATTCCAGGTGATTGCGAATGATGTAATCCTGGGTCTGAGTTAAGTTAATGATTTGGGAACCAATCAGAGATTGCTATGTGTAATTGTATAGAATTGTATATAAGGAAGTCATATACAGTGTATTCTCTCTCCTTGTGCTGTGATGCTGTTTGTCGAAGGCTCTGTGTAGTTGATTAAAAGAACCTGTCTGCTAAGACAAGATATAACTATGTGCTGTGGTAAGTTTGTAGTGTCATCTAGATTGGAGGGGAAAACAATAGTAAAACTGACAATGGCCGGACATGTGCTCAAGTGTCTGTAAAAGAGTTACAGAGTGACTGCAGTTTGTGGACGCAGTTAACTGAAAATACTGTCCAGGAAGAAGCTTCTGGAAAGTGCTGAAGTTGTGCAACTGATCTGCTGCTGAATTGTGAGATAAACCGTGACACCTTCAACAACACATCTCCCTTTGCATTCCCTCTGCAGGTACCACTTGTTCCAACTGACACTTCCCCACCCCCTTTCCAATGTAATTACTTTTCTAAGAAACAGCTATTTAACCCAGGGAAGAAGGGATTATTGCATCATTGTTAATTCTGGATGGATCTTAAAGAGTCATATTCCCCCTCTTCTCCTATCCTTTTACCTTTTCCAGCTGTGAGTTGATCCAGCTTGTGAAGGTTTTCTTTTGAGTATTCTCTTGCTCCGCTGTGTATTTTAAAAAAGAAACAGAAGAAATATCCACAAGTTAAAAAAAGATTATCTAAAGTCTTCATTATCCATCAATATTTATTCTTGCACAGCTGTGGAAACAGAGTAGATCAAACACATTTGGACCGATGCCTGATACTTCCCAGCTGGTCATTTGTGTAGAAATGGAAGAAAAAGGCAGCCCAGCTATCCGTATTTCAGAGTAAAATATTGTAAGAGATGCCTCTGAAGTCACACAGCGCTTGTAAAGAAAGTTGAAAGGTTTATAAGAGATGTTTGAATTCCCATGATGTGATGCACATATGTTTCCTTTGCCCTATGGACACTTCCAGTCAACTAGATTGTGCAGGAATTTGAAATGACCTACAAAACCTGTTTGCCAGAGGGAATTAAAATGGAATAAATGTGTATATACACAAGCAGCATGCTCGCTTTCAATTTAACTTTGCTCACAGTGAGTTAGGGGGACAATTATCAGTCTCCAGTGCTCTTCAGCTTGACCTAAATTCTATATATACATTATTTTAAAATGGTGCTCATTATTCTCCAATGAATTTCATATGACCAATGTCAGTTTAGGGTGAGAAGTGCATAACTGCTCTTGGAGAGATATGTAAAGGAATTCCTGAGAAGACAAGAAACTCTGGATTATGTCTGGCAGTTACTCATCTCTTAACCTAGCTTCCATCACATTGGAGGTTTGAGGATAATGTTTACACAAGTTTATTTTATTTATTTATCGTGTCAGGAGCAAGTTGAACATCCCTTAGTCAAAATCCTTGGACCAAAAGTGTTTTGGATTTTGAATTTTTGTGTGTGCGTGATTTTGGAATACCGTATATACTCGAGTATAAGCCGAGGCTCTTAATTTTACCACAAAGAACTGGGAAAACGTATTGACTCGAGTATAAGTCGAAGGTGGGAAATGCAGCAGCAACTGGTAAATTTCAAAATAAAAATAGATACCAATGAAATTACATTAATTGAGGCATCAATAGGTATCTTAAAACTGTAATTTAAGATAAGACTGTCCAACTCTGATGAAATCATTATTCTAACCTTCTTCAATGTAAATGTGCTTACGTTTTGCCTGCTTGATACAATATTGTGCAAAACAGGCAGAAACATGCAGGAGTTTCAGTTATACAGTTGTGGATTGTTGTTGTTTTTATTATTTTTGCAGTTCATAGAATTTAACTGTCCTTAGCACTGATTTCAGATTTGTCTTGACACTAAATTTTGATTTAGAACAAACTGGGGTGAACCCCAACATTATATTTTTCTATGTTTTGACAATTTTTAAGATGTTACAATTCAGGACTCCTCTAAGTAGGAAGTAGTTTTATGGATGGGACCAATTTTCTAAATGATATGGCGCATTTACTAGGGTAGCAAGTTGTAGCATTTTTCTCTCCCCCTCCTCCAACTTTTTTTACTAGAATAACAACAATAGAATAATAGAATAATAACAATGCTTACAGGGGAAAAGCAGAGCTTGTAAAACTTGCTTTTTTGGGATCAAAATTCCCATTGTTCTCTATCCTGCATAGTCATCTGCCTTTCTGATTGTGGTCTTCCAGCAGGCCCGTAGCCAGGATTTCGTTTCGGGGGGGGGGGGGCTGAATTTTTTTCAGGGGGGGTTTCGGGGGGGGCTGAGTTTCGGGGGGGCTGAGTCTGAGTAAAAGAGGGTCTAGCCTAGCAAACCTTTTGTATCATTACCCCAATACCCCCATGCATATGGGATATATTGAGTATGGTGATCAGATCATGATATGAATAAACATAACAGTTTAAATAATGCACCAGTAAGGCCTTTTCGCGAACCACCATGAGAATTTCAGGGGGGGGGGCTGAAGCCCCCCGAGCCCCCCCCCCCCCCCTCGGCTACATGCCTGTACTTCCCAGGAGATGCAATCTTTTAAAAAATGTAATTTTACAATCTCTGGGAAAAATGTAGATTTTTCTCCCCGTTACATGTGTGATCACAGCTGGTACAATACCGATAGAGGGAGCTTTCTCCAGCTGACAGCAAGAAAGTCTGTCACTGCATTTGTAAACATCAAAGATGGAAACAAAACCACATGGGGTTGTTATGAGTTTTCCGGGCTGTATGGCCATGTTCGAGAAGCATTCTCTCCTGATGTTTCACCCACATCTATGGCAGGAATTCCCCTGTGGGTAATTTTCACAGAAAGGAGTAAACCAGGAAAATCTGGCTACCACTATTAAAAACTCTAAAAAGTAAATAAAGAACAACACTAAAAGGGGGGGAATTCCAGACAGTAAACAATCAGGGCCAGCTAACACTTTCCAACAAAGGACCCCCAGGCAGGAAGCAGCAAGTCCATTCAATGCTAATCAAGGTGGCCAATTGCAACATTCAGACCTGCTTCAAGTAGGCAAGAATTCTTTCTCCCACCCTGGGCATTCCACAGATATATAAACCCCAACCTCTGAGGATGTCTGCCATAGATGTAGGTGAAATGTAAGAAGAGAATGCTTCTGGAACATTGCCATACAGCCTGAAAAACTCACAGTGACCCTGTGATTCCGTCCATGAAAGCCTTCGATAATGCATAGAACCACATACTTTCTATTTAAAAATAATGGAGGGGAAAAGCAAAAACCACTAATATCCCTATGCAAAAGCATCCCAAAAACCATCTTTTCATGGAAACCACCAATGCAATCTCAAATTGCATTGGTGCATACAGGGAGCACACACCCCCCCCCCCCCCCCCCCCCCGCTGGGTCAGCTCCACTGGCTGCCGGTTCAATTCCGAGCACAATTCAAGGTGTTGGTTTTGACCTACAAAACCCTTTATGGTTCTGGTCCAGTGTATCTGTCCAAACATATCTCCCTCTACGTCCCACCCCGGAATTTGAGATCATCTGGGGAGGCCCTGCTCTCGACCCCACTGTTATCACAAGTGAGGCTGGTGGGGACGAGGAGGAGGGCCTTCTCGGTGGTGGCCCCTCACCTGTGGAACTCACTCCCGGAAGAAATTAGGGCATCAACATCCCTCCTCGCCTTCAGGAGTAAGGTAAAGACGTGGTTGTGGGACCAGGCCTTTGGGCAACCTGACAATTAGATATGGAAATCAGATGGATAGGACTGAAAGGACTGAGAATTGTGGAATTGGAATTTAAACTATGAGATTGTGAAACGCTGACCGTCAATGAGGTTTGTATTGGTTTTATTGCTTTTATTGGTTTTATGGTTGTTTTGCCTATAATAATTATTGTTTTCTGTTAATCGTTGTTATTGCTAGAACTGCTGTTTGTGTTAACTGATGTTATTGCCTTTTGCTGTTATGTGATGCGGGTATCGAATTGTGCCTTGCTTTTGTAAGCCGTCCTGAGTCCCCCCCGTCCCCCCCCCCGGGGTGAGAAGGGCGGGGTAGAAGCAACCGAAATAATAATAATAATAATAATAATAATAATAATAATAAATACACAAAACATGTTCCTTGCAAAAGTAAATAATGTGAATTGGATATGAGCCAACAATGTGATGTGGCGGCAAAAAAAGCCAATGGGATTTTGGCCTGCATCAATAGGAGCATAGTGTCTAGATCTAGGGAAGTCATGCTACTCCTCTATTCTGCCTTGGTTAGACCACTCCTGGAATATTGTGTCCAATTCTGGGCACCACAATTCAAGAGAGATATTGACAAGCTGGAATGTGTCCAAAGGAGGGTGACTAAAATGATCAAGGGTCTGGAAACAAGCCCTATAGAGGAGCGGCTTAAGGAGCTGGGCATGTTTAGCCTGAAGAAGAGAAGGCTGAGAGGAGATATGATAGCCATGTATAAATATGTGAGAGGAAGCCACAGGGAGGAGGGAGCAAGCTTGTTTTCTGCTTCCCTGGAGACTAGGACGCGGAACAATGGCTTCAAACTACAAGAGAGGAGATTCCATCTGAACATGAGGAAGAACTTCCTGACTGTGAGAGCCGTTCAGCAGTGGAACTCTCTGCCCCGGATTGTGGTGGAGGCTCCTTCTTTGGAAGCTTTTAAACAGAGGCTGGATGGCCATCTGTCAGGGGTGATTTGAATGCAATATTCCTGCTTCTTGGCAGGGGGTTGGACTGGATGGCCCATGAGGTCTCTTCCAACTCTATGATTCTATGATTCTATGTGCTCTGCTTTACATATAAATTGCAATCTTAAACTCTGGGTGGACAAAGAGCATCCCTCCAGTTGTTTTTGACCTGCAGCTCCCAGCATTCCTCAACATTGGCTTTGCTGGCAAAGGCATCTGAAAGCTGCAGCCAAATAAACATCTGGAGTGATGTGAAATTCCCCTTCCTGTGTTAAACAGGCTTGAAAGGAAACAAAACCAAAAGTGCTCATTTGAATTTGCCACAAAAAAGGCATGCTTAACACTGAACAAGTGTTTGTTTGTTGTCAACATCAGGGGGACGTTAAGTATTTGGGGTTTCTTTTGATAGCTATATTTGTGTCAGGACACTTTATTTTCAAACCGCCAGGAACATTCAGGGAGGCCACCGTGGTTTGAACTTCATTTGCATGTCGTCAACATGAATTATGCAAACAGCCACCAAGGATTATCTTGCTCCCCATTCAAAGCCAGGATTATATTATATTAGCGTAACCCTTCTCGGCATGAAAGCTAAAAGTTCACATTTGATCTTTTTCTGTTCACAGCATCTCGCAAACAGGGCATCTCCCAACAAAACACAGGCATGTAAAATGTTTTAGCCAGGCTTGAAAATGTTCCTGTTTTGGACGACAACTGCCAGAATAGCCAGTGTGGTGTTAACAGTTTTTATTGGAAATTTCATAACCTATTGGAAATATGTGCATCATAACCAAATTAAAAAGGTAACGATGACGTCACATTCGTTCGGCAAATGTGAATCTCCATGAACATGTGGAGACCACCTTTTGAAAGCCACTAGTCAAGAAAAACATGTCCTTGTTAGAAGTCAACCCTTTGAACAATTGATATTCACAAGCCTTAATGTAATGGCA